TTCAAACAGATGGTCCTGGCTTCTTTCCTTTCTGTTGTTATGAAGCTCCACTGCAAACTTCATAATGCAAAAGGTGGTACAATGTCCAGCTCAGCACTGTCTACTCTGTCTGGCACAGTCTCCCAGGGTTTCAGGCAAGAACTTCCTCCAACCCTGTCTGGAGACACCACTGAGCTGCAGTCCTTCCCCAAAACATTCTGGACTTCGATGTGAGGATGGGCTGCCCATGACACTGAAAGACTGACAGCTCTTTCTCTTACTCTGCCTTGTTTGTTCGCCTAAGAACAACATAGGAGTATATTAAGTATACCCGCGTCCCTTCAGTTCTCTTAGAAATGCCTTATTAAATTTATACACTGTCCTCCTTCTGAAGATCACTGGGCAGTTAACAACATAAAAGCACAAAATGCATAACAGTATAGAACAATAACCCCAGCCCAAATCAGATCTAAGCAAGATGGAAAGGAAAAGGTTAATGCACTCCCATTCGCCAAACAACAGACTTGGACTGCTGCCACTCTCAGCTGTGCTTATGCAACCATCAGACAACTAAATATACCACACCACAAATCAGATCTGGCCCATCCCTTTAATGTGCATTGTTGATTTTCTTATGCAGAGAATTGTTATTGACTGGATTTAGAGAGCAAAAGTGCACCCTAGGTCCGTATACATAAGTGTTTTTATAAGGATTTGATTTTATGACCTTTAGATCTTTTCAAGACCACTATAGCCCATCTGTCAATGGTTCAGACTTGCAAATTGCCGGCCACCTATAATGACTGGCTAAAAGGATTCAGAGTGAAATCATATAGCCAGTTACCCAGGAGTAAGCCCCATTAAACTCAACGGGACTTATCTCTCAGAAGATAAAATGCTTTAATCCTATGCGTACTTGCTTTGGATTAAGATAAAAACCTGTAATCCTATGCATACTTGCTTTGGATTAAGCTCCACTGAAGAGAGTGAGGTTTACTTCTGAGTAAATATGCATAGGCTTGTACCACACTCTTATGAGTCTGAAGATTTAGTCATGGTTCTTTTGTACTGTGTGTCAATGCCTTCTGTTACTGCTTATGCTGTTTTCCAGAATTTCTCCAAGGGATTAAAGGTGGCTCTGAAAAATGAATAATTTAATTGCAAAGCAGCATTCTCTTTCTAGAACAGGGTTTTTACAGCTTTGGTCCTCCGGATATTCTTGGACTGCAACACCCATCAATCAGAGCCAGCACAGCGAAAGGTCAGAGATAGTAGTAGTTGTAGTCCAACAATGGCTGGAGAACCACAGGTTAGCTATGCCTGCTCTAGAAGATAAAGTTCAAATTCATATAGAAAAATCAAGATTTAAAGAAACAGTGAGCTCTGTTACTATAAATACTGATCCTAATTCTTCACTGTGGGTGATCAAACCTTATGAACATCAACCATCCACGAGACCTATGTTCTGTTCCAGATCTTGTGCATCATGAACAATGTGCATCAATAAGCCATCTCTTTATTTCTTTACATTTATAATTTAACCAAAGGTTTCAGTAGGTAATGGAGCATTAGAAATTTATTGAAATGAAATAATAGTATTTTTAATAATGTACCTTGCCAGTTTGGCACTAAACCCTCAAAGGCGGGCCAAGCTGGATTGCTATGTGAAAGCAAAGGGAGTCTCCAGAGGGAGTGGCCTCAGATAAGTGGGAATGCTGTATGCCTGGTAGATGTAGCTGTGTCCACTGAACAGGTGTTGATTACATCTGCTAGTATAACATCAGGGATAATGCACACAAAATGTTAGTACTGGTGTTATGGTTGCCAAGTCCTGCACTGCACACAGGACAGTTGTGGATTAAATAGCTGTGAAAAAAGTTTCAAGCAAGTGCAGTTTCTCCTGCTATATTGAGGCAATGGTCAGACAATCTTCTGTGCACTATAGTGGACAAGAAAAATCCAAGAGAGTAGAGACTTCATTACCTTCTTTCACAAGACTTGCTATAATTTATTGCCATACCAACTATTTCAATGCAACTGAGATCTTATTATTGAACCAAAGGTCCTTTTCAGTGGAATGCTCATTAAAGCACCACCAGCTCATTAACAAAAATTGATTCCAGCAACTTGCTACTGTACTGTAAGAAATTCTTATTTTTAAAGTCTGATATCCCCGTTATTTTATTTCACAAAATGTTCAGGCCACTGAATATATTTTTAAAAATCAGTTAAGTGGTTTGCATAAATTAGTATAAAGTATTTATCAAAGTTGTGATCAAGAAAGAAAACTGTTAGGCATCAATTCCTGGCCTGGGTGTAATCCAAAATCACAGCAAATATCAGCATCCCAGGCACTGCAAAACAGAACCGCAGTCCAATGTTTTGCAAAAATCAGCTCAATGTATTATCTGAACTTCTAAAAGAGAAAATAGGAAAAGGCTTTTCAGCACATAGTTAAAATGTTATAAACTACGCTGACTGTTGTTCTCTATTAAGCTTCTATGAAACTTTGCCAGCCCCTTTTCTGTTTGCATGAAATAGCCAAAATATAGGTTGGTGATGTCTTTTAGACCAAGCTGGCCCTAGTTCAAATTCCCATGCAGCCACAAAGCTTACTGGGTGACCATACTAGCTTTCAGTCTAACCTAGCACACAAGGCTATTGTGGGAATAAAATAGGGTGGGCTAGGTAACCCCCTGATTACTTTGGAAAGATGGGCTAAATGTTTAAATTTTAAAACATAGCAAACTACAGAACAAAATTACTAGCCTGTGTGCACCAGTTTTGTCTCAATGATGTTTTAAAACAAATGACACAGGTGCTGAACAAAAAGTCTGCATGGAAGTTCAGTGGCGGATGCATGGGCTGCATCTTAAGCTTCCTGCAAACAAAGCATGGTTCCACCCCTTGCCTTTGGATGAAACAGCACTGAGAAAAGTTGCCTTATTTGCCAATATGCAAGCAGAGCATAGTGAAGGTGACCTGATGCAAAAATGGGCAAACTGACAGGAAAAATGAGAAAGAGGCAGATATCCTCATTCCTATCAGAAATACAATAAAGCATCCAAAATAAGCATATGTATGCAAATTTGTATAAGTGGCAGATTGAAACTTCTTGGAGAAGGCTTTGAATTAGCTTCACACATTTTTAAAAATAAAGCACATAGTGTACACTGTCCATATTGCAACTGCCTCTGTTGATGGGAGCTTCACTTTGCTCGCTTTTCTTGGCTCCTCTAAAACTCCATACAGTACTGTTAAATACACAATGTCTGTTCCCTCATTATATAAGGGGTGCAGGCAGTGGTTTTTTTCCACTTTCCAATAAATTTAAAATCTGGTAACCTATTCATGTGTAGGATGGCAGATTTCTGATGCAGGATTAGCGAAACATTTAGGTCTAATGGAATGGTGGGATTAGCGAAAGAATGTCAAGCCTTTTGTATGATGAAGTCTCTGCTGATGGAAATATTAATGTGAAATCTGGCTTTAAACTAAATCACTACAGAAATATAATTTTTCCTATCAACTTCCCAAACCTGATGCTTTCTTTTCAGACAACTATTTTCCAAGTAGCATGCCTATTTCAAGAGCAACAGGTAAAGCAATTGTATGATTTGTAACAACCAAGACTGGGTAGTAGTAGAGCATTACAGTTTATTTACTTCTCTTATTAAACCTTGGTGGGGAGAGATTGAGGTTAACAAACCATCGGCTAATATTAATGCTGCAGACTGTAGCTGGATCTTAGTATATTAATGCTCTCCTGTGGTATATAATTGCTTTCATTACTTGTTAAAAATGCCTCTTTCGCATTTGTATCAACCGCCAGCACTAAGACTGAAAACATTATTATTGCCACTCAAAATCTAGATTTTATCAGAATTGTATTCATTGCAAAATAAAAGAACTCCTGATGCTAGACGGACAATTGAAATAGATGCAAACAGAACAAATCCAAACATTGTGGCTAGCACAATATCGCTGTCAACTGATGGCTGTTTGATTCAAATAGGAAAGTGACATGGGCAGCTGAAATCTGATCCTACCCTAAAACCTACTGTTGTAAGCAAAATCCAAATTACTTCTGTTTGGGGATCCCACTGCTAACTCATTTCCTTTCTATGCCCACGTTCCTTTGCCATTGTGGCAAAGCCCACAATTGTGGATTGGTAAAATCATGACGATATGTTTGTTGAAAACAACTTTCCCCATATAGAGTTCAACATGTTAAGCATTGTTGTACAAACCAGGTGCAAAAACCAACATGTGCAACAATATTTATTTCTGCATTTATATTCTGCTGTTCCTCCAAGTAGTTCAGGGTAGGGACAAAAAGAGAGAGAGGAGGCAAGGTAATCAGGCTAACGTTATCACTGAGGGAGGATCTGAACCAGTGTCTCCTCTCAGTTTCTTATTTTTCCGGTATTACCTTCAATTCTACATATATCCACAACAATTTGCATTTTTTTATGAAGCCCACATGAGAATTTGTTAGCATGTGTGCATGTTCTCTTAATGTACACATTTTTGTAAGCAATTTTGCCTAATGCACACATCGTTGCAAGCAATTCCCCGTAACATTACATTTCTGCATACTATTTTAAATAATACAATTTATGCATAGCAAAATTAAGAGAAATTGACATTTTGAAGGATAGTTGTTTTGGTTGCTGTGCAAATTATGTAAGCATTAAAATGCAACCTGAAAAAGTTTCTCTCTCAACCCTAGAAAACTATGAGCACCAAGCCATCTTTTCAGATTTCCCTACTTACCCCATTCTTTAGCTAAAATTCCTCCCAGAGCAGCTTACAAATATCAGTTGTAAGACAGTCCCTGGCCACACGAAAAGTTAAAAAGGATGCGGACAGGGGAGCAAACTCTGGAATTTAAATATTCTTAAAGTTACAGCTCTTATAAAAACCAGTTTGGATGAAAACAGTTCGGGTAGAATAGAATCATAGAATTGGAAGGGACCACAAGGGTCATCTAGTCCAACCCGCTGCAATGCAGGAGTCTTTTTCCTAATGCAGGGATTGAACTCACAACCCTGAAATTAAGAGTCTCATGCTCTACTGACTGAGTTATCTCAGATGGAATAACAGGTGACAGGCTACAATGCAACAGGTGAAGGAAGGCCAAAGACAGCTGGTCTCTCAGCAGTGATGGAATAACCCTGGTTCGCTTCTCCATCTCTCTGCTAGATGGAATAGCTGCTGTCATTGGGTGAGAGTTTGTGAGAGCTGTAGGCAGCTGATCTCTTGGCAAATGAGGATATTTTAAATTCAGTTGAGGATCTTAGCGGAAGGAAGCTCTCTTCATATATATGAGCTATTTCACCTCCGAAGCTCCCGATGTAATCGTGACAACATTCTAACCCCTAAAGCAAACTCTAGGTGTGAGAAGGGAGAGAGAACATGCTGTTAATAAGATTGCTATTCAGAAGAAAGCTTTTATGACGTTTTCTTTTTGGCCTCTTAACAAGGCTTCAGGAAAACCGGCAGCTTCTACAACCCAATGACCCACCGTCTAATGCCAACTGCTTCAGCAGAGAAGAGGGAAGACATTTTCGTCTCATCATAATTTCACCCCAGGATAGATGTCCTCGAATCAATAATTCTGCATCACAAAGGAATCCAAGTAGTCCTTATCCTAAAAGTGCCTCTGAGTCAACAGAATGTGTTATCGCTCACACTGGGTGCCAGTTATCTGAGGTTTCCATGACAACTTTTTCAAGGCAGGGTTGACTTTAAATCCATCCATCCAAAGTACAGTTCCTTTTAAGCGATAGGCGCACACTGTAGCTCAACTTTAAAACTGGTAATAGTATTGTTTGCTAATGCTACTAGATAATTATACCATCTGTTGGAACTGTTCCTGTAGTTCGGGGAAGGCAACCTGCAACCTCTTCCTAATTTCATGTGGCAACAAGGAGGAGGAAAAGGGTGGTGGGAGAGAGATACTGAGACTCAGGACCTGCTGGCATCCAGTCCCTGGCAGATTATCTGAGGGACATAAAATGTTCCTCACCCCTGTTGTAGTTTGAAGGGTCTGGGAGTCTCCACACACCCACCTATACACACATAGGTTTAGTTCTGGCCTAACAGGATGCAACAGTTTCTTGCTATGTGAATAAGGCTTAACAAAGCATACTCAAGGCCATACATTCCTCCCTCCCCTCTATTTGACACACCAGAAACTGAAGGTTTTCACTTTTGCTTTCAAACTAATCAGTTTCCCTGTTTGACCTATGGCTATTGAGAACAAGCCAGGATAAAACCTTGGTTTCAGAACCCGGTTTGCTCTCAAACCAGTAGCATGCTCCTCTATGTCACGTGCTCCTGCACATCACAGCAACACACTGCACACAACAAGCACACACATGCAATTATGTGTGGGAGCGCACCACGAATATGCACAGGAGCATGTGCTGCTGCATATCTGTACACATTTGAACACATTGTTATCACTCACTGCTTATCTGCATGCAGCATGATGCTGTGTATGCCCACGCACATGCCTGAGAGAAGAGCTGCCACAACTTCTCGTGATTTGCAGTCTCTGGTTTGGTTCACTTCCTCTAATGACTTGCTCCACATCTCTTTCGATATTTCTGCCACGTTCATTGATTGGTCTGCGATACCAGCACTGGGCTGCATTCTAGTCCCTCTCCCACAGCTTTATACTATTATTCAGCTCGTTCATGAATCAGTTCCTATTATGCTTCTCAGACAGATTTCACAATAAGGCTCAAAGACAATAAAAACACCCACTATAAAACATGCAAAAGTATCTCATATGTAAAAACAAGCTGTAGCCACTCTCTCCAAACTAAGCAACGTTGTTTGCTTAGTTGTTTGCCCTTTCTGAGCTATTGGACAAATGACAGTAACAGCAAACTAGAAATAATATGAAAAGTGTGGCTGCACGGGAGCCGAGTTGTGAGTCCAGTATGCAAGACTATAGAATGTGTTTGCTGCTTACATGAAGAAGAAGAAGAGTTTGGATTTGATATCCCGCTTTATCACTACCCGAAGGAGTCTCAAAGCAGCTAACATTCTCCTTTCCCTTCCTCCCCCACAACAAACACTCTGTGAGGTGAGTGGGGCTGAGAGACTTCAAAGAAGTGTGACTGGCCCAAGGTCACCCAGCAGCTGCATGTGGAGGAGCGGAGACGCGAACCCGGTTCTCCAGATTCGAGTCTACCGCTCTTAACCACTACACCACATGACATAGCTGTTGAGCACTTTGGCTCACATTTTCCATGCTTTTTCTGTATGCATGAAGGTTTAAGCCTCTAAACTCTTCTCTTAAACAAGTGGTTTTCAACCAGTGTACCATGGCACCCTGGGGTGCCTTGAATGGTGGTCAGGGGAGCCGCGGACAACACTGGCCTCTGTCCCTCTTTCCTTCCCTCCCTTCTTTGATGCCCCTCTTGCATTTCTGCCTCCCAAAGGCTTCCACAGCTGTTTGTTGCAGCAGCCCTGGCTACAAGCTCCTCAGGCGAATGGTGCCTCTAGGGTTGGCCAGGGGGTGCTTCCCAAGCCCTAGTGGGGCAGTGTGAGGAGGCACCTATCTTTGGGGCTGGTAGGGCAGCTCAGAGACTAGGGGTGGCGGCTGCAGCTGCTCAGAGGACTCCCAAGGAGACAGGACAGGAGAGGAGGGTGTTCAAAAAAGGGTAAGGGGCTGCCAGCACTGCAGGCAAGGGGTGACATAACTGGGCTGCTGAGACCCACAGGGGTGCCACAAAAAGAAGGTAGTTGGTCAAGGGATCCATGGACTCAAAAAGGTTGAAAACCTCTGTCTTAAACTTAAGGTCTTTTAATCCCTGAACCAGTGTAATGCGTGAATAGTTTTCTGACTGACCTATGCACTTTAAGACTTAAGAATCCTGTTGGCAGTTCATTGTTCTGTCAATGGAGTAGTAGCTGCACATTAGCATAGGAGGGTTAATGCTCAAATGCGAGACTGTCACATGGGAGACTTCCCAGCAGTGACAAAACTAGGCTTTATTTCATCTGGGTCAAAGAGTCAGTTTGGCACACAGACCCCACATGCATTTGCAGACACAGGTTGGGACCGCCCCTCTGGAGGCTTCACTTGAGGCAAAAAACCCAGCTAGTTGTCGTCGTCCCCCCACTGCTATGGCTCTGCTTTCCAGGTATGCTAGAAGTAATATGAGAAATATTTGCCAGTCGATAACATTCCACACAACTGCTACAGCAAACAACCTGTCTTCTTAAAGCCTCAGAAGTCCATATTACACACTAGGAGTTAATGCCTTGGAGGGTATTAGCCCACAATGTTTAAGCTACTTAACTCCTATTATCATTAATAGGAGTCATGCGGCTGATAATGTGCCTCATGCTAATTAAAAGCCTTATTCCTACACCCTGTCTCATCTGAGTTATTTGGTTTCACATGGATGATTCTTTATACAATTAACTATTTCTTAATGCTTCTCTCCACAGCGAAGTAAAAAAGGAGCCTATTCTTGAGGTCCACACCTTGGCACAGAGTTCCTGTTAATACCACAAGTCTGTATTGAGCTGTCCTGAATTTTAGTGCTGAATATGTATGAACCTTGATGATAAAAGACTGATTCAGACTGATTCAGAAGACTTTAGATTTGACAGGAGAGGCTTTGGCTTAATTCAACAAGTCTTGGATTCCCCTACCCACATGCCTTAGGACTGCTGCGTAAAGAACCTAAAACACAGAAGTGTGAACTTCCAACCTCCCCCTCTCCATTAACAGCTTTCCCCCACAATAAATAATGTGAAGAATTTCCACTTTTCAAAACGAAAAGGACCGCAAACATTTTTCTCTCAAGACAGTATAAGAACATAGCTTCTCATCCCTCACTAATATTTCTTCTTCCTTCATCGAACCCTTACACACTGTCTACCTTGCAGAACCGCAGAGAAAAGTCCTGGGCAGAATGCCAAAATGACCGGGCAGCATAGCGGTGTGGTGACTCAGCAAATGTATAGTATGCCTTTGCAGGTCTGTTGCAGCACTCTTCATTTACCAGCTTCCTGGAAACAGTTATTTTCCATAACAATAGCCTTTCTTGCTTTCATTTCATTTTGCTGGAATACAAGTACTGCACGGAATTAAAGCAATGCTGTGAAAATATATTGATGATTCTCTCTGTGTGTTTTATATTAGGTATATATAAAAAAATCCGCTCTGCAAAATAGCAGTGGTAGCCACATGGAATGTAAAAAATAAATGGCATTTGCTTGTTCTATAGATGCCCGGTGACCAGACAGATATTCATTAAAAAACAAAAGATGTGAGAATTACAACAGAGCACTTTTCAGGCCCTTATACAATTAAACAATGACTATATAAATGCATGAAATTCCCACCCCCACCTCAGTTTAGATTTGCGGTGTAATCCTACATGTCAACTCAGAAGTAAATCCTATTGCGTTCACTGGGCTGACTTACAGGAAAGCAGATGCAGGATTATAAATAAAACTGAACAGACAGAAATGAGCTGGGTTTAATGCTTACATCTAACAGCACATCTTTAAGGTCATCACTATCTCAAACCACAGTGCAGTATCATCAATACTGGAGCTGTTGAGTTCAGTCAGTTTGTCTACATCAAGTAGTTTCCCTACAATAATTACAATGCTTCCCTCTTGTGGCAAAGAGAAGTACTGGTACTATTTTAAGTACGTATAGATATTTATGAACACACAGGCAACAGCATACAGTGGTGCCCCGCAAGACGAACGCCTCGCAAGACGGAAAACCCGCTAGACGAAAGGGTTTTCCGTTTTGGAGGCGCTTCATAAACAGATTTCCCTATGGGCTTGCTTCGCAAGACGAAGCCCATAGGGAAATCTCCGAGGACCTCTTTTAAATGCTAGCGGTGGGGAGCAAAGCCTTCCCCCCTCCGGCCTTCAGAAGAGGTCCAGGAAGGCTGGCGGGGCCGAAGGCTTTGCTCCCCACCGCCAGCATTTAAAAGCAGTCCGGGATAGCAGGAAGCGCTTCCCGCTATCCCGGACGGCTTTGAAGGCAGGAGAGGTCCGCGAAGCCTGGGCGCGCTGATCTCAGCGCGCGCAGGCTCGGCATGCCGGCAACTCTCCGCAAGCAGCGGCAGCGCTGCCGCTGCTCGCGGAGGGTCCGCGAAGCCTGGGCGCGCTGATCTCAGCGCGCGCAGGCTTCGGCATGCCGGCAACTCTCCGCAAGCAGCGGCAGCGCTGCCGCTGCTCGCGGAGAGGTCCGCGAGCCTGGGCGCGCTGATCTCAGCGCGCGCAGGCTCGGCATGCCGGCAGCTCTCCGCAAGCAGCGGCAGCGCTGCCGCTGCTCGCGGAGAGGTCCGCGAAGCCTGGGCGCGCTGATCTCAGCGCGCGCAGGCTCGGCATGCCGGCAACTCTCCGCAAGCAGCGGCAGCGCTGCCGCTGCTCGCGGAGAGGTCCGCGAAGCCTGGGCGCGCTGATCTCAGCGCGCGCAGGCTTCGGCATGCCGGCAACTCTCCGCAAGCAGCGGCAGCGCTGCCGCTGCTCGCGGAGAGGTCCGCGAAGCCTTGGCTGGACAGCTTTGAAGGCAGGTGGGGGGACAAGACTTTCGCCCCCGCCAGCCTTCAGAAGAGGTCAGGACCTCTTCTGAAGGCTGGCGGGGGCAAAGTCTTTGTCCCCTGCCTGCCTTCCCAGGGGCTTTAAATTGCCCCGGACAGCGGAGAAGTCCTCCGCTGTCCCGGGGCAATTTTAAAATGCCGCCCGCCAGCATTTTAAGATCGCCCCGGACAGCGGAGAAGCCCTCCGCTGTCCCGGGGTTTTTTAAAATGCTGGGGTGGGTGGGAAGAAAAGCCCTTGTCCCCCCCCCCCAGCCTTCAGAAGAGGTCGGGGGACAGACTGTCCCCGGACCTGGTCTGAAGTCGGTTTCCCTAGGAACGCATTAATTGATTTTCAATGCATTCCTATGGGAAACCGTGCATCGCAAGACGAAAAACTCGCAAGAAGAAAAACTTGCGGAACGAATTAATTTCGTCTTGCGAGGCACCACTGTAATCTTATCTACAGGGGGTAAAATGTGGACACCACCCACTCCAAAATTCAGGGGAGTTAAATTGTCAGTATAGTCCACGGCTATACTCCTAAACATATTTACTAGGGAAATAGCCTCCACGGAGCACAGTACAGTTCTGTGTAAATGTGCAGAGGCTTATGCTGCATGTCGGAACCCTGAAAGTGCAAAACACTGCATGTCTATCCAGAATCACGTCCCCCTGAATTCAATGGGTCCTACTTAAGTGGGTATAGGATTCCAGCCTAGAGGCAGAATGTTTTGTCAAGGAGCATCTGACTGCTTTCATTACTACTCTTTTCTCTTTTTGCTTCTCCATCTGAAATACAACTTTTTGGGCGGAACAGCAATAAATCCCAACTGCGTGTTGTTACTGCAAGCCTGCCAGTCGACTACCAACAGCACCTCCTCTGCTCCTCGTTCTTCATAGTGATTAAGGGCTTACGTGTAGGACTCAGGGCCAGATTTAGGCTTGATGAGGCCCTAAGCTACTGAAGGTAATGGGGCCCTTTATATGTCCAGCTCATAGCTGTCAACTTACAGATTTGAAAATAAGGGACCAGCAGCCTTGAAAATAAGGGATCAGCAGCCAAAATAAGGGATTTTCCGGGCAAAGGTATGTTCAACTTCTGAGCCCCTCTGAGCCAAAGGCAGAAAGCCCAGCCAGCAGCCAAACGAAGCCTCATCAATAAGGGACAGCAGCAGGACATGGCGCTGGGATAAGGGACTGTCCCGCCAAATAAGGGACGCTTGACAGCTATGGTCCAGCTGTCCTTTGTCAACAACAAACTGTCGCTGTTTTGTGTTGAATATATGCTATATGGTAATTTATGGACCTAATAGGTATCTAAAGCCATTTGCCACTGTTGCTGTATCTAGGTTTTATTTTATTTGCTTTTTATCTTATATTTTGGAAATGTACATCCAGGGGTTTTTTCCCTTTAATTTTTTTGGGGGCCCCCAAGAGAGTGGGGCCCTAAGTTATAGCTTGTTTAGCTTGTACATAAATCCGGCACTGCACAATTAGCAGTACAACGGTTGTTGCTGTTGTTAAAATCTGTACACCGCCCTTCGCCCGCAGAGCTCAGGGCGGTTCACAACATATATACTGTACCAGGGTGATTTGATTTCCTAGCCTAGCTAACGCGTGCTCTGAGATCCCAGCCCGGTCCTGCATTTCCTCTGAAGCTCAGTTCAGGGCTGCTTACTCCCGAGTAAAAAGCAAGTGGCGAACTGCAGCCCCTGTTCCTCATTGCAGTATCCGAGAGTTGACCAGGCTCGCGCGCCTCTTGCAAAAAAAAATAAATACCCCAGCTCGCCTTACAGCTGCTTCTGCTGCAATGGACGTGTGTGCAAAAAGAAGGACGGAAGGAAGGAAGAAGGCGGGATGGAAGCCACGCGGGAGGGGGGGGGACCCTCCCAAATACAGGTGAATTTACGCTCAGTCTCGCGCAGCAAAGAGGAAAAAAGAACCTCGGCGCGCGCGGCGCATAAATTCCACCCCCCCCGCCTCCCGCGCGCCCTTCGGCAGACCCAGAGGCCTTTGCGCGATGGCGTCACGGGGCCGGGGCCTCGGGAAGCCTCACGGCGGCAAACGGCGGGATGTTGCGGCGTCGGGCGGCGAAATGACTGGAGGCGGGAAGAGGAGGCCCGGAGCGGCGGCTGCGCAGGAGCAGGTCAGTCGACAGGCCCGACAGACGCGCACATAACGCGGGAGAACTGGGTGGCGGCGGCGGCGGCGGTGGGGACCAGCCTCCTTTGTGCCGCCCGGCTCCTCTTCCAGGCGGAGCTGAGGGTGGTTTGGGCTCCGCGACGAGGAGCGCGTCTCCCTCCCTGAGGCGCCTCAGGAGGCGACGGGGGCGGGAGGTGTCGCCGGGCGCCCCCTCAACGCCTTCCGCTGGGCCTGGCAGAGATGGGGTTGCCCCTAGAAGAGCCTCCTCCGAGCTCAGTGGGCGGCGCTGATCACACCCAAGGTCTCAGCTGCTTATTCCTGCACTGCAGGGGGTTGGACTAGATGATCCTGCTCAAGGTCCCATCCAACTCCACAATTCTATGCATAGCTGTCAACGTTTCCCTTTTTTTAAAGGGAAATTTCCTTATTCCGAATAGGATTCCTCGCAAGAAAAGGGAAAAGTTGACAGCTATGCTTCTTTGAGAGGGCAAAGCACCAAGCTCTGGATTCAAATCCCCTTCCTCTTAGGCACCTTCCTTCCCAATCCTCCAGAGCACTCCTAATAATAATAATATATTTATACCCCGCTCATCTGGCAGGGTTTCCCCAGCCACTCTGGGCAGCTCCCAACAAAATAATTAAAATAAAACATCAAATAGTTAAAAGAAAACATCAAACATAAAAAACTTCCTAAAGCATGAGAGTATGAGCTTGCTTCTTCCCAGGCTGTGGGATTAAAATTGATCTGCTGTCCACTGGTACTAGTGTGAAAAGGGGAAGGAGGTCAAGAAGAGGCGGTGCTCCAGCGAAGCAGACGTCCCCGGCCATGTACGCCAAGAGGTGGAAAGCTGCTACCGGCTCCAGATGCCCGAAGATTTCTATTGTTTCTGGAAGTTTTGTGAGGAGCTGGATCCTGACAAGCCATGTGGTGGGTTCCGGAAACCCGGTTTTTCCGTGTTGTTGTTTTTTTAAATAGCATCTTTGGTGATAAGACGCTTTGGCAACAAAGGCAAAAAGAGAAGTTCTCACATTTCCTCTTGCTTGGATTTAAAAGTCAAATCCAGTGCCCCAGCTGCAGTGAACCTTTTTTTTTTTTTACCCTAGTCTGCAAACTGTTTCCCTAGACATACACCTATGTAAAATGTCACACTTTCCCATGAACCTTCCAGTGTCGGTGCAGGTCATGGACATTGTTATTGTCCTCACTTTAGTGTTCTGATCCTAAAAGCATAAGATGGAACTGTTGATTTTAGTGGGAAATATTTCTGTGTTATTTGTTTAGGATTGGACTGTGATGAGACAGTATTATAGCAACCAACAGTTGTACACACAGGCCAAGCATTAAAAGTTTTTGTCTCTGCCTAGAGTTTGAGCTAGAAAGTCTTTATTCCTCTCCCCTCCCCTTCTATCTATCTAGCTATCTATCTATTTAGGAAACATTATTTAGGATTAGAAATGTGTACTGTGCATGCAGCTCTTCTGTAGGTAGATGGAACATCAATTTATCGACCTGAGAAGGGAGAAAAGCACCTCAATTAGAGTTGCATTAATATGGGGCAAAGAAGAGCTTCTTTAAATAAAGTCATTTTAAAAGTTAAATAGGGCTTTTCTGGCTTAGATCTTTCTCCAGGAGCATAATACAACATATTTTATGCTTTTGTGCTATTTTTAAAATGAATTTTTAAATACATTTCATAGATGCACTTAAATCAAACATTGGACTTCAGCTAGTTGGGCCATATGACATTCTTGCTGGAAAACATAAAAAGACAAATAGATCAGCAGATGTGAACTTCAATCTTCACTGGAGGTTTTTTTATGATCCTCCTGAATTCCAGACTATCCTTACTGGAGACAGCAAAATGCAGTATCATATGGGATATTTTAGGTAAGTATCTACCTTGGAAAAATATTTTACTTATTCTAGCACTTCTATTCCTGTCATTGCCTAAAAAATACATTAGGCACTGCTGATTATTACTTACAATTAGCTCTACCCAGAATAGGATATGAGGCCAAGGACCAATTCCAGCGCAACGTTTGGCCATTTTAATGATAATCTTTCACCCGTATGTGTCTGTAGGTGGAAAAGTGATATCAGAATGTGTTGTCCATATAATTGGGCAGGGGAGGCAGTTCCCAATAAATATTGCATCTAGCAATCTTGTCTGCATAGGCTGTTTCCATATACATTTTCCATGCAAAGTTTCACTGAATGTTTTTAGAAGCTCTCATGTTCATGCCAAATTTTGTAATCAGCCTGTAGTCTCATGTTGGCATACAAAGGCATCCTATAGGACAAGGAAGGGAAGTCTTTAATGTTTGATGTTTTATTGTGTTTTTAATATCCTGTTGGGAGCCACCCAGAGTGGCTGGGGAGGCCCAGACAGATGGGCGGGGTATAAATAAATTGTTGGTTTTGTTATCTAAGAACTGTTTATATGGAACTTTGAGAACTTATTCATACTAAAGAAATAAATTTATATATCCAGCAGGTGGCTCCATACATTAATTTAGGCAAATGAAAACCACCTGAGAAATCTTGCTTACTTGCTGATTAATTTTTATGGCAAACAGAGTGAAAATTTGAGAGGCTATTGTACAATCCTCAGAGAAACATAAGAACTCATGCTATCACTTTTTTAAATACTATTTTTGGTTGGGAATAATCTGGATTCTCTTTGTAACACCACAGAGAATACTGATGTAATATGTTTAACTTCAGGACATTGTATGTGAATTTTTAGGGATATGCCGGATGAACTGCCTGTGTGGGTTGGTGAAAATGAAGCCAAGAAGGGCTGCACAATTTCTCAAGTTGGTGACAATGTATTTGCTGCTGTAAAGTAAGATTAAATACTTTCAACTCCTGGATTAAAAACAAACATGAATCTGGACCAAATTAGATGAGACAGGAGAGCAATTTCTATGTTTATGCTGGGTTTTTTTAAAAAACTGAAATGTAGTTGCAGGGCAAGTGCAAATTTGACTGGAGCAGTGTTTGTATATGTTCAGATATTTACCCACAAGCCATTTTCCAATAAAACTTGCACCACAGCTATGTTTCTTCATGGAACGGAAAAGGTACCTATTTACTTGGATCTGTCTAAAGTGCCTCTTGCCCTCCTGAACAAATTCTCCTGCATTTGCCACAAGACTAGTGTGGGGTGCAATATATGCTAGCTGCTGTATCATAAGCTTTGGTATAACTACTTGTCCTCCGGAAGCTCCATTTCAGTTTTTGTAAAAAATGGTGGGAGACCAATCACATGGCTTACCTAGTTTGGTTCATAGAACTTCTAATTTGGGCACTCCAATGACATTTAGTGTGCAATCCTACACATTCTTACCTAGAGAATGAGTCACAACTATACAATGAGGCTTACTTATGACTAGATACCGTATCTTGTATCTGTTAGTTTCTTGCCAGTTGCTCTTATATAGCTGTGTGTTTCAGCTTTTGTGAACATTACACTTGATTTTTTTCTGATTATTGTAAGCTAGCAAAATTTCCTAAACACTTTAAAAAGCAAGAAGGTAATCACTTTCCTATCAAAGTTTTCTATATATGCTGTATATATTGTTCATATTATGATTCTTAGCAGTCTAGGACGGGTGGGGGGGCGGAAATAACATAGCCGTCATTTATAGCCAAGTTTCTGCTTCAACAACAATATTTGAGGCTGCCTTTGAGTTATCATTTTCAAGTCATTACTCTTCGTAAACACTTTATGCATTTTCCAATTGTTAGCTCAGAAATACTTTCGGCCATCCAGTTCAGTAGTTTTATTGAAAATTATGCATAATAAAGGGGTTGATTAATGTACTATGACCTGTTCAGTTTGCACATATTGAATGTGTTTTTCTTTTTGACTAAAATAAAATGGAAGCAAAATAGTATACTTAGTTTAAAAAGCCAATAGCTAAACAATACTGAAATCAAGATTCCCCATGCAGCTGTTGTTTTTGTCTGTTTCTCGAGTTGAGACACCTTGCTTGTTGAAACTTCTACCTTGTGTGACAATACAAAACAACACCTAGTCTATTGAATAATCCATATTCTGGCACATCGACTGAAAGGGCTGATTGTGGGACTATTTTGATGTGATCTTTGTACATTGATACTACTTTTAAAAGTGATCATGTGAGCATTTCCACATGAAGTAATTATGTGGTGGTTAGTAATCCATAAATACAGTGAGCAAGACTTAATAAAATCCTTTGGGAGAAGTTATAGTCTCACTTAATTGCTGCTTCCCCATGGAGGCACTTGTGATCATTTCAAAAGCCTGTCTCTCAGCACCAAGCCTGACTCCAAAGTAGTCCTTTGGAATATTTACAGCTAAAGTTAGTTAAAAGTCATAGCTAAACATTCATTCATTCATTTATTAATTACTATGTTTTGCTTTGCTGATTAAATCCATGCTAGATTCTTTGGAAGACTTAAGAAAACTTTCCATGCTTTTATCATTCTAGAGCAGGGCTGGGGAACCCGAGGCCCTCCAGATGTTGTTGGACTCCAACTCCCTTCATTCCTCATAATCAACCTAAGCTAATGGAGTCCCAACAACATGTCCCAGGTTCCCCATTCCTGTTACAAAGAAAAACGGATGATGCATGTAACACAAAGTTTTCTTTTTGTTTCAGATTATTTTTGTCCAAAAGGCTTAAGGAATTGACGGACAAAAAGAAAATCAGCATTCTGAAAGATATAGATGAAAAACTAACCAAAACAGCAAAAGAACTTGGTTACTTGCTTGAGCAAAAAACCATGAAGATGAAACAGAGAGACAAGAAAGTATGGCTTGATTTCTTTCTACATTAATAAAGAACTCTAATGTATAGGCCTGTTCCTTTTTTTTCCTGCTCAAGGCCAGCTTCTGTTAATTTTCTATACGTTTACAAGGTAACTTATCCTAGGAAATAAATTCTCAATATTTTAATCACCTTTTTACTATGAGAAAATGTTGAGTTGCTTTACGTATGCTTAAAGTTTGATCGTTGTTGAAAGGTATAAAATACGAAACATTGCTTGGCTGTAGGTATTTTTAAAGTTTTAGGAGCCATAATAAATGATGTTCAAAACACGGAAACGTATTCTTAATGGCATCTGACAGCAATGCCTTTTATATAAACTACAGCATCAACACTCTCTTCATGGCAAAACATGAGATCACCACTAATGTATACTTTAAAGATCCAAAGAACTTAAATAACAGAACAAGCAGAAACAATATGGAGGACATAGAAGGAAGTATCTCAAGCTCAACCCAGAAACCAAACAAATCAGGAATGACATAGATTAAGACTTAATTCTAAAACATGGATTTAGAATAATATCAGACATGTTTGTCCAAATATGTTAACTGTAACTAAACTATGTTCACCAGCTATAGGCTATAGATGGAAAAGTGTTACCTTAAGCAACCAGAATACCAGTTACTTGTGCAACAGTCTATGTTTTGAAATGACAGGTGCAAATTCTGTTCATATTGAACTATGAATTTTCAGAACATTTCTATCTGTAAAAATCTTAAATTTAATTTGGGAAAGACAGGAGCAAGTTATAAATTCCCCTTCCCCCCAGTTGATCCGGAAACAGCTGAACAGCCTCAAAGAGGGGATTCCTTGAGAAACAGCCAATTCAAAACATTGTAGGTGCCTTGTGGTGGTAACCTCCAATGGAACTGGCTTCTCTGTCTTTTCCCAATGGAATCACCACTTCAAGAGGAAGGAGATGGAGCACTGTTTTCAATGGATTGTCTTAGTGCTCCAGAAGATTACATGGATGAGCAGCAAGGAACACTGAGCAATGCTCCATAATCATTGCTGTCGCACAAAAAGGTAGAGATCTGTCTACTTGGTACAAAAGGTTTTAAAGGCTGGTTAATAATTCAGTTAAATGTAAATACTTCTAGAAAAATAAGTCTTTGAATAGATGCAGAATTAATATTTTAATTCAGATATGGTTCCATGTAGTTTGACAGGCCTAGGCTTAATTGTATTTGTCTCTTTCTCTTTTCAATACAGGTAGTAACCAAGACATTTCATGGAGCTGGTCTGGTTGTCCCCATAGATAAGAATGATGTTGGGTACAGAGAGCTTCCTGAAACAAATGGTAAATTAATTCTAGTGTTTCTGTTCTTAGAAAAAGAAAATTGAATTTTGCTATTAGTAAGAGTGCATTTAGATACTGAAGTCTTGAAAGAAAAATGAATATTTATACGTTAGGTTGAATCCAGACTTTTGCTCCTAGTAGCAGGAGTATTCCCTGACTGTAATTCCACCCATGAGATGCTCCCGCTTGAAGTAGGGAAAGGTCAATGTTGCTGGTTCTCCTCTCCTTGGGTGACCTTCTAGAACAATGTGAGAGCTCATGACAAGGGCTACAGGGAGGGGGAACTGGCAAACATTTGCTTAACAACCCCTTTCACCAGTGGGAGTGTCAGAGTCTAATTCCATAGCTGTAGTGATCACTAATGAGCAACCTGTCTGCCATTACTGATATTCTTATTGAGAAATCTCGGTTATTCTGAGGAATCCTAGGCAACATACAGTAAATCAGACTAAACTGAATGATAAAGGAAACTTGTTCCAATTTAGTTTTCATGTGAACTTTCCTCTGCAGCTGGTCTCAAAAGAATCTGTAAAGCCGTTGTAGATGCTCCTAATGATGACCAGAGACTGAAAGCCTTTGCCCCTATTCAGGAAATGCTAACTTTTGTTCAGTTTGCTAATGATGAATGTGACTATGGAATGGGATATGAACTGGGAATAGACCTCTTCTGCTATGGGTCACATGTAAGTAAAATAATTTTCTCTGCAGAAACTCATTCATTTTGTGAGTGAACAGAAAGAACAAATGAGCTCAACCAAGCAGCTCGTGAAACTAACTATACAGGAAACTGAGGAAATGTTTGACATGAAAAACAGTATGGGTGTGTAATATCAATTTCAGTGAGATAATGTGTTCTTTTAATCTTTTCTAGTATTTTCACAAGATTGTTGGCCAGTTGCTGCCTCTTGCTTACAACTTGCTGAAGAGGAATCTGTTTGCAGAAATCATTGAAGCTCATTTAGCTAATAGGAAAGAGGAGAATGTAGACCAGCTTGCAGCATGAAATAGTGTCATTAAGTGAAGTATTGAGTTGCCTTGTTTCGGGGTATTTTCTTGTTTTTTGGTACTGAACTGGTGTAGTTTCTATGTGAGATAAATAAACTTGTTTTGCTAAAGATTAGCAGCTTATTGACCGGGGTGGGGATCCAAATTATATTTCCACTTTCATTTTGCACTCTACATTGCCATACACTGTAATATTATAAGATAATGGGTTGCAAACCATGAGGTGGCCTTCTAATGGCAGAAAAGCTGTTTTTAAAAAATACAGTGGACTATGAGGAAAGTTCTGGGGTGGTGGGAGGTGAAAAACCTACTTTCCATGTTTCCTGAGTAGCAGAGTTTCTACTACCTTCACAGTTACTCCTACCTCATCTTCAGCAAGTGCAGGTGGGCATAGACTTGCCTTCTGAATAACTTGGTCAGAAGCTATATATGCAATACTAGGCTACTACAGGGGTGACAGCAAACATGCCGTAAAGGCTAGGGATCAATCAAGCCAGTCTTTCAGGAGGAAGAAAACTTACAACAAACCAGGAGTTAGAAATATGTTAAACTTGCTTGCTACAGACAAGAGAACAAAACCAGTTCTAAAAACAAAATTCCTGCATTTTCACATTTGATGAAGTATTTACTTAATATGGTTATCCTACTTTTTTTAGACAGCTCGTGTCTATTAAAAAAAGCAGCTCGTGTCTATTTAAAAAGAAATTCACTGCCCTCAGACTTTGGAACACACACACACACACACAGAGGAAGCAAAAAAAGGTAGAGAGAAAAATTGTTCTTTAATGCCAGAACAAAAAAGGTGGTGGTTGGTGGTTCATTTTTCTTTGGCCCTTTATTTACGTTTTACACTCTGCTCTGTTATCCCAAGTGGTTCACAAAAAGTTAAATTTAAAATCAAGTCTCTGTTGAGGCCAAATGAAGAAGGCGAGAAGCTTACACCTACAAAATTTTGGGAAGCCAGGTGGAGGGAGAGATCCAGCCAACAAAACCTTTTCTTCAACAGATGGCAAATGCTACTAAAAGCCATTTTTGGCAGAGCAGCAAGTAAATAATTGTTTAGCATACCTTTCCAACAAACAAAAATTACTGGTGGCAGATTGTGTAAGAATACTCTACTGAATTTCTGTGACATTGTGCTGACTTTGCTTTTGGTCACATTCAAGGTTTTGCCTCATGGTTTTTGTTTTCACCTAAACCCTTTTTATGTGGAAGAAAATGGAGGACAGGAATCTAATACAAAAGGGTAGTTTACAATTGATTATTATAGAGCTAGATCAATCTGCAGTTTAGTTCTTCCACTTAAAAAAAAGGTGTGTGTGCTCTTTCTGCTCATTCACTAAGCAAATGCAAGAAAGGAAAAAGCTGTGTTTTAACATTCTTCCATTCTGGTATGTTTGACAGTACCTCCCAAATCTTTGGATAAAAGAAATGCATATGTACTTTGTATAGCCAATGATTAATTAAGTAATGAAAAAAGTCAAAACCAAAATGGTCATACAGAAAAATTTAATACATTTTTATAATGAAATCATCACAGTAATAGGTTTTTTATTTTACTGTAATGATACGCAACTATATCACACTAGTATAAATAAAAACATTAGGATTAATGTTTAATACAGGTCTAGGAAATATCACAGATTAACAAACTATGCATTCATGAACCAACTGAACTGCTATAAACAAAACAAAGATGGCGATACCCTCAAACACCACATCCTGCTCAACTTGAATAAGGCCCTGCAAATTTTTACATTAGTATATACCCTCTGCTTTTTTGCGCAATACACAGGCACACTTAGTTCAGTTCCAGAGTCTCTTAATGCACCATGACAAACAAACTTGTCATGCGCTAGGGAGGAAAACTGAGCAGGTAAGAACAGCAAACAGTGCATTAGATCGGCACGGTATAGATGTGAAGGTCTTAACATTTAAGTAAGTGATCTGGGGCATGAATTAGTATCTTTTCACTTCATGCTGCAACAGCTAGTCTGAGGGCACTGAATTTATACCCAAAAAAACCTCGTGTTAAAGCAAGTAGCTATATGAAAGTTTCATACTGAACAGGACAGGAGGATTTCAAATTAAAGCATGTTACTTAGAGAAAGTAAGTTTATTTTAGATATACATGATAAGAACCAGGGCAAAAGAGTTTTTACTTTTAAAGAAAGTGTTAGAAGTATCATAAGTAGTCTCCTGAACTTTGTCTATACATTAGCCAAATTCTGTTCAGTTAACACTGATTTACACAATAAAAGGCTCCAAAGGAACAAGTGTTCCAGTTTAATACCCAGGCAAGTAAATAAAGAAGGTCTCATTACTACCAATTTTAAAAAACAATAGCTTGGACCCAAAGTTTCCCTTTCTCTGACAGGGGGCTCCCATCAAAGGCTGGGAATCTTTGGATTCAGCCCAATGTACTGTGCCAAAAAGTATAGCTTTGGCAAAGGTTCAGCTCAGAGTTCAAAGCAAAGCTTCAAAGAATTTCTAAATCACATTGGCCAATTAGGCACTGCAAAGAAATATTAATCTATAGATTTTAAAAGCTACGCCTAAACAATTATTAGTATTTGGACCACTTAGCAAAGCACTTGTTTACAGTTCTTAGTTGCATTCCTACCGACTTCACCAAATTTACTCTGGTATTCCTTTGGAACATGTTTTCCTCAGACAGATACTCTAGTGTCAAATGATTTGCAAATAAAAAAGAGCTTACTCAGGCAACAGGCCTGAGATACACAAGCACACCTGGTGTTACACAAACATATGTGCAGTACGTAGGGCACCTGGTTCTTTTTATGAAAAGATGCTTCCCTGGCTACCTTACACACACCTGTGAATTTTGAGTGTTTCCAAATGGGCTTATCAAGTGAGGTAGGGGAATACTGGGCAAAGTCAGGCGCTACACTGTGCAAACAGTTTACCACACAGCCCTCAATCATTCTGACAGTTTCATGTTCACCCATAATGCTTGAAAAGCCAATGTAAACGCCCTCGCAATCAGGAGATGTGATGCTCTGGAATGTTCACCTGCCAGTCACATCTCTAACTGTCCCATTTATGTTTCAATTTTTTTATGGTCAAACCCCTCAAAGTAACACCTCCCAGTCTTTGGCCTGATTCACACATGATAAACCAAAGTTTGGCTTAACTAGACTGTGCTCCCAGAGCAGCTCACAGCCTGCAGCCTCTTTGCTCCTTTCCCAGTCCTTTTTGCTGCTGCGAGCCAAGCCAAACTTTGGCTAAGCATCTTGTGCAACTGGGCCTCATGGTTAAGCTCTCTTCTCACTGACCATGAGCTGCTCCCAAGGCCAACATACTAAGCCAAACGTTGACTTGGCTCACTGAAGCAGCAAAAAGGACCAGGGAGAAAGAGGATGTTGTGCGAACCAGGCTACTGTGGTAGTGATGTTTTGTGTAGAATACAGTGTAGACATTCCAGATACAAAGGATTGTATATTATTGGTGTCCCGCTGCTGAAAGAAGGCTCTTTGATCCAGCGGGTGCTTCCATCAACAGAACAGAGATTGGGGCAAACTTCAGTGATTTCCCTTTCCTCCTACAACCTGCCTCCAGTCGGCTCTGGAGGACAGAAGACCATTAGAAGAATGTGGAGAGTGGTGCAGGGGGCTGCAAGATAATGGCCAAGTCATCAAAGATCGCTTTGATCCCCCTTCCACTCAGGCAAGACTCTGCTGCATCCAAGAGCTTTTTCTCAATTGAGGGACACCAAGTGGATACAACCCAGAAATTGAGACAAAAAATGTTCCAGTAAATTATATCTATTGTGGATAGGATTTAAACCCGACATAGTTGCAGTAGGAATCAATTGTTACTTGAAAAACTGAATTATCACTTCAGCAGTTATGTTCTAAAGCTACTGAAAATCAAAATCAAAATGATAACAGGTTTATAATTAAAATAATTGTTTTTAAATCCTGCATTATTTACAAATGTTGGGTCCATTATTTCTGCTTTGTTTAAAAACAAACAGTAATTTAAGATTATGGCCATCAATCAAGTGGCAGACTGCATTATAAAGAAATATTAAACACTTCCCCCATTGATAAGCTTTTGCCTAACCCATCTTTGCACATGGAGGTTTCTGAATTACTGTATAAAAAATACATTATAAAGGTAAAATTAACTGTGTCACTGTTAACTAATTTTATTTAGTATATTTTAATTCATAAAAATATAAATAAAATAATGCTCAAATATCAGTGTATATCTAGTGCAAAATATGATTACATTTTTGTAGGAACAGGGAACAAAAAGTGATGGGTCGTAATTCTGAGGCAGGGGAGGAAATCTCCAGTGTTTGAGCATGCAGTTGTTACCAGACACATTTATATAGAATTGTTCTTAATAGAGTAGCAGTATTTTCCTTACACCGCACAACATTGGTATATACCTTAGTGTTTTTAATACAAAAAAATTGCATAAGCCCAGGTCATGTTATCATCTTGCAACAACATTCTTTTTGAGACAGGTTTTGGCTGTTTAAGCTGCAGCTCAAAAGCTACAGGATTTCAAACATGCTTCATACAAGTTATTTTACCTGCTCAATCTGCTTCTGTTGCAGTAGATCAAAACTGCCATAATAATTTCATGATATACAATCTCTTAAGTTTAAATGGCACAAGAAATACTTCCTTCTTGTGAACAAACTCAGCAGGTCACAGTACATCTCAATATGAGAAACTACCATTTCAGAAGGGCACATCAATTGTAAAGAGGCTCTGTTAGGGCTCAGGAGAGAGAAATAAAAGCTCTTTTGGAATGTAAAGAGGTGATATAAATAACTATGCACTTAATGAGTTAACACAACAATTGTCTGTGGTAAAAAGGGCAAAATCTTCCAGTATTCAAAAGATGGCTCAATTCAAAATGATCCCTCCAGAAACAGGGACTAGTAATCAGTTTCTTCAATGCTAAAGCAGCAGGGTACAGAATGGAGCCTTCCATCTTCTGACACAACTTTGTTACTGCACTATCATGGCAGATCTAGCAACTTAGAACGCATCCAGTGCAAGATTGCAGAACTTCGCTCCTACCCTCTTTGTTACTGTGAGGACCATCCTTTTTCCAACTCTGCGCTTTTTCCTAAATCAACTCCTGAATTCCAGCGGCATGCTTCCCCAAAAATCCAGCTTTCCTCTTGCATTGCAAAACAATGCCTCATGCTAAAGTGTTGTGCTATTCAACAAATGAACCTCCTCTTCACTTTCCTCTCTCTCCTCTGTTACTGAATTCAGTTGAACATTATTGATGCGGGGTCTTGGTTTGCCGTCTGGGCCATATGACGGAGGATATCTTTTTTTGTTATGATGCCAAGGAGGCGCCTGGAAAGAGACACATAGAAGATGGCTAATTAAATACACGAGCCAGAAGAAATAGCCAAGCTAATTTTATAGCCAAATCCTTTTTGTTGACAGGAACAGAGTGCAGTAAAGCCTGATTTTCTTATTCCAAGAAACACATTTTGTTGCCATCAAGCAACCATCATTTTCTTTAAAACAACAGCAGTACTAAGATACTAAAGAGGGTGGTCACTAAACTGTAACCCGTTTTCAACTTCTAAGTAAAGAAAAGCCAAGCCTGTGCCCACTAATAGTTATTTTTTTGTTGCTGATTATTATATGCCAACAAAAAAGTAACAAAGGAGGACAAAGAAAAAGCAAACGTGTGAATAAGTGATACTGATCCCATTACCAAAAGAAATTATGGTTGAATATAGCTGGACTCAAAATTGCTTGACAGTTCAATTTTGAGGCTCTGTCCAGCATAACCTATTGGTTTGGGTGTCTTCATAAGAGCACTTGCACATATGTTTGAAGAAGAGATGATCACAGATTAATTTATTTCAGGTTCAAATTGAAAAAAAGAAGAAAAAAACATTTAGACCCCCTTTTTTCTTATTAGAAACAGTGCTCTTATGATCCAGGTTTTACTACTTATATATCAAGGAGTGAAGCTGTCCTAAAAAGGTTTATCACAGGAGAGGCAGAAAAAAAGAATGAGCTTCTAACCTTGTCATTCTGGTTAGTAGTTTTTTGCTGTAACTTTTTTTTTTTTAAATAGGATGCATGAAACACTTGTGAAGTATTAGAATAAAATGCAAGTTCAATTAGCATGTAAGCAGCCAAACTTGGAATACAGGTTTTAATAGCAACTACTGCAGAGCAGCAACTAGAATCTAAATAGCACAAAATACAGCAAGAAGGACAAATGACAAATTCTATCACTGCTGATGTTAATCAGGAAATAAAGTGCCTTCTAGTAGTCGCTCCACAAAGTGACTGCAACTGGGCAGGAAATAGTTCTAATGCTGAAATATGTCCTAGTTCAGATGTCAAAGACTACAATGAAGTTTGCAGGCTGATTGGCAGCTCTTGTTAAAAATGAAACCCCCAAACCTACAGAGTTTTGGCACATGCTTATTTTACACAGTTCAACAAAACTTGTCAGAAAACAGATGTACCCTGGAACCTTTGGGAATAGCAGAATTTCTATCATTGAAATCGCTAATCCACTTTCTTGCATAACGTTCACTTTTAATTAACAGTGAATGTTGAGCTCATGTCTTCATTTAGCATATTTTCCCACAAACGGATTTTGCTCACATTTCAAATTCATAAGGCCTATATACTTGTTTATGGAGGTTTGTTGTTGTTCAGCTGTTATAAGAGAACACTGAACAATTCACAAGTTTCATGCTTCCTGATGTCTAAAGTGTCTAATGAGGAGATCTGATATATCTAATCACCAAGGGTTCGACGTGCTGCTTTAGTTGCTCGAGATGCTCTAATATGTTCTTCTTTGTGATGATCCCCAAGACAATCCTGAAACAGATCATGTTATGCTAATAACTGTGTGTGAAATCAAACAAAAGAGCTCCAGTCATAATGAAAGAAGTTTAGGGGGGAAAGTAAAACGAAAACATGGACTGCAGAAATGCTAATAATGGGAAGGTTAACTGAAAAAGGATTTGAAGGCCACTGCATCTTCTCTCAATGCATATTAAACTTAAGATATAGACACATGTTGCACACTGACATCTAGATGTTTTACCATTATTACAACCAATCTTTCCACATTTCCTGCCATTATAAATATGAAATGCAAGAACAAGCTTAACTTTTACTCCTACAGATGCACATTTTACCTTCTTAAAAACATCTGATGATCAAAATATTAAGCCTGCCTCTGTCTCTATTTTAATCACATTAACAGTCCTTAAGACAGGCACCTAAATGCTACTCCATACTCCCTCTCCCTGAATTCTGCATCTAGAATAAATTAGATCAATATGTTCACATATACTTAGTTTGGGTCTGTTTAAGCAGGAATGGTAGAATGAAAACAGGCAAGAATGGGGAAGACGGGATAAATGTCTTATAAGAATAAAACCAGGGAGTAGCTGAAAACAGCAGATGGACAAGATGTTAAACAGGATGCCAAAACCCCACATTCTGACTCCTGGTAGTCCTACTTAGTTTCTTTCCATTACTTTAGATTTCACCAACACCTGTTTCATCTTTACATTTTTCTTACAGGCCATCAGAACTGGAAGCTTTTTAAAAATAATATTATTATTATTAATAATAAGATTCTTAGCATGCCACACACTGGACCAATACTAAATCCTGCACATATACAACAATTCCCTGGAATATACACAGCCGCGATAAAAAGCAACAGAACAATTAAGATACAAGTGGTATCACCAAAATGCAAAACAAAAAACCCAGAGCTTTCCTTTTCCAAACCACAAATAATTTTAGAGAAACATCCTAGCAAGCTGCTTTTCAAGGTCATGAAAATTAACAAATCTTTTGTAAACCAGCTTCTTAAAAATTAAAGGGTCATATTGTAGTAGACCAACTGAAATCAATGGACTTGCTTAATGGGCCCAATCTGAATATGACTAACACTGGCTATCATCTAAAATGCTTAGAATTGTGTTGGGGGTATTAAAACTGTTTTACTGTTCCAGCTGCTGTGACCTCTTTCCTAGGAAAGGAGATCGAAATTTCCAGTCTGCATACACGTTTCCTTGCCTGATGCAGTCACATGCAGCAAATATACACGTCTGCTTAGTGATGTGAATGATTTGGGGGTATGCCCCAAACTGACAAGTGGAATGAGATCTGGCCACTGTTAAAATTATCAAACGCAAAGTAACATTAGCAAGCTGAAGCAAGAAAACAAATACGGACATTACACAGCTGCAGATTAAGCGCAAGTAACTTTTTGCTATCGTGTTCACTTAATAATTCATTAAGAAATATAATAGAGTAATTTCTACATAGTTAATAATCGCATTGGAAAATGAGGTACTTCCAGTTGTAGCAGCATATTTTGCTACACTTCTACAGAGGGGGCTTCAGGCCTCATCAATGGTTTTAAGTGTTATAAAAGCATTTTCTAGGAATGCTATAGTGTACTCAACCCCATACATACATAGCAGTTTAGCTTTCAGGATGCAATCCTACTTACCTGGGTGTAAGTCTCACTTAGCCTAAGGAGACTTACTTTTGAACATAGTGTTGTTTGTTTAATTTGGGCTGAAGGCCTCTATTTAAGGCAGCAAATTTAAGTAGTTTATTGCAAGATCACATAGTGATGTCCAGTCTCTGGAGTCTAATATACATTAATCTAAAAATATCAGGCGGTATCCAGCATTGGTCATATTCTGGGTAACCTCATTGCCACTGATTTTAATGAGCTTCTCCAAAATATGGATATCACTCATTATGTATATAGTTTTAAAGTGGAAATAGTTGTAGTTGTTATTGGTGTTATTTACAGCTTATCAGCATGTGCTTTGCATGCAAAAAGATCAAATTCTATACTCAGCATCTCCATATAGAACTGGGAGAGGGCAATGTCTGAAATCCTGGAGAGCCACAATATTGCAAAATAAACCACACTGAGTTATATCATTAGTCTGATTCAGTATAAGGCCACTTCCTAGTCATGCACTTGGCATAAGTAATGTTGTACCAGAGGGAAGACATGTAAATGCAACAGAATGGCACCTGTGCTGTAAGCAAGGATTTTCTGTTTCAGAGTGTTGGAAGGTTCATGGAAGCTGATGTGCAAAGTTTCATAACCCTCCAACACTGATGTCATGCTGCTCACTTGAGTAGGCCACTCCCATTAGCAGTTCCATGTGAAAAGTTCCATGTGAACCAGCTCTGAGACCCAGTAGTTTCATGGATCATTCTGAGAAGGCAAGTATGATTAGGCTGTGAGATCTAGTCTTATGATATAAAGCAGAAAGGGGGGAATGAGCTCATCATGGGGCTTCAGCTGTTGGGGGCAGACTCATGTTGCTTGCAATATGCAGCCCCCTGCTCATTTGTTTGAAGGGTATACAATCAGTTGAAAAGGAGGGAAATCACAACAAGAAGAGCTACAGAACTAGTGGCAATGTAGCTTTCATTATCATAACTTAACTGCACAGAGACAATGCAAACTATGATAAAGATGCTAGGGCCATTTTGTGACATGAGGGCTCTTGCAAAATGCAAGAGAGGAGGAGGCACCACCTCCAAGAAAAAACACAAATATGCTGAAGAACTGGGAGTAGTATTCAGTGGTGTCGATATCTTAACTGGAGGCAGGAGTATATACATCCATTCCATATTATGGTTTTAGACACAAGCAATATGGAAGCATTCCCATATCTTAAGAACAAAATATAACCCCCCAAAATCATGAATTTCTGTATGTCCCTCTTCTCATGGTAAACCAGTGAGAACAAGAAACCTTCTAGTGTTATGAATTATCCTCAGATGATTCTCAGGACTTATTTTGGGCTGCTAGGAGAAGATAGTGGGAAATTTGCAAAGAGCTGTGTTTGCTTTGAAAAAATAAAATAAAATTAGGAGAAAATAACTTCTAAGTCAACACCCTGCTATGCGGTTGCCTCATGTTTAATACTTGAACAAGTGTTAGGGTGTTAAGACTTCTGAAGGAGCAACAGGACAAAGATAGAAAAATAAGTAATCCCAAACCTTTGTGATACAAATAGCAGTTCCCATCATTGGACTCACCCATTGTGTGTTACAAGGCACTGCCTCAGGCCCAGTTTGCGGAAAATATCAACCACTATCTCCATTGGTGTGTGATCCGTCACAGTAAAAGGGCTCATATCAAGAATGCTTCTAAGCTTCAAAGGTCGAGGGCTTTCTGCTGGAAGTGATGGGGTATGCTGGGCAAAACAGACTCTGGAACTGCCAACAATGCCTTCTTGCTTCTTCCTGGCACTTTCTTTAATCGGGACAATAGAAAACAAATATGTGAAAGAGAATGAATTATTCCCTTATGTCTAAAACAGTGAAAACTATATCTAAAAAGAAAAAGAAAGGACTATACATGGTGGTGTTCCTCACGCCCCACCCAACCTAACTACAAAAGATTATTTTCTCTTTTAGTAATCCATGTCATGTTAATTTAATTCAATAATCCTAAATAAGAATAAAGATACTTAATCCTACAAATTGTTCAATTCAGGAAACACACTAGCATTTCAAAACACTAAAAAATGATAGAAGGGGGAGGGTGCAATGTTTCGTTATTAAAATATTTTTAACCTGCCTTTTGACTAAAAGTATCCAAAGTAGCTACCACTAGAAACACTTAAGCACAGTTCAAAGTTGTACCAAATTTTAAAGTTAGCAGGACAGTAATCCTTAATGCAGAAAAAAGAAAGGAAGCTAATCGGGACAACCACAAAAGCCTTTCAGAAGAGGGTTGTCTTAGTCCAGAATCTAGAAAGAAGTACAGACAACTCGCAATTTGTGCAAGGGTGAGAAGCCAAGGATTGTGCGTAAAGCTGAAATCGCATATAGCCAGAATAACCCCTGTGCAACCATCCCCACCTTTCTGAAACCAGTGTGCAAAGTGGTGCTTGTGCCCCAGGCAAGGTGGAGAGCTTAAAAGCTCTTTCCATGGTGGGAAAACCTGGAAAACTGTCTACAAGTTGCAAGTCAACAGTAGTGAGCTCCACAGCTTCAGTGCCACAGCACAGCCCATTACTCTTCAGTCAGTGGGAGGAATACAAGTAGGTTCAAAAGAGAGTAATCAGTCCTTGAAGTATCTTGGGCCCAGACATTTCAGAATTTAAAAGGTCAAAACTTTAAACTGGGCTTGGGAATCAAGAGGAAGCAAAGTTATACATGTCCCGCACCCTGCACCACTCAACACTTTAGCATCTGCATTTTGAACCAGCTTCTGTTTCCTAGAAGTGTGGGTGTGGGTGTATTCATTCTTGATTTATTCTCCAAACAAACAAGGGGGGAGGGTGGAATCCAGCACACACATACTAATGTTAGAGATAAGAAACAGTGCACAGGTCAAAGTCAAGTGACATCAGAAATGTGACGGATCATGTGGCCATAAATTAGTCCAAAATGTTATTTATAACCTTAAGGGTTTAAAATCAGAGTGTAGTTTATCTACATATATTGAGTGTATTAAAGAGATCCAATCTAGATGTAACTAAGGCATGAATCATCATGGCTAGGTCATTCCTCCTGCAATGCAGCCTATGTAAACTCATGGGTACTGCTTCACCTGAATATTCAGGGGTAACATCAGATGCAGGAGTTCCTCCAAGCTGCAAGTCTGAGTCTTCAAGTTATCCTAGCCTTACACTGGATATACTCCTAATCAACAGTGCTTTCATCTTGCCCGGATGAAGTTTCAGCTTGTCTGCTCACATTCACTGAAGCATTTCAATGTTTAAATCCACAAAAGTAATGCAAGCAATGCTGCTTCTCCACACAACTATACTGCAAAATTATATTCTAGGTCTTCAAAACTGCCCCGAGCCATATCTGTATGACAATCTCTTTGATGGTGGAGTGGGGACACAAAGACATTCATTTTCTATCACAAAGATTCATGTAGCACACCCCTATTACAAGAATTAAGTTGTGCATGTCACAAACTTCTAGATATCTGGACTTGAAAGTGGCAGATAAAATTCACTTGGGTATTACTAGGTAATTATGCTGTGGCATAATTTCATATCAATCAGTTCTGGAATTTTATGCTTTTCAAATCTCGGTATGGCAAAAGCTGCAGTAGGTATTTCATTTGGTCCGATTCCCAGTCTCACTGCTCCCAAAGCTACTATGCAGTGCTAGAGCTTCCATATTTGGCTACATGGGACTGTTAAGAAGAAGAAACAGTTCACTGTAGGGTTCTCTTCATGTGAAAATGGAGAGCCTGGTGCTGCTCTTCAAGGATTACGCCCCCATTTCCACCTCCAAATTCATGTAACCCTCCGATTTCTCCTATGACTGCTCTTGAGCTAATGCTTTTGGGGGGGTATAGGGGAGGACAACAAACTCAGAATACAAAAATTCAATTACCTATTGCAATAGTCAAATCTCTCCTTAGAGCAAATCCCACTAGCCTCTGGGACTCTTTGGACATTATAACAGGAAAACCGTTATAGCTGGTTTCATTGATCATATTTTCTATATCATCCACTGTCATATTATCTTGTGTCAACACTGCCAGGGGTGCATCGTTTCTTCGAGGTCTCATGACATCAGCTGCCAATGTTGTGTGGGTAAATTCTTCCTTGGCATCCAAGAAAGGATATCCATTCAGACGAATGTGTGCTTCATAGATACCTTCCCTGCCAAAAGCGTCTCCTACCCACTTGCTTGTCATTACTGCAGCCATGAGGGGCACAATGTATTCTAGCCCACCTGTCAACTCAAATACAATAACCACTAGAGATACAGTCATCCTTGTCACACCACCTGAAAGGGGGAAAAAAGAAGGTTATTGATCAGTATGTCCTTGTGGAATAATGTATCAATGTGGTGTTCCCTGGCCACCTAGATAACATCAGGTGCCAGCCAGGTATTAAGTCAATCACCACAAGACTTCAACATGGAATTAGCAGCACATAACTTTGAATGTATATTAATGCTACACAAAAATAATAATAATAAAATTCACCCAAAGGTGTAGTTATCTTAAAGAAGGGGAAATGACAGACTGGTTTTATGATAAAAAATAATTTAATCCCCAAACTGCAAACTAACATTAGCTGGGAGTAAGTCCCATTGAGCACAACAACTCTTACTTCTGAGAAGACATGCCCAGAATTTCACTATATTTAAGTTTCAAGATTTAATAATGTGCTTATGTGGTACTGATAATTTCAACAAACAATTTAAATAATAATAATATGCAATCAGATGGTTTACAAAATCAAATTGGAATACAAAAAATGTTGACTTAGCACTGGGAAGGAAAATCGAAACTGACTGATCCTCCTTGTCCACAGCTTCCTCCACCAGAAGGAAGGCTTCTGTTACTAGTTTAACGTTTTTCCAAAGATGAACTGACTAAAGCCTGTCTGATCATTTACTCAAAATTTAATCTGCCAAAACCGGAAGTGGCAGCACCAGTTGCCAGGAGTCTTCTAGTAGTATAGCCATTTTACAACTCTAAGTTTGTATTCTTAAGGGGTTTTATTATCTTCCACATCATGATTCCCAATGCATAAATGGCTAAATCTATGTTCATATATCAAGGCAGGGCTGGGAAACAGCACAAGGATGTTTGTGAATAAGTATTTCAAGGATTACCATACTTTTAATCAATACCAATTCCAATTCACATTCAAACTTTTAGAGATGAGGGCTGGTTTTTTAAAAGTTGTGATTAAATACAGCATTGCATGCCCATAAGATGGGCTTATGGAAACATAGTCATTGTGGTTTTAATTACTGTATCTTTTCAGTACTGTCCATGTTTCCAGTTCAAAGCAACATGCTCTTCAAACCCTGGGCATGTCCATTTGTTCTGCTTTATCCCTTTATAACTTGCCTATTTAAGCAGTCGAAAAAGGGATAATCCCTTTCATTTACTGTGTTCTGATTTAGTTACCTAAGCATGCAGCAGCACCAACCATAGCATAGAGGCCGGGGGTTATACAGTCCGCTCCAACTTCACACCACTCCTTGAAGATAAACCAGTCATGGTGATAATATGCAAGTTGCTCCACAGCGATTCCCACGATTCTCCCAGCTATTGCGCCAATGGCCATACTAGGTATGAACAAACCTGATGGCACCTAAGAGAAAGAGAAAGCCAAGGAAGAATATGACCTTGTAAAGGAAATGTTTCCGCCTTTTAAGCACAGGAATAGGGAACCTGTTGCTTATCAGATCTGGTCAGCAACAGGTTCCCGATCACTGTTACAGTACATAGACCAGCGGGTTGTGTGAAAGATTCCAGAGCCAGAAGCCCCCACAAAGTTTGGATTCAGCTGCCTCTTTCCTCCTCAATAATAATAATAATAATAATAAATTTTATTTGTACCCCGCCCTCCCCAGCCAAGGCCGGGCTCAGGGCAGCTAACAAGCAATAATAAAAACAAGTTGAATGAATACAATTTAAAAAACAAGATTAAAATACAACATTAAAACATTATTATGATGGGATGGGAAGTTTACTGAAGAAGTGTGAAAGCCTCCATCTTCCCCACCCAGAATTCTAAGCTAACTAAGGCTCTACTGATGTCTGGGAATAATCACTAAACTGTTGAGGCTTCAGGGTAGATACAACATGAGGTGCAGCTGATCCAAGGGCAGTACATTTGGAATGCCATTTTCCAGAAGCACAACCCAATAGATACAATACAGCTCTCTGTAGCCATGCAGACACCTTTAGCAGACTGTAGCATCATCGTTAGCTCTTGGTGGGAAACACTGTCAAAATCCACTTCCTTAATTACACAGATTCTCTTCCCATCCCCTACATGGGGGCAGTCAGTGCTCCAGTATGTTAACCTCCTCCTCACCCCCTGCCCCAGTTCCTCTTTTCACTGCAGTATATCAGAGCCAGTGCATTACTGAAGCATACTTTCCCACGGAGGCTGCCACAGCTGGCAACAATTGAATAGCCAATTGTTTCAAAGACAAAAAAACCCCCATGCATTCGAAATATTCTTAAAGTCATATCTAACATTACATCAAGTCTGCACTGCTTGTTATTTCTTCAAGTTCCTAGAAACCAGCACACACATCTAAATCTGGTTTCCTTCTAGATGATGCAGCCTACAATCCAAAATAGTACATGAACCCTATAGCATACTGTAATTTGACTTTAGCGCAATGCTTGTCCATGCATCTAACTAGGCCTTCCAAAACCTGGAATATACTGTATTTAGTTTTAATCTTATTAGCCAATGAATGAACTAATGCAAACATGGAAGATATGTGCAATGTCTTCTGAACATCAACAACCATTCTTGCTGGAGTTCAACATTTATAAGCAATAAAGAGCTTAGCTTCTGAAAATAGGTCTTTCCATCCCACACAATTGTGCAAGAGAACACATCAGTGTTTGTCCTCCTTATTTGGAATCTCCAATTTCAAATTTCAACATGTTTGTATTCCTCACTGAACAAGATATCATTTGTCCTTCATACTAAATTAAACTTTGCTGCCTATCTTACTAAAAGGCACATGCAATACATTAAGATAGGCTTTCTCAATAATGTACCAGCTAAGAATAGGGGGGAATGCAATAGAAACCCAATCTTTAATGAAACTTTATTTATATAGTGCTCTTTCCTTCTAATTTGTATCTAACTATATATATATATTAACAGCATAATCCTATGCTTGTCTACTCAGAAGTAAATCCTATTGAGTTCAGTGGGGACTAACTGTCAGGTGTTTATAGGATTGAAGTGTAAGAAAGAGAGAGCTCAAGATTTGAACATGAAAACAAAAAGGGCAAGGGCCAGAGAAATATTGCTTGTTATATCTTACCTTGATACCGAAGGTGAAGACTGTCATTATAATCTTAAATATAAGGGCTAAACACAGCTGCCATATAGCTGAATACACTCCTGTGCCTGCTGGACGATCAGGAATATCATCTACTATTTTACTGACATTCATGTCATTTCTGTAATCACAAAGGGAGGAAGATTCCAAGGGGCCACAGTCTGTGAAGAGTTCTTTAATAAGCTCACTGGTGTTGACTCTGGTGTATGGATTTGGAAAAGCAATGACAGCGGTTATTGCTGCTACAATAATGACCTCCAGAACTGGATATTTTCCAAATTTTGTTGATTTGCGTCGACGGCACCAAGCGATGTTTGCACGGATGAAAAATGCTCCCCACAGCCCACCAAATACCCCCAGAAGAATGAATGGCAACAGTTCAAACAGGTACCATGGAGTATGGTATTCAACATAGAAAAGAACTAGGCGACTGTTACCAAAAGGATTGATTGATCTCAACACAAATGCAGCCACCAAAGCAGCAAAAAAAGATCTCCACAAAGTTTTCAGTGGAAAATAATAACTGACCTACAAGAGACAAAAAGAGAATAAATAATACAAATGGATCTATTGTGCAAATCTGCTCATTTCACTAAGCTTATAACAAGTAAGGGAAACTGTGTATTATCAACATCAGCAGCTAATGCTGAATGCTACTTTATGCTTTGTAATAATACAGACATCACTTCAAGCATTGAGAGAAATGACTGACATTAAAATATTTTAAACTAGAGCAATGTTTTGGCAGTCAGGATAATGGGTTAGTCGTGCACAGATTCTGCACCAATTTCTGCAGACAAATATGGCAGATACAGGATAAGCCTGACCTGAAGCAGTTTCACTATTGCTTATCTGTATGGCAAGCCCAAGAACTGTCCACAAAGCAGCCCATATTACCAAAGTTACAGAAAACAGCTTAGTGGTGTCACAGTAAAGATATTGCAAGCTAAGGTGCATGAAAAACCACATAACTGCTACATCATGAGCTGGATTCTGTCAACCCATGCATGTCTGCACCACTTTGACGTATCTGGAATGAGCTATCAAGTTCACACCAAGCACTGCCAGCAATGAGTAGAGCTTCAGTGAAGACAAGAAGAATGGAAACATTACATGCAGAGAATTTCTGAGGAGCTTCTAGCTGTTTAGGAATAACAGCAATAAATAGCTACTTGCCTAGTACTCTTTGACAAGTAGAATTTAGCTCAGGTGACTAGGCAAAGGAAATTTTATAAATCAGAAAGGTTATTCTTTCTTTCTGTGGAAATGCCATAAATGGCTAACATCAGGTTTAGGCAGTGAATCTAATACAGTGGTACCTCGCAAGACGAATGCCTCGCAAGACAAAAAACTCGCTAGACGAAAGGGTTTTTTGTTTTTTGAGCTGCTTCGCAAGACGATTTTCCCTATGGGCTTGCTTCGCAAGACGGAAACGTCTTGCAAGTTTGTTTCCTTTTCTTAACACCGTTAATACAGTTGCGACTTGACTTCGAGGAGCAACTCATAGAATGCGGTGTGGTAGCCTTTTTTGAGGTTTTTAAAGACTTTGGTGATTTTTGAAGCTTTTCCAAAACTTTCCCGACACCTTGCTTCGCAAGACGAAAAAAATCGCAAGACGACAAAACTCGCGGAACGAATTAATTTCGTCTTGCGAGGCACCACTGTAGTATCTTTTGTTGGCTAGTAGTAACTTCTGGTCACCTTATTTGCAAGGGTTGTACTACAAAGTTAAATTTATCTCTATTTACCACCAAATAGCCCTGCAATGAGTACACATTGAGTGAAACTGTGCTAAGCTTAAACCTGCATTGTTATGTACGTAGAGAGACTGAGTTTGAGTGGGTCATGTAAGATTACAGTAATAACGGAATACACATTTTTTTCAGAGATTTTTATACATACTTCTTCTAGGCTGAAAAGGACTCCACCAATGGGGGCACCAAAGGCTACTGATACGCCCGCTGCTGAAGCAGCTGATAATACCTGTAAAAAGGATTACATAGCTTTAGACTGTTTGAAATAAAATCTCAAATGTAAATAGTTCACTGTTATGACTTATCCACAAACACTGGGCATATATAAACACCATAGCAGCAAAAACCATATTTCATAACTGATTGGGATCAAATGGCTTCTTCTTAACTTAAGATTGGGAGATGTTGCTTTCTCTAAGCTAGTCACAACTGGCCATGTGTTCAAAAGCCACTTTCCCCAAGACCAATTCTAGAATTCAGAGAATATAATTTAGGAAGAGCTCTATTATCTGACCAAATGTGTTTTTAAAAATGTGCTCCCGAGGAAGGGAAGACTGTGGCACTGGAATCCGAGAGCCTGATCTTATGCACTCACATAGTTACGATATATATGTGCCAAAAAATGTGGCATAGTTTTCAAATTGTGTTCCAGTTTTTTTGGGGGGGGGATCTATTTAAGGCCCCTTGCTGCACACTTTTGCAAGAGCAAATTTATACCAGCAGCACTGAAGGCACAGGGCCATATACACATATGCTGAACCCTCTTTGCATCAATGAAAGCCCCTTGTGCCACATGCAGGCCTTTCCTTAGAACCAGATTACACCATTGGGATGAGGCAGCCATTGAGGCCCAATCCTATGCTCTTGCCACTGCAGAGCAGCAGACAGCACTGGGCCCTGGGGTTCATACTGCCAATTTATTACAAATATGAGAGCAGCGCAAAATTCTACAGGAGGTAAGACCTTGAACAATTTCAAAACACCAGTATTTCTAGAATTAACCTCATTTATTCTCTGTAGCTTACTACTTTATTCAATTAAGAAAAACAGCAATTATTTTAGCCGCAATTATTTAACTGCTATTGGATTAATAAACATGTTTATGCTTTATTTCCTTTTCATAAGAATGAATTATTATAAATGTATATTTTTATAAGAAAGACTCACCTCCCTTTTTTTTGCTTCATTTGTGCTATACTTCGGAAAGAGGTAGGAAAAGATATTTCCACAGCAACAGGCAACATGTACTAGAGGACCCTCTTTTCCTAAACTTAAACCTGAGGCTACAGCCAAGACTAAAGTGATTGTTTTTATCATCAAGGTCCACTTGCCCAGGTATCCTCTAATGATGAAGCCACTCAATATAGTTTTGATCTAGAATATAAAAGAAATAGACATTAAAATAATAATTTAGGCTTTTCATGAAAATTTTGAACACATATCTCAGAAAACATAACTTGTTCAAAACTTAAATTACACAGCTGCTGGAACAAAAATAACCACTCTAAATTCTCAAATCCTTTTTTTTTAAAAGTCTTTTAAAAGACTGAAATATATTAGTCTGTGATCCTGCACAACTACCACAAATAGACTGGTAATTCTTCAGATGCTTCTATTATATTAATGGAATTTATTCACTCAAAATATAATTAAGTGTGCAAGTTTAACAAAAAAAATTAATTTCCACAGCTCTTTTAACTTCTTTTCTATATCTAGTCCTAGATTTATTTTCCCCCTGTTTTGGCTATTTCACTTTGTGCTATGATGTTTAAGATTTCAATCACCTGTATCAGCTATATAACCTAATATAAATGTTATAGGTGGCATAGGCAAAATATAAGCTGTCATAAGTGGTCGTCGTATTTCTTCCACTCTGTTTCAGATCTATCTCCAACATCCGAAAAGGAACTCCACTGTGACTTATGGCCTTTGACACCCCTTCCTAGGGGTCATAGAACTGCAGCCTTAAATACACAAATTAAGTCCTGAACCACAATCGGAGTCCCAATACTTTATTTTGTACATTATTATTCATAAGCATGTAGTAAGTTCTATGTGACAGCATTCCTCTCTTTATCAACTTTCCTTAAACACTTTTAAGGATAATTGTAATGGAAAGCCTACCTCTGGAATCCCAGAGCCACATGCATAAGGTGCAAACACCTTCACCAAAGAAACGGCTAGGAAAGCAAAGCTCAAGGCCCAGAAAATATACATGATGTAGTTCATAATGTAGGAGCCTGGGCCCTGAAAGAAAGCAAACAGAACAAACAGTTAACAAATTTGAGTTAGCTACCACATAGTAACTTAATCTGCAGTGAGTTTTGACTCAAAATGTCTTTTCTTTTTAAGCGAAGCAACTACTGTACAGCAAACAGGATAGGGTTAGGTGGTCATTGGCTATAGTACAAGCCTACATGTCAGCACTCTTCTCCCATAATGCCAACAAGTGATTAAAGTAGAGGTGGAGAACCTGTGCCCCACCCCACCCCGAACTTGATGGACTGCAGCTCTCATCATTCGCGGTCCTGGCTGGCTGGTCCTGGTGGAAGTTGCCACAGGTTCCCTCTCCCTGCATTATGGGCTCACTCTGAAGCACAAGGTCTTTTTCAAACACATATAACAGATTGTGCAAAAAAACAGCAAAAACAGCAGTTAAATGGCAGCCAGACATTTCGGGTATTTTCATACTGTCAGGAGTTTCTGCACCTACAGCTTTCAGTAAGTCAATTTTGTAATTTCATTGAAATATTCTCATGCATACATGTTTCGGGCTGCTGAATTTCTGAAAAATGCCAAAAATCCCCCACTCCCACTCTCCATACCCATCAGAATGTGCACAAGGCATTGAAATGTTCTCTGAACATAGGATGCTCCTTAATCTTTCGTTATATGTTAAATTATTACCATTTCTGTTTTTGGATAAAATACCATCTGCAGGCATTCACAGACAGGTTAAGTCAGTGAAGAAAGGACAGTGAAGAAAAGTTGAAGAGCTATACTTGCCTCTGCTTGACCAATTATTAGTTCTGCCCATGTTTTCCATAGAGGACATTTGTCTCTCTCTTCAAATGTTGTTTCATTTGAGGCCCAGCAACACTGTTCATGGTTGAACCATAGGGCACTAAGACAAATGCCTTCCTTTAAATCAGTCATCCAGTCTGCAGCAATATCTATCAACCCAGCCAATGCACCTATTTCAGTAAGAGAGATGACATAGCATTTTCAGAGCCCATAAGTAGACAAAATCACCATCAATTCACGCAGGCTGCAATAAAAACTCAATGTGTTCAAAAACAGGCCTAGCTGAGATTACTCTTCTTCAAAATGTAGAAGATTAATGTTAACAAAATCAATCACTTCACCCGGAATGCCAACATAACATAAATGGTGTCATTAATTTTGAAATGTCCCATAGAGTTTTACATTACTGACTTGGGGATATTTTTTCTTCATACTTTTCAAGATTAAATCTGTAGGGTAAAGTCTCTGATAACCTGATCTTGACAGGATAGGCATGCACAGCCCTCAGGAGCTCATCTTGAAATGCTTAACAGTGTCTAGGGAGTTGGATATTAATCACATTTCTTCTTTAATAATAATAAATAATAAGAATGTTATTTATACCCCACCCATCTGGCTGAGTTTCCCCAGCCACTCTGGGCAGCTTACAACATATCTAAAAACATAATAAAAACATCAATCCTTAAAAACTTCTCTAAACAGGGCTGCCTTCAGTTGTCTTATACATAGCTGTCAATGTTTCCCGATTTTTAAGGGAAATTCCCTTACTCTGAATAGGATTCCTTGCAAGAAAAGTGAAAAGTTGACAGCCATGGTCTTATAAAAGTCAGATAGTTGTTTATTTCCTTGACATCTGATTGGAGAGCGTTCCACAGGGCAGGCGCCACTACCAAGAATGCCTTCTGCCTGGTTCCCTGGTTCTACTGAGGAGGACCTCAGTAGCTGGAATGAGAGATGGGAGTGGACACTCCTTTGGGTATACTAGGCAGAGGACGCTTAGGGCTTTAAAGGTCAGCACCAACACTTTGAATTGTGCTCGGAAACGTACTGGGAGCCAGTGAAGATCCTTTAGGACCAATGTTATATGGTCCTGGCGGCTACACCCAGTCACCAGTTTAGGTGCTGCATTTGGATTAGCTGCAGTTTCCTAAAGAAATCTGAGTGGTTTGGAGCCCTGCAGAGTTTTACAACTGCTTTGTAAGCAGCACTTAAAAGTAGTTTCCCCATTTTGACATCACAGAAAACTGTGGTTTAAGAAACCAGGACATCTCCTCTGAAGCTCAACATATGGAAAGGGAAAGAATGGGAAGGGGGGGGGGGGACTCAAGCTCATTGCTTGCTCATACTCCAACAATCCATATTTTGTTGGATTGGGAGTGTTGCATAAGGACCAGGCCATAATCTAAAGAGGATGATTCTCAAAACCTTTAATAAAACATTCTTTACTCAGTCTTTTAGTTCTAAAAAAATAAAACTTTATAACCAGCTTGACTTGTTTTGTACAAGGAAGGACAATTTCCTTGTTTCCTGCATGTATGCTAATATTTAACTTGGCAGGGCAACCAAAGAACACCAAGATCTTCAAATGTTTCATACTCTAGAATACTCCAATATTTGATGTTGCACTCAGGAAGTCAATGGACATTCAGCAGAAAGAAGAAAAAGAATACAGGATGCAGGTCAAAATCATTCATCTAGGTGAAGTGAGAAGAGACACAAAATGGTCTGGAGTCTTGGGGTAGAAGAGTGACGTATCCATGGTTTACTGCACGCCTTACTGCACTGATCATAGCTTTCACCTTTATTGTTGCCTCACATACTGTAGATTGCCAATATTATAAGTGATCAGAGGTGAGGGTTGCACTCCTGTACCCACAGTCTGCAAGTTAGCCCCCGCTGAACTAAATGTTGACTTATGTCTGAGTATACATATATATATGACTGCACTGTAAATATCACAAATTTCACCAGGGGTTCTACAAAAACTAGACAGCTCCTTCAAGTTGCCCCTACCTGATGCTAATCCAGTTAGTGTCACAACTAGCCATCCTGACCATGCATCATACAAACTCTTTGTCATCTCCCAGGCCGATTCTTTCTTCTTGCTATTGATCTGTAGAAACAAAATATTACCTGGTATATTACAAATCTTTATTCGATTAACAAATTATACGAAAAGTTTGTGTTCTGCTGCTGAGCCATGGCCCAGTTCTGAATTGTGTGGGACAGGATCCTGAACCTTGTCATGTTCTAATGCCAATTATAAAATGCTTTTTCAAGTTGTCAGTCTGTCACCAGCTGTCAGATGTTGGAGAAGTCAAACCCTTTGGCTACCAATGATGTCCTTAGACCTTTTGCTCCAAGGCTGAGGCCATTCACTCCCTAAGCAGAATTCCACCTTTCCTGTTCATTCCCCCCCCCCCCACTGCTCCTACTGTGTTGTCCCCCACCCCCATCAACAGCTTGATATAGAGGAAGACAAGGGTTCCTACTTCTTATGTTCAGAAGAACACTCAAGAGAATAGAAAATTTTAAAAAATGATCCAGCAATGAATCATTCCAGTGTCAGCTACTATAGTGACTCAAAATTCAATTTGCACCAACACATTACAGATGACACCTCTCCTATACATTTATATAAATAACCATTAACCTGGTCAAACAGTATGCAAAAGCAAAGTTGTTGTTGTTTTTAAAAAAGTAGTGCCCTAGAGTTTTTACCCGTCTGTGTCTTTCTCTGTCCTTGCACTTCTCTCGCACCCAATCAATGGTGTGGAAGTCATCGTATGTTCCAACCCCAGGAATGGGCTCATCCAAGAGGTCCAGTAAATGTGTAGTACTGTTAATGCTTCCTCCATTTGTCATTGTATAATGAGTTCCTGCTGTGGAAAGATAATTATTTATTTATTTTAGTTTCTGTACAAGAAGATAACTATCTATTTAACTTATGGCTGCCGACATTCTAAACTTAAATCAAATAAAATTCTTATTATATCATAGTCTGGATCTGAGATGATACAGCACACTGCTCATCAGGAAAAATCCTGTGGGCTCATCCATGATTCAATGGCTGTATCAAGAGCATCTCAAACTTATGTCTCTACAACATACCTCTTTCAACTGTCTATATAAGGCTTACTCTACTACAACAACTACCGTACTACTACTATTTCTTAAATTTCTATACTGCCCTTCATCCAAAGATCACAGGGCAGCTGACAATATAAAAACACAAAAAGGCCTAGGCCCTCCAACTGTTAAATATGATATCCGTATCTACAGTGCACGAACTGCCTTTTTTCACTGCTACAGAAAATGGGTTTCTACAACAACTCCATCTGTGCACATCTCCACTTCATATGCCTCCCCAACGTCCCTATATTTGGCAACAATGCAGGTAAGAAAGCATTCACCATGTCACCTGTGGTGAATGTATGCCTCTAGGAGCCCATACACACACCCAATTCCCAGTTAAGCTTCTTTTGGGTAGAAGAAAGCATGCAAGGCACAAACCCCTGCTATGTTCTCACACCTGGGAAAATACCTCAAAGCTAACTTCCTGCACTTATTCTTTCTCCCTCCTACACTTACAACAAGAATGTAGTTGCTACTAGTGTTGGGTCACTATACAAGCTTTACCAAATACTGCCCATTCTAGTTCCTTCCATGTCTTCTGGAAGCATGGGGCAGGAATGAAGAAGAGCCCTGGTAGTCAGAATAGGGAGGAATCAGGAAAACACATGTCTGTGTTCATATTACTAATTTCTACTGTTGTAAAGATTTGCCGTGCCAAATTAACCCACGGTATGAATCTAACATGAGACAAGCTCTGCCTCAGCCACATCACCATAGTTTCAATGTTCAGCAACTAGATATCATCTAGATTAAATGGGTCTATTTTCTGCATGGTTGTCTGGAAAAACCTGAACTCCAGATTCATTCTTAAGCAGACTGTGATTCCGAGTCCCCACTCACTTAACAGAACACCTCCACAACTTACTGAGGAGACAACAAGGAGAACTTCCAGGAATACTGCAACAAGGATTGAGCTTCAAACTCTTAAAGTGCATGTTTGCTAGCCTCTTAGTATGCTGGAAATAATGGGAAATATAGTTCCCATCTCCCTGGCCACTGTCACACATGCTTGACCCATACCCTTCTATAAAGTGTGTGTTGTGATGAACACTGTAGTAGGAACTGGAGGCAAATTACAGTACTTATTTCACATCAGCAATAACTCTGGAGAGTCAGGTGTCTGATCCCAAAGACAGTGGTACCTCAAGTTACAAATGCCTCAGGTTACAAATGCTTCAGGTTACGAACTCCGCTAACCTGGAAGAGTTACCTTGAGTTGAGAACTTTGCCCCAGGATGAGAAGGGAAATCATGTGCCCGTGGCGCAGCAGCAGCAAGAGGCCCCATTAGCGAAAGCATGCCTCTAGTTAAGAACAGTTTCAGGTTAAGAACGGACCTCCAGAATGAATTAAGTTTGTAACTAGAGGTATCACTGTAGATTTGTGGTGCCTAAAATTTGGTCTCTGAAGCCCCATTTCAGAGTTCACCTCAACCCTGACTGACAGCTGTAACCAATCTGTAAATGATATCACAAGGTCAAAAGAAATGGCTGTAAACACCTCAAATATATGTTTTAAATAAACAGAATGGGTGTACAAATTTTCAGAAAAACGTATTCATGTAGACTAAAAACACTAATCATTATGATCAGGCTGCAAATGGCAGAATTGTAACCCTGTAACAAGCAGTGTTTTCTTTGAACAAATGAGATCTATAAACAGATTTAGACATCTGTTGCAGTGTCTCAACAGTACTGCATTAAATATGGCTCAGCTATGGCACAGGCTCCAATCTTTTCCTGCCACGCATCTCAGTTACTCTGATCTAATGTTCTTACTCTGAGACAAGTCTCTTCTTTGGTGGAATATTGAGTAACTAATCCAAATATCATAAGGAGGAAGTATTCCTATTTAACAGGTAAATCCTGATTGCTGCTTTCCAGCCAAATGGGATGACTAAGAGCTGCAACAATACCAAACTGCAACTACTATAAAGCACAAGTCTGGATTCAAAATAATAAATTTCTGAAATACAATTTCTCTTTCCCCCTTACGTTTCAGAATTTTAGCACAAGTGGCATCCACATTTGCAGCACAACTGTAAGTTCAAGAAATACGAATAATTAGGAAAAGATCCATTTAAAAGTATTGCTCACGTTTGCAGTTGTTTTAAAACACGAAGGCAAATGGGTTAGTATGTGGTCAAACAGATTCCACAAACCCCCTCAATTCTATGTACAAACTTATAAGCAGATTTTTACTATACTCAAAAAAGATATCAGGGGGGTTGTGAAAAGGTTGTCATATCTCACAATTTGTTTTTGTGTTCTGTAATATCACTTATGTAAATATTTCCTCCTATTTCCCTGCATATTCTCCAGGTCCACCCCTCTCCCCCCAAAACCATCCCACACAAATAATTGCCTTCCATTCACCACTATGCTATTAGCAATTCAGTATAGCTTGAGGAATGTTGTGAAAATGTCCTTGGGTCATGACTACACTATGAAAGTAGGTCACGCTGCAAGTATATTAACTAACAAGTTTCAAGTAACACTTTTTAAAACAGGAGTGAAGAGATATAGTCCAACACCTTCAGAACACTGGGTTATTTCTGTTTTTGACCAACCACAGCTTGTTGTTGTTGTTTTGTCCAAACTGAGCAAGATGTGGGCAATATTAATATGGTTGTTTCAAACAAGCCAACTTAAAACAATGGTTTATAAACCTACCTTGTTTCAACAGGCCATTGTTAAGAATAAACTCAGCTTATAGTTTGGGTGAAATAAACAATGGAAGCGGAAGCTTCCAACCTCATCCTCACAGCAAGGAGAAAGAGAAGTGAAATGGCCAGGAGGCTCGCCTTCATAAGCAATGGCAAAGCACATGCAAGGTTTCATACTTCAAGCGGTGCCCTAAAAGTTAAATAAACTCCCAAGTAATTGCCAGTGTTATAGTCTTTCTAGTTAGGACAGGTAGAAGCCTAGCTGCTGACGAACAATCAGGAGCCTTAATTTTTGTACCCAAATGTTCCTTGGCAAACCCGCTGTCAATGCTGATCAGCTGATGGGCAGTGACAGCAAGTCTGTTGGAATTAGCTATGCTACAAAAGTCCCCATCAGGATCTCTCTAGTGTGCCTACCACTGCCAAAAGCAGGGCCTGAAGTCAGCACCAATCAGCAGACTGGGTTAGTTAAATAAAAAGCTGAGTTGCTGCAGCGCATGGATAAATTCTCTGGTGGGATCCCAAAAGTGTAGACCAGCCTGGTGGGGAAGACTAAACAATGTTGAAATGTGACATGCACCCAGTTGTAAGGAAAAACTCTTCCATTCCTTCTCAAAGGCCAATTAATGGTGGAATTATAAGTGTTGTCTACACCAGATAAATGGAGTATCACTAGAATATCACTCTACACTAGATACTGGAGTAGCAAAACATTATATTAAAATCCACTATTGTAAGCCTCAAAACGTTATAGCTTTTTAAAAAAATGCTTGTTGAGCTGTTAACAATATTTTTTACCTACCTGATGAGGCTTATGAATGTGCCGGCAAGTTTAAACATTGTAATACTGTGAAATGCAACTGAATCTGCTGTATGCAGCTATCTGAACAGGCTGAAGTGCAGTGTACACCTTGGGTATGAAAGGAAGCACATGTATAATAGAGAACTTCCCATTATATTATAATATTACTTTAAGGTTAACAGAACCTAATGTTTTAATACAGCTAGTTGAGGCACTTCCTAGCTGTAGCTCGTGTTTATCTTCATTTTGGTTATAGCCTGCCCTAAACCTTTTGATTTGCAGGTTGCTATTATTTATACATTCAAGACTATTAGTGTGGCAAATAATATTTTAAAAATAATAAAAAGAAAACCATCTAGATCAGTTTTAAAGCAACTAGGTCACAACCACATTTGGAACAGCTTTTCTAGAACATGTGTTGCATACATAACCAAAGCAGCACATAATCTCAGCCTCTAGCATAAGATGACACTACCAAAACATTTATAAATCCAAATAACTGAGAATGCAGACGATATAGTTCCCTTTACCCTATGAACAACCCAATGCTTCTATGCAATCAAACTGCATAAGCGGTTTTCATTAAGAATCGCCCCCCCCCCATTTTGTTTTGTTCTTGGACTGTAGAAGCAATGGAGATGTAATTCGATTTTAAAGTAACTGTAGAATGTCAGTAGAATAGGATAGAATGGATTCTGACATATAGTACTGTGGCAAGAGAAAAACAGTACAAAGGCAAACTAAAGGAACCTGAGATCATGCATTCAATGCATCATTTATATTTAATAACTGAAGATTGCCATTCATGTCTACCAACTGCTAAGATGAAACTTGTTCAAGCCATGCTTGCTAACTGGATCTGCTATTTGTTATTATTAAACTCAACACAGTACTTTCTCGCAGTACTGTGCAATATTCAAGAAACCTGGAGGGTTGGATTTTCTGTTTTTCTAAAAGTTTGTTCCTGATTAAAGAAATGTAATATGTCATGTGACATCTAAAGAAGGAGAAATGGTAGGTCTACTTGCAACAGAACAGGAAAGAAAACTATGGATAGATCTATTCTGGGAGCTTGAGATCCCATGTATCATTGTTACTGACCCAGGAAGGAGGTACTAGGAAACCATTAAAATGGATGTGGGAGAAACACTGATAAGTGAAGAGGAAGAGGCTCAGCATGTCAGACAGAGGCGTAGCACAGTAGATGGGCCACAACTGCCTGTTGTGGAATAGGGACATAAGGACACCCACGTTCAAATGGAGCCATTATTTTAGACTCAGAGAAGGTGGTGCAGAAAACCCTGGCACTGCTAGTGTCCCCAAAAAGCAAAGGACAGTCTTCCCTATGATTAAGCATGCCAGTACAAGAGAGACCAAAGAACAGTATTAGAAGAGCATACAGCTCCTTACAAACCATAATTATTCTTTCCCATATTCTTTGGGCAGTCAGCATGGCATTTCACTGAATTTGGCTTTTAAACACTATTCATTATACAGTTTAATGAAGAAACAGATTCAGGTATACCTTTTAGTCTATTGCCGCAAATACGAAGAGTCTTGAAGTACCACAATGTCCTTTGTTCATTTTAATTAGAGAAATCCTTTAACATCAACTAAGTACACTTTCACATCAGGTAAGTCAATAACCACTACAGGGAGACAGTTAGCTTCAACCATTAGCATTTGCTCCTTAGTATGGATGTACCAACAGCTCATTGGTATAATGTTTGGAATATACGACGAATGTCTAGCAACTAATGCAAGACTGTAACCTGCAAGAACTGGTAGCTCCATTAGCTTTGTAAAGGCTAATCATGCCAGCTGAAAATATATTGCAAAACCAACATAATCTACCCTTGACTTATAAGAATCATTGGGATCAACAAAAGAAGAGCACAAAAGAATTTTGTGTAACATAGATGTTAATCTCCAGATATAAGTGCAATACTGGGTATACAGTAACAGATCCAGGTGCATCTAAAGGCCTTCCCACCCTTCCAGTTGAGGAACCGGATTTCTCTCCACCCATAAGCACTTTATACAGACATGAGTTTTATGACACTGCTTTTAATTTCTTATGACACCTGCAAAAGCTGAAATAAAAGAATTTTCCTGGTCCTTTTCCAAAGACACTTATTTGAATAGATATATATATTATAACTTGCTTTGAAGGGCTGTTTTTATAACTTCCCATTTCTTATTTTAATATCCATGTGATATTCACATGAACGACCTATATAAGAAGTGGCTCAATAAAGGTATAATTTTGCCAGTTGTGTTAGGCTTTAATTTGAACCTTTGCAGGAAAGCTAATGAAGTGACTTACTTTTAATAGACATGGAATAACCAGTGGAAGAATAAACTTTAGTTGCTGCTAAAAGTATTCTTATTTTGAAAAGCCTACCCAAATGTTTAGAAAGCTGATGAGAATTTTAATCCATTTTCAGTCTATTATTATTTTAACTTTTCCAGAGTCTTAAATTATTGTTGTCAATATTATTGTTTTGTCTTTTTTTGTGAACTGCTTTGAGGTTTTTTACAATCAAGCCATGTATAAATTTTAAGAAATACATAATGAATAAACAAAGCTTTATTGAATTTTTCACTTCAAATTTGTGACAAAATTGCTGAATGTAGTTAAGATTACTAAAAAAAAAAAAAAAAACTTGAACAACAACTGGAGCTTCGCTTCCTGAATGCCTTCCTTTCTTATTAACACTCCCTAAAATGCCACCTGCCACGTTTACACTCCCTAAGAAGATCAGTTTCCTTAAAGCCTGTGTAAAGTTGCATACATGTTGTGCCAATCAGAGTCTTCTCTAAGAAAAATATGCTCAGTAGAGAAACACAGAGCACCTGACTGTGAATGAATCATAAGATGGAATTTCTGACTTCAGATTTATGTTCTACTCACTTAAGACAGGCTGCTTCTGTGCCTCACTGCAAAATTGATACACCTCAACAATCTGAAAGCTGTCCTCTTTATACATGTTGAATGCACCAGATCAGCACTTTGGACACCTCAAAACCCCTTTGCCAAAAAAACAATCACGAAGCCCCATTCTATGCATATTACTCAGAAGTAAGTTTCACTGGGGGAAGGGCCATAGCCAAGTGGTACAGCATCTGCTTTGCATGCAGAAGGTCCCAGGTTCAATCCCTGACATCTCCTGGTAGTGTTGGGATAGAAGCCTGTCTGAAATCTTGGATAGCCACTACCAGCCAGTATAAATAATAATGAGCTAGATGGACATATTATCTTCCTGTGCTCCCATTATGTTCAATGGCACTTATTCCCAAGGAAGTGAGCAAAGACTATAAGCTTAGTTTCAAAGAACGTTTTTTGAAAATGGCCCATGTCATTGTGTATATATTAAATTGTACAAGAGCACTCATTGAAATAATTATTTAAAAACCTCATCAATTCAACATTTGGCAACCTATCACAAGCCCAAACAAGCTTCTATGGCACACAACTACAATATGATTAATTTATCACAGAATTAACATAGTTGAAGACTAGCTCCAAGACTTAATTGTACAAAGCGACAGACATCTTAGCTTCTGATACTTCAAGAAGAAACCTTAGAGAGGATTATGTACAAAGTGGCGCATGTTGAAGTAGTTACAACAATGCTGACTTGGACAAACCCTTGCCTTGCTTACTTTTTCTTCAGTAATGAAATCTAGTGCACAAAGACGAACCTGTCACAAATGCATTAAAATGTACTTTATGGAGATAAAGCTATTTCTCTAAATGTATTTTTTATTAAAGATTTCTTGGTTTACAAAAGTATGTGCAATGTCTCTTTTTTCAAGTTACATTTTCTACAGATCAGTTTCATTTGTTGAGACATTAGTGTTACATTAGGAAGAAAAGGGGGTAAAGAGGTGGAGGGGGCCATGGTGAGTGGGGGTGGAGTCGGGTGGCCATGTTTCTATTTACTTAATGTATGTGTGGGGTTTTGTGTCAGCTTTACTTGTGTGGGTTCTCTTTACTATTCGCCTGTGTTCCTTTGGTGGTGAGAGAGGTTGGGGTTGGCCTAGGGTGTGGTTGTTTGTTTGTGATTGGCTGTGGTGAGCTTTGTTTTCATGCGTGAGTGGGGTGGGTGGGTGTTTTTGAATCAGGTTAGCCATATTGATTCGTATGCTGTTGGTGGATTTTTGTCGTTGTCTTGTTGGATTGTGTATGTGATAAAAGGGAGCCATACCGGGGTGAAGGCATCTTCTTCCATTTGTCCCCATGTCAGTTTCAGTTTATTGGTTAGTTTTTCTAATAAGGCTGCTTCCTATACTATTTGGTACCATTGGTCCATGCTTACTCCTGACAGGTCTGATAAAGCTGCCATTTGTGAGTAGCCTAATCTCAAGCTCCCAAAACCCAATATCTGAAACAAAAAACACACTGACAACATTCTATTTTTAGTTCTGCGACGTACTTAGAGAGGCTCGAATGAAAATTATCTAGCTTGGTATATATAAATACAACTTCAGGACAAACTCAACTTTCAAGTAATAAACAATATTAAAAAATTAATAATAGATTCTTAGCTGTAACAGTATTTACACTGTATGCTTTAGTACACTTAGTGTCTTCATTACAAAACAAAACTCTGATTTAAATTACATTCAGACAGTAGCCCCCTGCATACATCCAGTTCTAGGATTCACTGATAAATGGGAGAGGAAGCAGTATGACAAAACAGAAACACAAACTTGTCTTCCGTTTTGAACAATATTTCCTTATAAACGTCTCCTTTAGCGTGTGTCTCCCATACTAATTCTACAAAATGCACGTCTGCCATTTGGACTAGTGGTGGTGAAAAGCATAGTTCCTGGATAATTTTCATTATGTTGGGTGTACTGATTCAGCACAGTCAATACCCCAAAACATCATGAAAACAGGCTATACCCCTAAAACGCCTGAAAGCACCTGCAATTTCTCTGAACATGTACACATCTGCATGAAAAAATAATAATGGACAGCCTGTAATTGTGATACTCTTCCCTTAAAGATATATAATTTCCTGTGAATTGAAATGTAATAAATACAACTATTATATTTTTAGATTAAAATGGCTGTTTTGAGTCATGCAGTAAATTCATTGCACCAAGCTTGCAGAATGCCATGAAGGGGTTAACTATAGGAGCACGCACAGAAACTTCAAAGCCTAGTACAAACAGCATTCTCCTTTAAGTTCTCTCAAGAGAAGAAACAGCTTCCTTAATTAATTCTTGTCAGTCAAGCTATGAGCAGCCATTACTACAGAGCTTATTTCACGACTTACATAAAAGAGAAAGGTTGGGTTTTGCGCTCTTTAAGAAGAATTCCAGATAGCGAAGATGGAGTCACCAGCCAATGTGATCTGAAGCAGAACTAATCCGTCAATTTTTTAAAAAATGCTGCCAAAGGATCAGTACTGCCTGTTTCCCCCCAGTATGAAACATATTGGGGGGGCTTGACAAATCAGTGCAGCATTTAATAAGCAATTAATAACTCATCTCTAGATCTGAAAGCAACCTGCCACACACACACACACGAGAAGGCATACAAGAAACTGAATCACAACATGAATCTGATATACCTCTTTTATGCAACTCTCTCAGTGGAATGCCGTCTCCTCCCCCATCATACGGTAAATAAGGATCAGAAGATACTTCCATGAGTGTAATAGAAAGAGGGCTTCTAAGATCAGAACGACCGAGTCATTTCTTATAGAACAGCAGCGGGCTGGGAAGCTGCCATATTCGATCAGGATTTGGACTGTGTGCTGGCTTGTTGCAGCAACTCTGTTCTTCCACAATCGATGATGTCATCAAAGGGAAATTATTGCAGCCTGGTTGCTACTGGCTACAATCTAGGAGTGCTTAAAGGTGGAACGGCAGACTTAATCTAAAAAGCCTGCTATTTCTGAAGGTGACTACACTTGAAGTAAAACAGAATGAACTGGTTTAGGAGAATATAAACTAAACCCAGCTGCCCAAGCTAACACTAATGTAAAAATAGCAGCACTGAAAAGGCAGCCATGTTTGCCCTTGTGCTTTTTTATATACAAACCAAATACTTAAATTTAATTCCTCAAAAAAGAACAAAGTGGGATGGGGGAGAGAAGACTTATCTTACTCAATTCAGTGTCTTTTTTTTTTAATACACAGATCCATAACTAATATGACCAGTAATAAGAGCACAAATCATACGAGTGGCTTAGAAACAGGAACATTTTATCATACCCAAAAAGGAGGGAGGGGAGAGTCTCTCAAATTACAGAGACAGATTTAATGCAGTTTAGCTTTTCTCGCGTCATTACATTCACTTCAATGACAGAAATGTTATTAAAAGCCGATATCGTTGGCACACTTAGAAATCCAATTCAAGCCCGTGAGATTTACTTCAAAGTAACTATATGCAGAACCAAGCTGCCTATTATCTTCCCATTTGTATCTCATTCAACATGGATTGCCATTTGGTTCGTGGACGTCCCAATACACTGAGTTAGCAAACTGCCACTGTTCTAAAATAAAACAATCATATTGAAACACATAATGTAAGGATTCCTGGAGATTTAAGAATGAATTTGAATGCTGTTTAAAGTCTACTCTTCATCAGAAAGGCTGTATATAATACATGGTAACTGATTTTACTGAAAATTTTGATTCTCTGGATATAGAGGTTTGACGCTAATTTTTTGTCCAGAAATAAATACCAACACATTCTGACTTGTGAACATCAAAACAAGTGTTAATCTGCTCTGGGCAAATGCTAATACTTGTCCTGTTCTAGCTTCTGAAGCACAATCTTGCCCCGACATCCACAAATTGGTATAAAAGGTAAAGGGATCCCTGACCATTAGGTCCAGTCATGACTGACTCTGGAGTTGCGAGGCTCATCTCGCTTTATTGGCCGCGGGAGCCGGCGTACAGCTTCCGGGTCATGTGGCCAGCATGACTAAGCCGCTTCTGACAAACCAGAGCAGCAAACGGAAATGCTGTTTACCTTCCCGTCGGAAGGTATTTATCTACTTGCACTTTAACGTGCTTTCGAACTGCTAGGTTGGCAGGAGCAGGGACTGAGCAACAGGATTTGAACCGCCGACCTTCTGATCGGCAAGTCCTAGGCTCTATGGTTTAACCCACAGTGCCACCCGAGTCCTTTACAAATTGGTTTACTTTCACCTTAAAAAATGATAATATTTTGAAAAAACATGCAGGCCATATGATGATTTGGTTGCAGATGATATCATTTATTGTAGTTGTGGATGCCACTTTTTGTATATATAGTCCAGTAGATAGTGTTGGGGAAGAATCAGTGGTCATGATGTATGTTGACACCAATCACATGGGGAAGTATGTATGTACAATCCTAAAGCAAATTTTAGGTTGCAAGATACAAGGTTGAAAGCTAAAATTTTCAAGTTAGCTTTCTCTGAAATCTGCCTGTTTCACACACAGGGTCAGTTAGACAAGTGCCGCTGACAAGTGAATGGATGAAACAAGGACATTGGGAGATGGGATTTTGATTTGTTAGGCCAGAGCTTTCCAAACTGTGTGTTGTGACACTTTAGTGTGTAGGTGTGTCGCGCAAATGCTTCCTGCGCTCCTCTAGGGGCTGGAAAGGGGTTGGTTTAACCTCCAGTCTGCTAGTAACAAAATGACGCATGTCTAAAAATTGTGTCATCAACATGAAAAATTTGAAAACCTTTTTATGAAGAATACAACATGGTTACAGGGGTGTGGGGCATAACGTAACATGGCTGTTGTGGGGAGCATGGATTAACACAAAATTAGCCAAGGATGTAAATGTGTTAACTGTTATTGGCAACTTCAAAAACATAGCACTGAAATCTTCAGCCACGCTTTAACCTCCAGTCATTGCCTCCTGGATAAACCTGAATATAAGTAAATATTTATTTTATTTACATACTGCTCTTCATTTTTTAAAAAATATCAAAGTGATTTTTACACAATGGAACATTAAAACACAATGAAAACAACAAATACATTTATTACCTAGCAATCTAACAAGTACAACTATGATCTACTTATAAGCACAGAAGAAAGCAAACAGCAGAAGAGGAAACAAATCACACGACCAATAATACTTTTTTTAAAAAAACCACACACACTTGGCTGAAAATTTTACAGAGCACCAAAAGCCAGGAAAAATAGGCCACCTGTTGCATCTCCATGGAATTACATAGATGAAGTGCTACAATGGAGGAGATCCTATTAATTATCTCATGTAAAAGACACTGTTCTTCCTGTAGCTCTGGTACTGACAAAAGAGCATTCCCTGCCACATTTGTTTTCTTAATTCAATATATGGTACTCCTACACATTGAGACAAGTTTTTAATTTCTCTGAGTTCAAAACAACAACACCACATATCTATGCATGATTGCAACAGTTTATGGTTGAACAATATAAAACTAGAATGCTGAAAAATAAAGAGACCATTGGGGAACCAGAAGTCTCCTTAGCAGCAAGTACCTCTTCCCCGCAGGTAAGCACCCATGCCCAGCATAATGATTCCCTTTCCAAACATGGCAGGGAACTCAGAGGAGAAAGGGATGTTTGTACTAAATGAGGGAAATCAACTCTGCACCCCTTCCCATTTTTCTGGCATGCCCCCAAAATAGGATAAAAGAGTTGGCATATCTCACTTTGCACAGGAGATATCCCAGAAGAAAGAGCAAGACAAACAGCAGACACGTACACACAGGCCCAGCATCAAATTTCTACCACAAAAGCAAGGGATCTGAGATCTGAAATACAGTGGTACCTTGGTTTTTGAACAGCTTAGTTCCCAAACAACTCAGAACCCGAATGCTGCAAACCCGGAAGTAGGTGTTCCGGTTTTCGAACTTTGCCTCGGAAGCCGAACGTGCTCCTGAGCTTCCGTTTTCACTGTTGCGCAGCTCATTTGAGTCCCCTGAATAGTAATTAAGGCTTTTTTCATCCCATGTTGCCCTTGCAAGGCAATTTTAAGTCCCCCCCATCATAATAAAGGCTTTTTTCATCCCGTTTGTATCCTTGAGCAGCTAATTTAAGTTGTCCCCCCCCCCCCCACGCATCGTAATTAAAGCCTTCCATTTCTGATTGCAGTGTTCTGAGGTGATATTTGGTGCTTTTGTTTTTGCTATTTTTAGCATTTTTGTTTGTGTGGCTTTTTCATTTTTGTGACTGTGGCTTGTTTTTCGTTTTATGATTGATTGATTGATTGTGTTACTGCTGAAATGGATAAAAGCCCCCCATCCAAACAATGACTATTATCAGTGCAAGTAAGAAAAAAAATAATTTTAATTTTTATCATCTACAATACTGTCTTATTTATTTTATAGTATAGAACATTGATTATTGCTTTCATTTTATGGATCAGTGGTCTTGTTGGATAGTAAAATTCATATTAAATTGCTGTTTTAGTGGTTGTTTCTAAAAGTCTGGAACGGATTAATCTGTTTTGCATTATTTTCTATGGGAATGTGTGCCTTGGTTTTGGAACGCTTTGGTTTTGGAATAGACTTCCGAAACCAATTAAGTTTGAGAACCAAACCAAGTTTGACAACCACTGTACTGCTTCTCTTCCTAGTTAGCTGGCTCTATTCCTCTCGATACAGGGAACAGAGATTGGCAGAAGGACAGTAAGGATATGACAAGGCTAGATGAAGCCCTGATGGGTTAGGGAAAGCATTTATGAAGAGTGATTTTGATGGACAGGTAAGCCAATGAACAGTGTGAAAAATAATATTAAGTATCAGGAAAACTAGTACATCAAAATAGTGGCCTTTTTGACTGTCCATTCTAGGAGTGGGGAGGAAAGAGAGGCCTGATACTTACTGGAAAGTTTTGTAAGCTACTGCACTGCAACCTAATATATACTTAACACAGGAAAGATCCCCTTTCAAGTGTCTATTACTTAAATCAGGGATTGCCAATGCAGTGCCCGCTGGCACACATTTGCCCGGAGAAGTTTTCCCTGGTACTTGTAGGGTCTCCTCCTACTGAAATTAAGACTTGAAAGAAGCATGTCATTGTAGTCAACATAATAGGTTGTGATGCAGTGTGTGCAGTGCCCACAACAAGCCCAAGTAGGTTGTTGACCCCTGACTTAAATTACAACTGAAATTGCCAGTGTGTGCAGTTGTGAAGCAGCTGTTAAGAGTATCAAACTTTGTTATTAATAGTTACAGTTCTATTCCAGAGATTCAAGTCAACTATAACATTTTAAAAGTGTGGCACATATATGATGATCATAATCTTCAGGGGCATTATACTCCTTCACAAGTTTGGAAAGGTATTTACTAAGGGCTCAGATTTCTGCAACTAGTTCCTTCACTATATGAATGTTTGTGCCTTATTTGCTTAAACTAATTCATCTAAAGCTATTGTTCTTTGACAAGCCCTGATCAATGTTCCATTATGTTCCTTGTTGATATTTCTAGGAATAAAAACAATTTAGCACAAACACAATGTCCTTCAACAAATTAACACATTGTATCTTTCCCTTTAAAGCTTTTCTTACTAAAGCTTAAAAAGAACAGATTTTCACATTTTCTTCCTGCAATTTATGGACAGCCAATTTAGTCACAGCAAGTCTCAGTATTCATCCGTTATTGCTCCCATCTGATTTTGTTCCCAAATAGCCTCAAGAAGCATCTGTGCTTCTTGAATCATGGAGTAATGTTAGTCATTAAGTTATGCCAACCACATTTAACGAAACTGTAAAAAAATTAAAACATGTTAGCTTTGAAAAGCTAATAATACAGGCAGCCCCATTTACACGTGTTCAATATGTACATGACCATGTATCACACCAAACTCAGAAACATCATAAAGTCATCACTGAAACATCACGAAAAGGGTGAAATGGTGTGTTTGCAGGCTTTTTCCATGGGTTTCAATTATATGCAATTTCACCGACGCATGAGGTGCCTCAAAACGTAACCCACACATAAACGGGGGGCTGTCTGTACTGTTCATAACACCAGTATTTCTTCAAACGAAGAAATATATCAGAAAGTCTTAAAATAGTATGTGGAGTGCTAAAACTAATCTAACAAGAAAGTCATTTTACAGTTCACAACATTCTGCAAGAAGATACTATACGATATTAAAGTCTAATTCAGGTATTGCAAAACCATTGTTTTGTTGTTAGGGTTGTGCCTTTGGCTCATGTGCACTGTTCATCCCTGCACCATCAATCCTCCACCACCTCCTTGCTACTTACAGTTACATTTTATCCTGCTGTTCCTATTGCTGCTGTGTCCGAACTGGGCAAACTATAGTTACCATACCACACAAATCCAGTTGAAACCCTGGGGCAAGATTCAGCACAGCACAAGCAGGCATCAGTTTGGGCAATGGGGCCTCTCCTCCTCACCTGCAGCCCCCACCCCTAAAGATGCCCTAGCAGACCCTCCTGAGCAGATCTGAGCGGGGACAGAGGAATGGAGGGGAAGAAGAGAAACCAGAAGTCTGATTGCATAAAGAATTCTACAGTGCGAGCAGGCAGACATCAATGAACGTTGTCCATGGCTTCCAATTGGGAGTTTGGAGGCAAGCTATTGTTTGCAGTACAACAGGAAGCAAGGATGGGAACTGAAGTGAATGAGCCCAAGGTAAGGCCTCAAATGCCAAACTATAGTTTGGTTATGACAACTGAACTGAGACATGAATTTTTGTTTTTATGCTCAGAACACCAAAAACATGTTGCAATGCCACACCACGAGGATCCTAAAAGCCCAATCTACCAGCATGTAAGTACAATGAGTTAAAAAGAAATACCAGTGGTTTACTGACTTACCAATACATGCATCACCATCTAACAAATTGTCATCTTCAGAGGTCTGGAAGTCCATGATAACACCGGCTCCATCTAGAAGTTCTTCATCACTGCTAGCACTAGTTATGCTGTTGTAGCTATTTCGGTAGTAACCTCTATGGAACAACTGCTCAGACTCCATTTAGCTGCTTTAATTACCTGAAGAAGAAGAAATTCAAAGTTATAAAGCATTGCCCAAGTACACAATTCACATTAAAGTGAAGAATACGAAGATTTTTCTTGAAGTATTAGGAAAATTCATTATAGCTCAATGAAGGTGCAACTACCATAAATATAATTCAAAAGCAGCAGCAACTACCCATGTAAAAACACTCATGGTTTGTGTTTAATTCTGAAAACATGCATGCTTTTGAAGCCAACCTACAATCTCTGTCATAGTACTGTAATATTTATTTTTCATTATGAAAACATTATGCTTATGCTACCTCCTTTTTGAGATATGAACTTAAGCAGACATTAGTTAGATAGGACTTCAAAACTGAAGCATTTATTGATAGACAAAGGGAATAAGAAACGACAACTACCTCATGCAGTCAGTAGCTCAAAAAGCAACCCTACAGCTTCCTATAAAGGCAGCTATAAAAAGTGGGTAGCATATGACCAAGTCACACTCATAATAAACCCACCCAAATGAATGAACTTAAGTTTGTCAAGCCCATTTATTTCAATGGGTCTGCTCCACGTATAACTTAGTTGGCTACAATCTGTAGTTCCTGTTGTGGAATGGGATGGGTGGAAAGCATATAAGAAATTAAGTGTGAGAAGAGCATGTGGGAGAAGAGGTAAAAGCATGAATGAAAGGCAGTCTTTCTAATAACCCTGGAACATCCATTCTGCACCTCAGGTGATTATACAAATTCACCTTTTCTCAGCACTGCATCTGTATACCTACGACAGGCTGCTTATCTTAATGATACATTGTACTATCTACTTCAATTAGACATAATGACTGGGACACCAAACTTGTACTAGCAGAAAACAGGTGTCTTCTTACAGGTGTCTTGGGGTGCTGCTCCAGAGGGCCCTTCAATCTGGAGGAAGAAGTTGAAAGTTTGATGCGCGTGTGGAAAATACTGCACATGAAGCTGTGGATCACTTCTAGTTTACAGTATAATTGTCTATATGCAAAACTTTTTTAAAAAAGCCAGTTTATAAAAAGCAGACTGTTAATGTTAAGCCTACGATAAACATGTAGGTTTCCTCATGCTGATCCAAAATTTATTCATTCAGAACTATTATTTACTAATCATCTGATTTATATTTCAACCTTCCTCCCATACGTAAAGGGACCCCTGACCATTAGATCCAGTCGTGGCCGACTCTGGGGCTGCAGCACTTATCTCACTTTATTGACTGAGGGAGCTGGCGTACAGCTTCCGGGTCATGTGACCAGCATGACTAAGCCGCTTCTGGCAAACCAGAGCAGTGCACGGAAACGCCGTTTACCTTCCTACTGGAGTGGTACCTATTTATCTACTTGCACTTTGACGTGCTCCCAGGATTGCAGACAGAACAATGCTAAAACTTTTTAAATCTAAAAACAGTTCAAAAACTTCATTTTGACCAGTGATCAAGGCTTCTATGAACAGTGTATTTCAGTCATCAAATGTCCGAGTAAATAGGAATGTTCTTAAATTTCTCTTGAAGGTAAACAATGAGGGAGACAGATGTACCTCACTCACAAAGGAGAGCATTTCCCAGAAAAGGCTCTGTCATGGATCAATACCAACCAGGCAGCCCCACATGGTGGCATGACCAACAAGTCTTCATCAAGATAGGGTACAAGAAGCTCAATACTGAGGAAGGTGCTCTTTTCAGTACTTGGGTCACAATATTGAGTCATTTATTGGCCAGTAACTTAGGTTACACAAGCACAGAATTTCAGGTTTAGTAAAGGGTACATACAAGCCATTTTAATCAAATTCATATAATAAAAATGAATAAAACTGCATAACTAATGTACAGGCGAACACAAGCCACAAAAAGCACAAATGCAATGATTTGATATCTCAGTGACAATTTTATATGTGCAGATACAGTTCTACTTAAGCCAAAGATCCACTTCTAAATAAAGTGCAAGACCAAGGCAGGATAATAAGTGTTTTAACTTCTACAGCCATATAGTTAACAATTTAGGTAATACTTCAGACTGCTTTATGAAATCAAGAAAACTAGGTATTATATATCACAGAAATGGTTGTTTTACCTGTAAAACCGGGTTTTATTGCTGAAAATATACCAAATTCAATGCCCGTGTTTTACGGTGCCTTCATTCACTATTCTTTGGTCTTGAAATTAAACTTTCAGTCTTCTTATATAGAATCACAACTCGTGCTCTAAAGTCATATGACTTTTAAGAACTATGGAACCATTATGAAAATTTGTTGTATCTTTGGCACGCCTAACAGTGGAACTACGGGAATGTACCATTGATGCAAGATAGATGGGAGGATTCACGGCAGGCAGACAGGAGGGAATCCTCTCTCTGTGGCCATTTTTCTACCCACCTATTTTATTTTATTTTTGCAGATATTCTCTTGAACAGCAAAGCAATGTGCAATTCATTTTTACCCCAGCGAAAATTAAATGAGGGCCCCACTGGGGGAAGTGGAAGGAAGGAAGAAGAGAATGGCATGTGGAAGACAAAAGAGGTTCAAGACTATCTAAATGCCTTTATTCCTCCCTGGTTCCCTCCTTACAGTTGATCCACTTATAGGAACTGCTCTCCAGAGATCCTGAAGGTCTTATACAGGGGGGTATGGAAAAACTCAAATTACAATACTCCAACACTTTCATTAAAGCAGCTGTCATCTTTGTCATCATTATTTCGAAAACTAAAATCTACTGCATGCTTTTTCCTAAGATTTATGGGTTGGAGTACTTGTTCCCAAACTGTTTTGGCCCACTGCCTACTTGGTTCCATAAATTCATCCCCAGTGCTCCCTACCCGTCACTATAAAAGCATTATTCAGAACAGTGGCTTGCACAACTTGCAAAGGAACACAGTAATGGAACCCCATCCAGAACATTCACCTTGCCTAGCTCCCAGACCTGGGGACGAACTACCCACAAGTCTTGTCAAGATTCAGTTTCAAGTTCAAGTTCAAGTTTATTGCGGCCAAAGCCAGTGACACTAAACATCCCAAGATCAGACAACAAGAAATCAGCAACAACTTCAGAAAAGAAAAAAGGTTACACAAGGGAACTTCGCAGTGTGCCATTCGACAGAAGAGATTTACGTTTCTTAATTACTAAAGTGCAAAATTTAGCCACCTCATATGATACTGAGCTTGAGGAATCTTCCAGGAGGTATTTTCGAAGAATTTCAGGGGAGGAGATTCAGTTTCAACTAATTAGCTGTAATCCAGCCCACCAAGTGTTCAAGCACCAGGTTAGGACCTGTTCAGCCACACCCAACTCAGATGTCATAGAAAAATAAAGTTGGGTGTTATTCACACATTGGTGGCACCTTGCTCCAAACCCCTAATGACGACTCCAAATTAGTATTAATGACCTTCAGATTAGACTACAGTACTGTAATATGCTTTAAGTTTGAAACAGAAACTGCTACTACAACCAAAATGCTGCTGTCAGAATACTGACTGGAACATGGCAATCAGACCATATTTCACCCATTTTGTTTGATCTACATTGGTTGCCAGTTATTTCTGGGGCCACTTCAATGGGTTAAAGCCTTAAGCGGTTTGGGACCTAGGCACTTAAGAGGACTGCCTTCTAAGTGCTCCATTGTATCATCTAAGGTATCACTCTGGATCGATTGCTGATACAAGACCTGCAGGCAGCAACAAGGGCAGTCAATAAATCCAGAGTGGTGCCTTCAGTTTCCAAACTGGTAGAACTGGAAGAGTGGAGATCAACAGAATATAATGAGGAAAAACATCTGAAATACAAGGTGGGTGGGACAAGGCGATGGATAGATTTAAAAGTAAGGACAAAATGTTTGTGGTGGCTACAGAAAGGGAAGCTCATGAAAGGCTCTTGATATCATATAGAGCAACAAATAAAGAGGTGCCCCATCTCTCCTCTGCAGAGAGGGAGATGTTCTTGTACAGAGAGAGCTTTTGTACAGGCAGAAACTTCATTTATTCCAAAACTCAGCAAGGACATTAAGTTTTCTGCAGAGAAGAATTGAGAAGAGAAGATCTATTTGTTCTTTGTCGACTTGTGTTGCAAGTCCATTTGGGATACATGAAGCTTAGCTTCCAATAAAAGTATTTTATGGAAACAAAAGCTCATTAAGAAAGTGAGTGAAACTTTCCCCAACCTGATGTTGACTAGATGTTATAGACTACAACAGTCGTCTTCCCTGACCAGAGTTACAGTCCAAAACATTTAAATGGCAGCAGGTTGGTGGGGAAGGGGATCCAGCTGCCTTTGTGAGACTTAGGATGAGACTTGTGAGAACTTCAGGCCTATGCAAGTGTATTTTTCTACCCGCCAACAAGTTAATGACAGCCATTGCTGAGGAGTACAAATCAACACATACCGGTAATTGCCACATATTAATGTTGCAATACAAGCTGCCAAACATCAAGGCCACAGATTTGCTTGAGAGCACTACTTCCATGTAGGCATGTACACAAACCCATCGCAGAACCAACTTAGCTTACACTTGCCTATGCAACTTTGGTGATTCCAGAAGGGCACTGGACTTCTTTGCTCAGAAGGAAACCCCACCAGGGGGCCATGCAGCTGGAGGGCAGCACTATTGGGCCAACTTGAGGGGGAAGCCTTCCCTCTGGCAAGAGGCAGATTCCATCAATGGAAACGGGGGGTGCGAGCGCAGGAAGGCGGCCTGGCCATTCTCCCCGCCCCATGGATACCTTCGGGCCGATGGCAACGGCAGGATGCGGCATGACGCTTCCTTTTCCCGGCCAGCGGAGAGGAGAGGAGCCTTCCAGAGGCGAGGGGTACCCAAGGGCTCACCCCCTCAGCGCAGACGCCTCACCCTCTCGCCCCGGAATCACCTGGCACGTTCTAGCAGGCGCCCCTCCGCCTCGCCTCACGCCACAACCACCTTCCTGCAGCGGAGGGAGCGCGTGAGGCAAGAACCGCGTCCCGCATCGCCCGCCCCGCTCCCCCGACCACTCAGGCGCCGCCCGGGCTCCCTCGCCTCAGCCGCGTCCTGCCCTACCTGGCCGTGTGGCGCCGCCTGGTGATTCCGCCAGAAGGGCTCACACATCCTCCCCCCGTCGGGCCGGACGGAGAGACTCGGCCGCCTCCCGCCCAACTAACGCGGGGGGTGGGGCTTCACGCGCAGCCCACGCCTCGAGGTCACGCCTCAGCCAGCCAATCAGCGTCCGGAAATCGGCGCTCGCCTCAGCGGAACCCCGCCCTTCGTCAGCGAAATGGAGGGGTGGAGATAAGTGTCTCCGCGGCCGCGCAGGCGCAGCCGCAGGACCGTCAGACGGCCCGTGCCGGGGACGCTCTAACCGGGCGGTGTTAAAGGCAGGTGGGTTCGGGCTCCGCGCGTGCGCGCTGTGTGCAAGGTTGTTAGCGCTGCTCGCTGGTATTCGCAATGTCCGCAGGAACAGAGCTCTGGGTTTAGGTAGCGCTCGGCTGAACGGGACTTCCAGCCGCCTGAAGTTTTGCCAAGTGACAGGACTGAGCCTTGCAATTAGCAAAGCTGGTCTTCCCCGCGGCATTTTGAAGTTTCAGTCTTAACAGCCCCGTTGCATGAGATGTGGTGCTTATAAGGGTTTGGGACTTTTTAATTCTGTGTGGTACGAACGGTAATCATGTAAGTTATATACACACACACACACACACACACACACACACACACACTATGCAACTAAAATACGGAAAATATAGAATGCTCCTTGCCCGCTTTAAGGTGCAGTTCAGATTACCCACTAATGCAACAGTGCCACTCTTGTCTACTCAGAAGTAGGCCCTGCTCAGTTCACAATGAGCCTTACTGCCAGGTGGCTGTGCATATATTATGTAGCATTGCAGCCTTACTGCACGGTTCCTGAAAAGTACTGGTAGATCTTAACAAGAGTTGAGTGGACATTTCTCGCAATAGGACATTTTGGCAGCACACACTTTGGTTGTAGATTATTATCCCCATAACGGGGAGATACTTCAGGCCTATCAAGCAATTACTTCAATGCCATGTGAAAGGAGGAGGGAGACTGGAAAAGAGTTAAGATTCAAAATAAGCACGTGTCCAGGTAGCAATCATGTGCTTAGTGCAGTTTACCCAAACAAAAATAAACGAGGTGGCAAAGCAGCTGGAAGACGATGAAGGAAGATGTGGCCACATACTTGCATAGACAGATAAGTGGAAAATGCTTATGCAGGTTCCGTGTACCGTGTTCCACCATCTTCCCTCTCTTTCTACGGATGCTCGGACATTAAGCGGGCCGGGAAAACATTAATTATACGCAATAATAGGCAGGAGCAGCCGCGTGCATTGACTCCCGCTGCTCACCCTCAACCGCCGCCTCCTTCCCCATCCGCGGCTTTCACTTGGTACTTGGGTCACGTGACCTCCCCTCTCCGCGTTACCAGGGTGAAGCTGTAAGCAGGCGCTGACGGAGCTCCCTCTGTGGTGCATCCGAACCTTCAGGGCCCCGGCTTCGCCCAATGGCAGGGCGGGGGTTTGATGTCGCCGTCCTATAGCAACGCGAAAGGGGTGGGAGCGGAGCTCGGGTTCGGTTGGAGCTGCTGGAAAAAGGGTGAGGTGGGCTCGGGGTTCGGCAGAGAGGTGGCGGGGCTGGAGAGGGAAGAAGCCTGACGCTTTGGTGGCGGAGGGAGGGGCGCAAATGTTCCTTTCCCGGCTCGCTTTGCAGCAGCAGCAGCAGCGGTGCCTGGCTGCTTCTCCTCCCCGTTTCCCCGCGCTTGGGGCTCCTGCTTAGTAAGTTGCCTTGTTCTGCCCTGTTTGTTTGTCGTCGCCGACGCTGTTGCTGCAGCGATGGGTGTGTCGGGGGCCGCAGTGGGGAGGCTTCCTCCTCGAGGGCCCCTGGGTGTAGGAAGCTGAGCCCCTTCCCTCCTGGGACGCTGCGGCGCAGAGGTTCATAGAGCAGGCTCCAGTGTTTAAATGCGGGGTAATTACCCCGGAGTAACTCCCATGGCCTGAAAGTCAGTTAACGGAGGCGATTTTTATTTATTTTTTGTTAAGTCACTCCACTCCATCCACGGGGAGTGTGAGGTGAGAGGAGCTTCTCGCTTCCCACCCTGTAGCATCCTTATCGAGAACGGTTGAGTTACTGGATATTGTCAGGTTTAATACAGAAAACTAATAAAGCTTTACATGCGAGCCACTTTTTACAGGCGTTTCAGAGAAGTGAATCAAAATTGGTTGAAAACAAGGCGCCTTACATTGTACCAAGTAAGTTCTAATTCGTTACAGTGTAGGCCAGCTTGTAGTTAACCAATTTTGATAACTTTGAAAGGCCCAAACTCCATGTTTTCTAAATTTTGGCAAAACTGGTTGTACAAAGCGGTAGATAAAAATATTACTAAAACAGCAAAAGTGGTGTATGTGCTATACTAATCATATTAATGGTTGTCGCATTGGGCTGCAATTCTGTGCAACTTATAGGGGGAATACAGGACATAGGAAGCTGTAGTTCAGCGTTGTCTGTGCAGATTGATAGCTGCTCTCTGCTTGTTCAGATTGCATCTCTCCCGGCCCTATCTGGAGACGCTGGGGATTGAACCCCGGGAGTTGGAGTCAAAAAGCATCTAGAACATAGGAAGCTGCATTATATCAAGTTGGACAGTTGTGCCATCTAGATCAGTTTTGTCAACACTGACTGGCAGAGGCTTTCCAGGGTTCCATCCCTACTTGGAGACACTAGTAAATGAACGTGAGACATGTTACTGCAAAGCACGCGCTCTACCACTGCAGATCATGGGTTCCTCAGCCCCAGATGAATGGAATTGACTGCCAAACTCTATAGGGTCAAAAACACAATGTTGCATTGTACTTCAGAACTAATTAGTAAGCAGTGCTGGTATTTCAAACTTGAAAAAATATGCCCCCTATGGCCATAGTAGCCAGTGACTGGGCAGCCATGTTGTGGACCAGGAGTAATTTCCTAGCAGTCTTCAAGGGTAAGGTAGGCCCCATGTATAATGTACCACATCAGTCTAATGTAGAGGTTATCAAGGCATATAGAACAGCAGCCAAGACTTTTATCACTCAATATGGCATGCCGACTTTATATTAATCACACTGACCTCATCCCCAAAGTCATGTGGTGGCATTAGTCAGCAATTTCTTATATGTGTTTAAAATAGCATTAGCAGCTTGAATCTTGTGGATTCCCAAAAAATAATTCCTCTATTGTAGAGCAGAACTCTTCCTATACCATCTTCTGGTACTTGACTTGTCAGATAGTTTCAGAAGCATTCCAACTTCCATCCTAGCAAAGCACTCCAGAAAGATACAATTGATGAAAGCTGATGAGAGTTCCACAAGAATACCCCTTATCTATATCCTGATGACGGTTATCTTCAGGGGCAGCAACAAAGTTTGAAAATGCATCCAAGTGGTTAGCTTAAGCTCTGCTACCAAACTAGCAAACTCAGTTTGGGTTATCATTTTAAGTCTGCAGTCTTAAATACGTTTACCTGGAAGTGGTCCCATGGAACTCAGTGGGTCTCATTCCCAAATAAGTATTTAATCCTGACTTGGGAATAAGCTTCACTTTAACCCAGTGGAACCTACTTTCAGGTAAGAGTGCATCGTGTCAGACTATATAACAAATATCCAGGTAAGTGTTACTTTTCATAAATGCAGCAGTTCTCCTTTTCTAATTTGTGCTTTGAGGTTTACTTGCATCTTCTTGGTATATAGTCTGTGACAGCTTCTTAATCAGGTAAGATATAAATATTTCTGTGTTCCTTTGAAAAGCATTTTCTATAGTAATAGCCATGGGATAGAGACAGTGGATGCAAACTACTGTACGACGTATCTGAAGCAGAAATAATTGCATTCACAGGCTTAGAGACCTTATAATGAAAGGGAATATTGAAACATTGATGGCATCTAAAAAGACAAGTGATTTGGAAACTGGCTTGTGATGCATAAATTGATCTGGCAGATACAAAAAGAGCAACTTGGTTATTCCGTTAAAAAGCTCCCTTTTTCTCCCTAGCCCATACATAAGGATGCCTTAGAAAAGTACCATGGACAAATATATTAAGGTGCAAAAGATTGGTGAAGGATCTTTTGGAAAAGCAATTCTGGTTAAAGCAAAGGAAAATGGCAAACAATATGTTATTAAGGAGATCAATATATCCAAGGTGAGTCTCTTGAGTTTTATTTCCTTTCATTACTTCTTTCCTTATATTTATGTTTTCACAAACAATGCTTTTCTTTTAAAGATGTCGAATAAAGAGAGAGAAGAATCAAGGAGAGAAGTTGCAGTGTTGGCAAACATGAAACATCCAAATATTGTGCTATACAGAGAATCATTTGAAGGTTAGGATTAAAAATAACTTGGCATCTAAAATAAAAAACTGAACTGGATTGAAGTGCCTGAATTGGGGTTTGTGTGTTGCCTTTCAGCGTCCAGTTTCCTGTTTAGTATTTCTTGTTGCATGCTGCAGTTCTGTGTGTGCTTACTTAAAAGAGGGGATGGAGAAGAATTTCATTAGGCCCACATTACTAAGCAAACTGACCTAATATGCAGATCAGACTAATATGCAGATCAGAACACAATTATCTTTTGAATATCACACTTCTCTGAACCTTCCCATAGTGTTCTCAGCTCAGAAAAAATAACCAAAATATGTGTGCCTTTAAAAAAAATTACCCATTTTATAGTGAAGTATGTTTAGAAATGCATTTCAGATAAGATACATATCTAAATACAAAATTTTGCATGAATTTTCTTTTTTAAAAAAATGTGGAAGTGTGATGATGATGATGATGATGATGATATTTTATTTGTACCCCACCCATCTGATTGCTCCTCTGGGCAGCTTACAGCATATATAAAAACCATAGTAAAACATTAAACCTTAAAAAGCTTTTCTATATATGGCTGCCTTCAGATGTCGTCTAAAGGTTATAAAATTACTCATATCCTTGATATCTGAGGGGAGGCCATTCCACAGGATGAGCGCCACTGCTGAGAAGGCCCTCTGCCTGGTTCCTTGTAGCTTCACTTCTCACAGTGTGGTAAATGCCAGAAGCCCCTCAGTGCTGAATCTCAGTGTCTGGGATGAACGATGGATGGAATGGACTTACATAAATGAAATATGAAATTGGCATGGGCCAGAAATAGCATGATCTGACATCTCAATTTAAAAGTCAGTCAAATTGATCAGTAGGACCTCCTAATAAATATGATTGGATTGGGCAGCAAGTCTACCATTTTTCATGTCTCCTGTATGAGTTGGAAAATACACAGTAATGGAAGCTAAACAAATTAAGGGACTGGCCAGTGCGATGCATTGTGAAGTGTAAATTAACACTTGTGTGGGTGTATTTATTTATTTATTTTACAGAAGGTGGCTGTCTTTACATAGTGATGGACTATTGTGAAGGAGGAGACCTTTTTAAAAAAATTAATACACAGAAAGGTGTCTTGTTTTCAGAAGACCAGGTAAGAGGATTTGAGATTTATGTTGCTTGATAACTGTAGATGTTCTAGCTCTGATAGACACCCTCTATGTCCACAATAATGGCTGGCATTGGTGCCAACCAAAAAATATGTGGTTGCGATTCTGACTTTTGCTTTGCCTCTGAAATGTGATGTCAATTCTAACTTCTTTTAGATCATGGATTGGTTTGTACAGATCTGCTTAGCACTGAAACATGTGCATGACAGAAAAATTTTGCATCGAGACATAAAGTCACAAGTAAGTTCACTGAAACTTTTTTTTTAATTGAATGTCAATATTCTAATAGCTAGGCTTTAGCCTACTTTCTTCGAAACACTGATGAGAGAACAAACCTATGTCAGGACTTTCCAGAAAGAACAAGGGTTTGTGCACTTGCAGGCCAAGGCTTACTTCAGATGTAATGCTAAAAGTATGGTTCAACGTTATATGAACACCAGCAAGGTAGCCCCTTCCTCTCCTCCACTTTGTGTACAAGAGAAGAACGACGTTTTCACTTTTGGTTGTAATCAACCTTGAGTTTCCTGTTATGTCTGAACCTGAGATACGTTTATTCTAAATATGCTTAGTTTAGACAAACCAAGATGGAATGCACACATTCCCATATTTCCAGTCTAAGCTTATATCTTGGTTTAGAGTGCATGCGATTAGCTTTCAGGTTACATATTACAATTATGTTCGTGAGCTTTAAGCAAACAGATTTGTCAAAAATTGTTTGGAAATACACTTAGTTACCAGTCAGTTGTTAATATCAGCTGACTAAGAAATGTTAATATGCATTCAGCTAAAAGTGGTTTCTTGTAATGGTTGGCAAATTTGGTATAAGTTACTTTCTTCTCTACTGAATTTAACTTTGTGTTAGTGTACTGTATTTTTCTTGTTTCTACTCCAGAATATATTTTTAACCAAAGATGGAACAATACAGTTGGGGGACTTTGGAATAGCTCGAGTTCTTAATAGGTAATACTGAAATACGTTTTGCGCAATTCACACAGTACTATAAAACATAGTCTAATTCATTATATTTTTATTTTTAGTACAGTGGAGCTTGCTCGTACTTGCATAGGAACGCCGTATTACTTGTCGCCAGAAATCTGTGAGAATAAGCCTTACAACAATAAAAGGTAGTATTTAGCTATAGGCTTAACTTATTTTCAGTTGTATGTAGCTGCCATTGTCTTTTACTTCAATGCAATTTATTCAACTGACTTCATCATACTGCTTTGTGAAAATACAGAAGCCAACCCACTTTTATCCAGCCTCAGCATTGGTTATCATTTTCGGGCACTTGCATAACTGAGAGCAATGCAGAGAATCTATTCCATGTAGGGAATGTGCTGGTGAAGCAGATTGCTGCAGCTGGCTGTATTGCACTCTCCACTAGCTGGTGAGCAGAGGGTTCAGTCCTACTTGGTGCTGATTTGCCAACACATTCCTTTCAAGGAACACTGGCAAAGCAGACTCCCATCCCCACTGGTCAACACTGACAGGTGCGCAATGATGACATCAGGTTACTGATAGGCGGGTGGTCCCACCCCCCTGTTAGAATTGACTCATGGGGTTAGGGAGAGAGAAAGGATTGGCCTGCTAGGCCAAAAATATCCCTTACCCATTATCGCTTCCTTCTGGCTGTTAAGAATAATAGCTATCCTAGGCCAGACTGATATGCTTTGATCCCAAGGCCAGTCCTAGATGTGAACCTGAAGTGGGAAATCTAAATGTCTTCCATATAACAAAAATAATATAATAATAACTTGACAATTTGGTATCCTTTGGTCATAAATGACAGTTTGCTCATTTATGGAAGTGCATACCCAATTACACTTCCATAAACGACCTACCTTAACTTTGCACCTGGCCCAGAGAAAAGGGCAAATGATGGATGAGAAAGTCATCTTTTCTAAGGAACCAGCAGAACAAAAAGCTATAAGCAGGCTGATAAGGTCCACATTGTTGCTTAGATGGTGCATGTTGCACAAGTGAACAGAATTTCAGCCATTGCAATTTACATTACCGTAGAAACGTGGATAACCATTTGGATGGCAGAAGTTGCCCCAGCTGAAATGTACACATGTATATAGACATAGCTGAACTTAATAAGGTGACCAAAAGTAATACAAGCCAACCCAAGTTTCAAGGACAAGCTAGACCAGGCATAGGCAAACTCGGCCCTCCAGATGTTTTTGGCCTACAACTCCCATGATCCCTAGCTAACAGGACCCAGGGGTCAGGGATTATGGGAATTGTAGTCTCAAAACATCTGGAGGGCTGAATTTGCCTATGCCTGAGCTAGACTATTGATCATCTATGGTCTGCGCAAACTAATGTTCTGTGTCTTGTTTCTTTAGTGACATATGGGCCCTTGGTTGTGTTCTCTATGAAATGTGCACACTGAAACATGCAGTAAGTTGACGTTTCTAAATACTTTATAAATGAAACTCTTTTTTCCAATGCCCAGAAAATGCAATATTTTTAGTTTAGGTATTTTGACATCAAAATCACTTGTGTTTTGCTGATCGTATACTTTTTGTAGTTACGTGGAGGGGGTATAGGAGAGAATTGAATTACAGTAATAGATAATTGCATGCCCATGATAAGATTTAAAGTAACAGCATGTGACACAAGTCAAAACCCCAAATACAGCTGTTGGCTTGCTTGGATAACGTACCACATTGTTGATGGGATTTTTAAAAGGGAGGGAATTTCACTCCCCCAAACTTCAGCCTTAGAGCAATTACAGTAAGCTCGCAACTTGCACACATTTAAGATGTATGCATTCAGCTTTACATGTGTGGCAAAAAAAAAAAAAATGGAAAGAGGGTGGGATTCTGGGAAAAATGACTTTGGCAGTCATACCCACCATTGAACCCAATGGGTTTTGACCAGTGCTTTTTTTCTGGGGGGACGTAGGGGTACGCATACTCCTAAACATTTTGTGAATCTAAGTTTGGCCTCATTGAGGGGCAGTATTTCAATATGAGTAGGAAAATGAGAGCACCCCTAAACATTTTTTAAGAAAAAAAGTACTGATTGCAATTTTGGCTTTAAGATAAGAGGGCAGTGGGAAAACAATATGGAAAATCTTTATGGATAAAATGCAAGACTAAAAGCAAATTGAGAATATTTTCTAGGGCACCGAAAATGCATATTAAAGTAATTTTGATTTTTGTAGCATTAAGAAATTCAGTTGTCTTGTTTTGCTGTGGCATTACTACTGTCTAATACATACAAATTGCACTTATCTCTGCAGTTTGAAGCTGGAAATATGAAAAATCTAGTACTCAAGATAATTTCCGGATCATTTCCTCCTGTTTCTGTGCATTATTCCCATGACCTCCGGAATCTGATTTCACAGTTATTTAAAAGAAATCCTAGGGATAGGCCATCAGTCAACTCCATATTGGAGAAAATTTTTATAGCTAAGCGTATTGAAAAATTTCTGACACCCCAGGTATGTTCTTGGACCTATTGTTACAAAGTTTAAGAAGCCCATCATAAACGTGCTGCTTCTGTTAATTACAGTGGTGCCCCGCAAGACGAATGCCTCGCAAGACGAAAAACTCGCTAGACGAAAGAGTTTTCCGTTTTTTGAGTCGTTCCGCAAGACGAATTTCCCTATGGGCTTGCTTTGCAAGACGAAACGTCTTGCGAGTTCTTGCAAGTTTGTTTCCTTTTTCTTAAAGCCACTAAGCCGTTAATAGCCACTAAGCTGCTAATAGCCGCTAAGCCGCTAATAGCCGTGCTTCGCAAGATGAAAAAACCGCAAGACGAAGAGACTCGCGGAACGGATTAATTTCGTCTTGCGAGGCACCACTGTAATAAGTCTTTCGGTTATGTGCACTATATCTATGTATCTTAGCAAATTAGTTACTATTGTGTTTTTATGATTTTCCTTCTATAGAAGAACACTGAAATGCCACTCTACAGCAGTATATACCGTATTTTTCGCTCTATAGGATGCACCAGACCATAGGACGCACCTTGTTTTAGAGGGGGAGAACAAGAAAAAAAAAATCTCCCCCTCTCTGCTCAGCGCTCCTTCAGCAAAGCGGCAGGAGAAACGGAGCCCCTTTCATTTCTCCTCCCGCTTGGCTGAAGGGGCACTGCGCAGCTCTCCCTCTCTGCTGAAGTCAGGAGAGTCTTGCCCTCCCGGCTTCAGCAAAAGGAACCCGAAGCCTGCGGAGCGCAGCAGAAACTCGCACTGCGCTCTGAAGGCTTCAGGCGGCTATCCCTGAAGCCTGGAGAGTGAGAGGGGTCGGTGCGCACCGACCCCTCTCGCTCTGAAGGCTTCAGCGAAAGCAACGCGAAACCTCCGGAGTGCGGAGGGAGCTCTCCCTCTGCGCTTCAGAGACTTCGCGTTGCTATCACTGAATCCAAGGAGCCTGCATTCGCTCCATAGGACGCACACACATTTCCCCTTAATTTTTGGAGGGGGGAAGTGCGTCCTATAGAGCGAAAAATACGGTATATTTTAATTAACACACCGTTTCAAATTCAAACTTTAATTATTTAAGATACTTATACATAAAGCAGTTTACGTATACAGGGAGGGGTGGGGAACCTCAGGCCCCGGGGTCAAATTCACACCTCTCTATCATGCCCTTGAGACTTTGCCCATGCCATCTTCCCACTGCAGTCACACCCCTCACGGGTCCTGCTCTGTGTCTAGTGATTTTTTACCTCGCTGGAATGTATCCACTAACAGTGACATTATCCCTTGCTTGCCTGAAGAGTCGTGTGTGTCTGTTCACACCCTTTTTCCACATCCACCTCTGGAAGGTTGCCCATGAGAGAATGTTCCCCAGCCCTGACATAAAAGAGGGCATCAATATTTTAGATAAGACTTTGAGATTAGAGTCAAAGTCATATGTCTAAGTAACTTGAATAGAGCATGCTAAAGCATACTTGAACAATATTTTTCGATAATACTTAAATACCTTTCTAATTAGGTACATTTTTAAAAGCATAAAATATCTTAAGTCAAAGCTTAACGGGGTCCCCTCCTCAAGGCTCATGGAGAGGGTTCAGACATGCACCTTGTGACAGCATGACCTTCCTTGGCTCATTGAAATGTTGCATGCTGGTTGTGTGTTCATGGCCATTTATGTGATGAAATGTTATAAAGATTGCAATCCGTATCCAACATGTAATAACTCAACATGTATGTACTTTGTCTTTGGGACAAGGTGAATGAGCTTTATACATTTCTTCTTAAGAACTTCCCATGAGTTTTAGTTCAGGTTCACAACTAGTAAACAGCTTTTTAAAAAGGTATGAACATCCAAGGTAGGGTACAGCTATCTCTCTATATACTCTTCTACAGTGGTACCTCTGGTTCCGAACTTAATTCGTTCCGGAGGTCCGTTCTTAACCTGAAACAGTTCTTAACCTGAGGTACCACTTTAGCTAATGGGGCCTCCCACTGGCCTGCGATTTCTGTTCTCATCCTGAGGTAAAGTTCTTAACCCGAGGTACTACTTCTGGGTTAGTGGAGTCTGTAACCCGAAGTGTTTGTAACCTGAGGTACCACTGTATTTTTGGAACAAATGTTTATGGAAACATTTATTCAATTTATTGGTCATTCAGTAACTGTTAGACTCTGTGTTACTCTCTAATGTAAAATTATTCTTTTAGCTTATTGCAGAAGAATTTAGCCATAAAGTATTTCAGAAGTTTGGACCTCATGCTGGACCAGGTAATATATGAAAAAAATCCTCTTAGGTGCATTTTAGTTGATTCCAATACATCATTGACCTGATCTCTAAACAAAGTATCGGGTGACAGTAGGAAATGCAGAACATTCATGATGTTTAGAGCCCCTAATTTAGAATTCATTTTTATTCATCCAAGATAGCCTATGCATAAGGAAAGGAATCTTCATCTAGAAACTTGGTTTTGAAATGAGTTTTCACAGATCAGCTTTTGTGCACGATAGCAGTACAGTATTAAAGGGAAATTTCTCAAGTTATAAAACTTGCTTATTGTTAACTTAAATTACAAATAATTAATTTGAAACAACGCAATATTGCTTCAAAATCAGTTCCAAATATGTAGCTTATAGCCAGAGCATTTTGAGTTAAGATAATAAACTATTCCTTTTGCCAGGTATGTAGATGAAGGTTGCTTTTGGCACATGGCCAGGTGGGGAACAGGTAGACTTGAAAGAAAGAATATAAAAGGTTACCAATCTTTGTCATAAGTAAGTAAGTTGTGTCTTCTCTTCCTCTTTTCAAATAAGCATTCAACCACTTCAGTCTTATATGGAGTGTGTTGTACCTAAGCCAAATAATTTCAGCATGTCCAACTCTGGATGGGAAGAGAATTATTTTTGAATATTCCTTGGTCTTAGGATAGATTCCTAAAGAAACCCAGTGTTGTGTAAAGGAGTTCTTTTTGTGTGTGTGTTCTCTCTTGAATAGCAAAGAGACCAGCTCAAGGTCAAAACTTGGCCTCTGCTGCACCAGCTCAAAAAATCACAAAACCTGCTGCTAAATATGGAGTGCCTTTAATGCTTAAGAAGTCTGGGGATGCAGCTAAAAAGCCCTATGAGAAGCCTTCAATTAAATGCCGACAGGTAAGAGAAAATATTCAGCAATGAAACAAAAGTATATCTTTTTAATGAGGGGGGTGGAGAAAGTGTATGTTGGGACTTTGGTGTTTGCGTTTTTTAAACCTTAACTGCATTTTGTTTGTGTCAACTTGTCACGGGCATAGTTTCAGCGACCAATAGATTCCCTTGCAGGTGTGGAAACACGGTATGTAACTAGTCTTTGCAATTGCACTGTGATGCGCATTCAGGTGCAAGGCATCCAATGTGGCATCTGTTGCCTTTCCACCCACTTTCCAGTACAGATTGGCTGTGAATAGTTTTGGACCTGCTCACATATCGCTGCATGCAATTATATCTGCATTAAGGCCCATAACACAGCTGGAAGGTGTTATGGCGTGTTTTGGTTCCACCCAGTGTAAAAAGTGTACAAAGACCATATAATAAAATAACAGCAAGTAAACTCTGCCAGTAAACATTCCTGAAAAGAAAACCTAAAATGCTATATCAACAAGCAAGCTTCAAAAACTCAGTGGAATCAAAGTGTTGATATGGTATTTCAAAGTACTGTATAAAGTGGCACAGCCTAGTGGGTCTTCATGAGTAAGTTATCATGTTACACTGGCCCTGTTGGTACCTGCACCATCTTAAATATTTAGCATCTCATTTGCTTTTTATTTGAACAGATTTGTTTTATTTGACTTTTTAAATTTGTGTCATCCACTGTTGACTTCGTCTTTTTCTTTATTATTTGCAATATGAGATGCAGCAGGATTAGCTTGGAATCCAATGGATCCTAAGCTGCTCAAGCCCAGCCTTCCCAAAAACCCTGTTTTAGGGCTTCCAGCCAATTTCTACCACCAGGAATCCACTCTGTTGACTGCATCAAGTAATCTATGAGCATACCCCCCCAAAATTTTTAGTGTCACTCTACTTGGGAAGTCTGTAAAATATTTTCCTTATATGTCCTCATTTCTCTATGCTGAAACAGTGATAGCTTTTGGCAACTTTGAAATGATCCACGCATGATGTGAAACCAACTGGCTTTTACTTGGCATTAAAAATAGCATGCAGTCTCCCATGTATAAGTTAGTTGGTATGATGTGGCAGGGGAGGAGGGATAGAGATGTGCTTTATTTATGTTTTGTTTTCTATTAACAAAATAACTCTGAAAACAGCAAAATACTTGTATCAGTACTGCTGTCTTTGGCACACTGTTGGACAATCAGAAAAATGAATGGATGAAAAATGGTGTTCACTTTTGTCTGTACTGCTGAGAATACATTAAGGCTTCAGTACTTGATGCATTTACTAGGGAGTCAATGGCATAGAAATCAAATCAAGTCCTAAGTGTAGTTTCCCAACAATAAGATCCACTGACCAAAGTGTGGTTTTTATTTCTCAGTGCACATGGAGAGGCCGAAACTGTAAGATTAATAGCAAGTTTGCAAAGTTAACTTAGTTTATTCCTGCGTTATTGATTCTCCATGCTCAGTTACCTTCTGCAGCACATGGTACATGCATTCCTTCTAATTTGTAGTTTCACTCTTTATTTAGGCCCCTCCACCTCCAGTGAAGAAAGGGAAACCAGTAGAAGAAAGGAGGAAAATGTTTGAGGTATAAAGACATGGAAACTAAGGAAACTAAGCAAAATACTTTTAAACACAAAACAAAACCTTCAAACCTTTCCTCCTTATTTCCTTCCACTAGATATTCTCTAACCTTATTTATATATATCTCTATCTGTGTGTGTGTATATACATAGATATTAAAACCTCTAGAATATGACTCTTACTATGAAGTCCTAACCATCCTGACCTAATTCTCAGGAAATAATGGCTCAGGGTTTGAATCTGTATTTATTTTTCAGGAAGCTGCTAAAAAGAAAAGACACGACATTTTTGAGAAGGACAAAAGACAGCGTGAACAGGTAAATTAAAGAGAGTCACTATTTTTGTTCTGTTTTTAATGATGGAATGCAGGAATAATGTCTCATATGTTACCATAGCAGTTGGTTGGCGTAATACGTTATCATTTCAAAACATCCTACAGATCAGTTTCCTCAAGGCTGAGCAGATGAGAAGACTTGAGAAGGAAAGGGTAAAATGCTTTCAACTTTCCACTTCTAACTCTAAAGTTTCATCTTCAGAGCATTCATCAATTTTTGGGGTCCCGTTTTCTCACACACACGTCCTCTTTTCCAGATGGAAAGAATAAACAGAGCCAGGGAGCAAGGATGGAGGAATGTGCTCAGTGCAGGTGGAAGTGGTGAAATCAAGGTTGGTAGCTGCTGTTAAATGTATATGCGGACACACCTGTTCTTCCTTATTTCTAACCTTATCAATAATCTGTAGGTGCTTGTCAAGCTCTTACCTGCACCCTTTAGTCCAGAAGAGGGGAATGTTTTTCAGACTGATGCAGTGTTCCTCTGTGGGAAATCTTCCAGGGGCTACATGCCAGTGGTCAGCAGGACCCGAGGCAAAAATGGCAGAGCAACAGGTGTTGTTGGCATCCGTCTGTCTCAAGAGACAGTGGAGGAGTGCACCTCTGGGGGGAAAGTCCAACTGCTGCGTTAGCAACACCAAAGTGATCTCCCTGGGGCACAAGCCTGGGCAGTGTTTATGGAGGCTCTGGGCTGCCCAGATGACGAGGCCCTCCTCTCGGTCTCACTGATGCAGTCCAAAAGAAAGCAGAGCAATACGTTTAGTGCCAGCTTGGGGTTACCAGAAGGAGGCGTACAAGGCACCATCTAACAATCTTGGGGACTTCGCTCCGGATTGGAGTAGGGTTTACTCCTTAACCTTTTCTTCGCCCAAAGATATCCCGCAAGGTTTAGGGTCAGAGTTTTCCTTCTCCTAGATGAGCTACTTTGCCAGGTTGACAAGTCCCATCTGCCCCTCGATTCCCTCTACAGTACGTGTAGAAACCACCTTCTTGAACAATGGACCCAGTATTGTTACCTTTGTACAGTTGGTTCCATTCTAACCATGTGAAAGTCACACACACACACACAAAACCACAGCCCTCCCTCCCATCTAAGCAGGCAAGAAGCATTTTCACAGTCCAAGAACACACTGCTTCCACAAATGCTTCAAAGGTTCTCCTTGCAAGAAGTGAGGTTACAGGGAACCAGACAGAGGGCCTTCTCGGTAGTGGCGCCCACCCTGTGGAACACCCTCCCTTCAGATGTGAAGGAAATAAGCAGCTATCCTATCTTTAAAAGACATCTGAAGGCAGCCCTGTTCAGGAAAGTTTTTAATATTTAATGCTGTGCTGTTTTTAACACTTGATTGGGAGCCGCCCAGAGTGGCTAGGGAAACTCAGCCAGATGGGCGGGGTATAAATAATAAATTATTATTATTATCATTATTATTATGGCAAACGTTCTTGAGGGCATAGTGCAAAGCTGGGGGGTGGCCTGAGGAGAGTGCTGAGGGCTGGATACGGCATTCTGGAGGGCCACGTTTTTTGTTGGGTGCAAAATAGCATAAGATACAATGCCCCCCCCCCAAAAAAAAAACAAATTTGCAAGTGTTTAAGTTGTAGTTTTCAACTAGGTCCAATCCAAAACTATGCAAGGATGAAGACTGTACATTTTTTCATGTTACAGTGAATTTATTTGTGTGGGTTTCTATAACCATTGCAGAAGATGCAATCCTACGAATGCACAATGTTGATCAGAACATGCTGTGAGATGAATGCAAGTGTAGATCCTATACCCTGGTCAAAAGAGAGACACTTAACAGTGCTGTAGATGGCACTCTTCATCAAATAATATGTAACATTTCTGTTTTTTAAAGGAAGCCACAAGGCAGATAGGAATAAATACACAAGTGTGTATGGGTCTCCATTGCTGATAGTAATCAGATAATTGTCAGAAATTACTGAAAGCCACTTTGTATCGCCGACTAGCTGGATGTTGTAATATAGAAGTCACTTTTATGTCTAGAGGTTTTTAATTACAGTATCTAAATCTGACTTTTATTACCTTAAGGAGAGCAGGTGCTGCCAGTTCTCATTGGAATCATAACATGAGAGCTTATTCTTAAATTCCTAGGCTCCGTTTTTTGGAGGCGGAGGAGCTATTGTGCCTTTTCCTGTGCCTGGTCGAGGACAATATGAACACTATCATGCTATTTTTGATCAGATGCAGCAACAAAAGGAAAATATTAAAGTAACAGAGGGAAGAGATGCTGAATTGAGAGAGAAACATGGTCCAGAACCTATTGAAAGGTATGTCTGCCTTCGTTAAAAAGGAAAGAACATGTCATTCTAGATGAAAGTAATGAAAATTGCTATGCATATTTATCTACAGAGGACCACCTGGAATTCATGCAGGAGTTCCTAATGGGCCTGCAGTTCATCATCATTCACCTGATGCTGATGCAATTAGGAAAAGAATGAAAAGATTGGAGGAGGTGTCTAGACAAGCCAATGCAAACAGGTTGGACTGATGATGTATGGATCTGTCCTGTGTGTGTAGGTTTCTGTCACCGTCTGTTTAGTTTAATAACTAACACTAGAGTGTGAATGACAGTAATAGATACACCATAATCATCTGCCCGCCTCTCTAGATCAGAGTGGTTATACAATATTACTAATTTCTTTAGGATCCAAAATGCTTACCTATTTAATATAAGTTAACAAGCTTGCACAAGTACTGTATATTGTGCAAGCAATATAACAATTGCAGGAGAGGGTCCAAGTAAAAAGGGTCTAATTATACTCATTTTATATTTCCTAGATTATATAATTCAGAGCAGTAAACTTCAACTTTTTTCAGATTACATAGTTTTAACCCAAACATTAGGGGATTCATTTAATAATGTTTTGCCCATATATTTGTGTGGTGGTAATGTTGTGAGCCACGCTAGGGCAAGACCAAGTAGTTGAAGACCAATGACCCAGTGAATAGCAACAAAATTGTTGTATCTGGCTATTGTCCAAGAGGATATGTTTGTATTTACTTCACACATCATAGGTTGCCCCTTTTTAAGGCCTCTTAAAAATGTATGACAGGCCACAGAAACTGGCAGGATGAGGCTTTAAGAACATGGATTTAAGATTTTATTGTACACTTCTGCTGAAATACCGCTGTTGTCTTTTATAATTGTAATTTCTCTTCCAGCGCTTATGATGCAAATAGTATATTATGGAGAATACATTTCAGCCTTAAACAAAAATAGACCTTGTTTTAAGCTGTCAGGATTGCTTCTTGTTTAAATTTGTCTTCCAAAGCAGTTCCAAGAGGGTAGAAAAACCTTCCCAACCTCGTTCTCACCAGACTCCCCTCATCCGTGGCTATCAACCATGCCAACTGAGACTTGTGGGAGTTGGGAATCTAAAACCTTCGGAGGGCACCAGGTTGGGGAAGGCTGGGGTAGGCATTTGTGTGCTTTCATTGCAATCTAAAAACTCTCAAACAAATGAAAATTGCAGGAAGGGTGTTTTTTCCTTGAGGACCAGGGTTGGAAAACCTGATGTCCTCTAGAGGTTGGACTCCAACTCCCATCGCCCCCAGGCAGCATGGCCCAGTGGTCAGGGATGATAGAAGGCTGAAAGCCTGGCTAAAGAGCATCCATGACCATCAGCTCTAGGACCTTGCCCAAGAAAGAAAGCTTACACTTGACCCATGCTGTACAGTGGTTAGCAGACTATATTTCTAAATGTACGTGACCTTCGCTTGCTAGCCACCTGTTGATCTTGAATCAATAAAGTGCTGAATGATGTCGCTGCATTTATTTGAAGTCTGCTGAAATCTTAAATTCAGTGTATTTTCTCTACTAGTTTCCAGTTCCTCTTCTTGGTTATATATATATATTTTTCAAGTAAAGCAAACTCGTAAAATGTTTTACTCAGGCAAAAAGGATGGGTAGCCGCAGAAAGAGCTAAGCAAGTTGAGGAATTCTGGCAACGGAAGAGAGAAGCCATGCAAAACAAAGCTCGTGCTGAAGGACATATGGTATGAAATTTTACTTTCCTACTGTATCAGCATTTGAATTCTATTTTTTTAACAGTTAACTTCCACATGAACTTGTAAAATCTATTAATATCTGCAGCAGGACAGTAGTAATTCTTAAACTTTAGGATTGTGTTAGAAGTAATCCACAAAAATTAGATTCTGCATCTTCCCAGTAGTTGACTTGCTTCCTATATCTATATTGAATCTTATTTTGTATTCGGGCTGGTGGTATGAGACAGGAGCTTATAAATCATGCAATCCAAAGAAGTATCTTTAAGCTAACAGAAGAATTTGCGCAATGAAATTTCTCACTCATCCTGATTACGGCTGCAATCCTGACCATGTCTGCTCAGAAGCAAGTCCCATTGAGTTCAGTAGAACTTGCAGTTAGGAAAATGAGGCTAGGATTGTATCTGAAAAAAATTTTCCTGGTGTATTTAAGGGTGGCTTGCCACGTAGTGTGGAGAGCTGCTCTCAGGAGGAGAAACCCTTGCAGCGTATATAGACTTTGGTATACAGCTCTTTGGGGTGACCAAGGTACTATCTAAGACCTCAGTTCAAAGTTCAGCTATGCAGCACATGCTCTTTTAGCCACTTTTAACCTATTGTGCAGCTGAAGCTTTGTATGTGAAAAATTCATTGACCTGTTTCAGGTTTAATGGAAAATCATGGCCATGAGTAAACCATGCTGAACCTCAGGCTCATGTGCTTTCCTATCTTCCTTTTTCATGTGCAAGAAGAGAGCAGAAGCAAACAAGCCACCGTTCCCAAAGTATAGGCATTACAGGAAGCCCTGGTTTGTTCAAAATTGTGACCAGAAATCTTCCAGTTAGCTTCTAACATGCAAAGGAGAGCAGAATGGGGGAGTTGAAAAGTCACCTCCTGTGACTTGTTTAAGCACCGGGAAAGCATAGTTTCCTACTATATATATAAACTGAGCCAGGACATGGGTGGCGCTGTGGTCTAAACCACTGAGCCTCTTGGGCTTGCTGATCAGAAGGTCGGCAGTTTGAATATCTTCCCATAAACTGAGTCATTGTTGTATTTTCCTTCTGGTTCATGCCATGCATAACCACTGTGCTCAGGTATTCATGTTACTTTGGGCATGGGGAAAACAACAACAAAACCTGAATTAAAAATGCTTTCCGTTTCTCACTGCAAATCTGTTGCCAACTTTGGGGGTTTGGCACTCAGATACGAAAATCAAGTTTAAATCATTATTATAAAAACTCTTTGACTTTTCTCCCCAAGGCATTATAAATCCAAAGGTAGCCTGAGATCTCTTTTGGTTGATATTATGGTGGTGGCTTCTGTGGTCCACACCCATTCCATGTCACAGACACATGTCTTCATGCTTTAGAGCATTTGCTGGCAGATACTTTCTCTGCTCATGACAAAATGTGTCTACACCATAAAATGAGAACATTCCTAATAATCACTGCAGGTCAAAGAGTGAGGTGTGGCTAGATAGAGGAATATTGGTGTAGAAAGAAGAATTTATTGATCCTTTTTATAGTTTGCATACACTTAAAGTTTCCCATTGCTTTTTTTAAAAAATAAAAACTACCGTTAGCATATGAGTTACACTGTCTCGGAGGTGGCAGTGATCTGTACATGCACAAAACCCCATTTCCATACGAAGGGAAATAGAGCAATGTTTTATTTCCCAAATAGGAGGAGCAGCTGCCATGGCATGGCAAATTGTCACCTGAATTTCCATTACCTTTCCTGTTCGCCTTCCTTCAATCTCTGATAGTGAAATCTGTGTCATGTTTTTCGGCTGGAATGACCCACCCATCTATTTTTGAAAGAGTAGCTCCATCTAAAAAGCCTATAACTTACATTAGGACAAGTTCACACCTTTTCTTCTTGGTCCTCTAGAGTAATAGTTTTTTAGTGAGGTTTTAATTTTAGTGAGGTTTTAAGGTGCTGCTATCAGTAAATTAATATGAGAGAAATGTTATCTGCCTGCATGCAATTATGAGCCAGTTTGAAAACAGCATCCCATTCGAATGGAGAACAGCTGTGCAGAAACAGATATGAAAAGCCCACACTTTAGAAACAGTGAGAGTTTGTTATATTCTACACTTTAATTAGGTGTAAGGGGGGAAATGTTGCTGCTTAGTCTTCCCTCCATGTGGATGAACTACTTGACTGCCTGTCTTAGTACTCAGGGAGTGTGGCTCAGAGCTTGTTCTGGAATCAAGCAGACTTTACTTGCTCAGGATCAAACTATCCTATCAAAGGACCCAAATCTTTGCTGCCTTCTGCAGAAACAAAGCAAAAGAAGAGATCACCTCTGTGATTATTAGCCCTGTGTAGTATTGGTAAGAATTTGACTGACTCAACAAATTATTGCCTTTCCAAAATTACCCAAGTGCACCATATTAAATCAATAGCAACAAATTTCAATACTTTATCACCTATAATATGCCACTCGGGCAGCGATATGCATTTATGTCACCACAATCGTTTGAAGATTTTTGGAAGGTTTCTGAGGGGGATTTAACCAAAAGCATTCATGTTAAACCATGTTGCCATGAAGCTTTGTTTTCATTTAAACAAAGTGTTGACACTTGACTCAATATATAGCAATTATACACTAATAATTCATTGTGGCAGTGAAGTTCCAACAATGCATGCCAAAGTTCTAAACTGAACAGATGTTACAGTCTTAAAGGCACAGTCTAAAATATGAGATACAAAGGAACAAGAAAAGTGAAGCTTGGGTAATTAAATGACGCAGAGTGTATTTTCGCTTTATCTTAGCCATTCATTGAGGAAAAAAATAGTAGATGTTGATAAATATAAGGTTAGATAATGTGGTGGCCCCAACCGTTCTTGAATTTAATACATTAAATGGTGAACAGGGCACCCTGCAAAACCTGACAGCTATCTATGGAGGCAGGCCCATTTCTTCAAGAGGAAGGAAAGCCAGAAACAAGGAGGAAGAGGTATGCTTCCTGCATGTTTTCTGCCTTCATTGCACATATAGAACCCTTTCCTGCCTCATTTTTTCTGCATGGGTTGTCATGTATAATCAGAGGAAAGGGCCCCTCCTTGGCATTCTAATTAGTTTCAACTTGCAACTCCTAGAGTTGTCCCATAGATGAATTAACATACTTGTCACATAAGTTAGTCATGAGAAGTGAATCATTCCTATGCCCTTAAAACAGAATTTGCCCTCATTGTCTTTTAATAGCTCTCCTCCACAACTCCCAGGCCACCAGTGATGGGTCCGCTGAAATCACTTAGAAGTATAGCATTGATACTCTTCCATAAGAGAGTTGTTCCATTAATATCCCACTCTGTGAAATTGACATGTTTAAGTTAAGTATTGCTGCAACTTTCCTCTGACACTTTTTAAATTTTTTATGTTCCTTCAGGAATACTTGGCAAGACTAAGGCAAATTAGACTTCAAAACTTCAACGAACGCCAGCAAATTAAAGCTAAACTTCGTGGAGAAAAGGCAAGGATTCTAACCATGAAGGCATTTTATTATTGCTCCGTTCGCCTTGTTTTCTGCTTTGTTAGATGAAACTGAATTGTTTATTCTTAGCTTGTCAACTAGAGCTCCACTGATTGTGATGTCGAGGTGGCAATCTTCTTGATGTCCAGCTCTTCAAGGAAAGGCTTTATGCCTCCATGGCTGCATGCAAAGCATTTGCTTTACTCAGCTACGGCCCTTATCAGTGAGCCAAGTATTCAAATGCTCATGTGGCTGCTTGGATATTTGAGATGGAGTTCTAAGAGTTGATGCAACATGTGGCCAGGCTACTAAAGATTGGCTCTTTTTGATCCTGCAGCGCTCAGTCCATATGGCTCCCCACTGGTTATAGTTGTCTCGTGGCAAGTTTTTAAACGAATACCATATTGCAGGGCATCTTGTAATTCCACCCTAAGATTCTTGCTTCTCATTTCGTTTCAGTTATGAAAATGGAAAATGACTCTCTCTCCCCCCCCCCCACAAAAAAGGGAAAAAGACTCCATACTTGCAAATGCATAGAATATAAATGATTATATTAGACTTCAGAACTGGGAGTTGTGGAGACTCTGATATGACTAATTTTAATTTACTGGAATATTTGCGAGCATTTTTGGAAAGTGCCCCAAAGTTCCTGTTAGGTCACATTTCCCTGGGGTTAAGTTATTAGGAATTTCCAAAGGAAATCCTCTCAAAATTGTATGCATTATCATGCTTCCAAATCCTGTCAAGACTATGAAACTATAATATATAGCCTCAAGAGCTCCGTGCATGAAATTTAATGAAACTTATGAGATTAAAAAAATTATTAGTATAGCTTGCAGTGTTCTCTTCTGTTACTAGTCTGCTAAGTATATAAATTTGTGAATAACTGTTTTACAGAATGAAGCTTGTGGTTCTCCTGTACATGAAATAGATGAAGAAGCAGAGCTAAGGCGTAAGAAAATTGAAGCGCTGAAGGTAATGGTGAAAGAGTGGTAGAGTAGAACTTGCTGCGTTGATTAAAAACAAAACGGTGGGTGAAAACAACAGCCAATAGAGCTGTTTTGTGCACTGTTCTGCACATGCTAGCATTAAGAGCTTGCTGAGTGCCACAATGGATGGCAAGTTCCATCACATTTTAAGAAACGTTTTCATGGAAGATCAACGCAGGAACAATTATGGTGTAGGGCCAGGAAGTGAAGTGAGATGGGGAACAGTACAGGGACCACTGGTGCTGACCACATTGGTGCACATGGCCGTTGCCATGCCTGCTGCACCTCATCAGTTGTGATTGGGGACCTTCAGGAACATGTTCAATATTCCTTGCCTGGTGCTGCTGTAGCTCCTCGTCTTCCTGTGCCTCTCAAGCTACTGTCTTGTAGTGCTGTACGAAGCTGCAACCGTGATGGAAGGTATCACATTGATCCTGAAATGTGTTTTCTGTAAAGTCTGGAAGTTATTGAGCAAAAGTGTGTATGAGGTTTTCTAATGTAGATTTCAAGAAGAGCCATGTAAGTAATTGCTGGTGCAACATATTGTATATGCACTGGCCTTTAGAAAGCAGAGTGCCCCTTGCTGAAAAGTTGCTCTCTTTTTTGGTCACATTACAAGGCACAAGCAAATGCCCGGGCTGCAGTCCTGAAAGAACAGCTAGAACGGAAGAGAAAAGAAGCATACGAAAGGGAGAGGAAAGCTTGGGAAGAACATGTAAGAAAGATGAATTTTGACACTTCCTCTCTGCTGATGCAGTTTACACTTAGAAGCTTAGATTAGAATTGTTTAATTTCTTCTTGTATTTCCAGAGGTCTTGGAAGTAAGTGTTCACAGCCTGATGTCTTTTGCATACTAATTTTCGTTCATTTTTTAGCATTAGTGTGCTCTTAACCTTTACTGATGGGATCTAGGGCCTAGAACAGGCATAGGCAAACTCAGCCCTCCAGATGTTTTGGGACTACAACTCCCATCATCCCTAGCTAACAGGAACAGTGGTCAAGGATGATGGGAGTTGTAGTTCCAAAACATCTGGAGGGCCAAGTTTGCCTATGCCTGACCTAGAACATATCTACCCAATCTTGTTTGGGTAGAGAAAGTAGTAGTGTCTGCTGGATTATAGCACATACTTCAGACCAGGAGCACTTTAATGATGCCACAGTGTGCATGAATTTCTTCTTGTAGTGGACTGGTATGTTTATCTTCTCATGTAGTACTGAGAAAAGCACAAGAATATGGATAAGAAATAAAGGATCATCACCATTGCCCACATAAACATTTTAAAGAGCCCCCAAACTGCTTCCGCCTCCCCAGTTGCACAACACCAAAAATGTACAAATAGCACTACATCACTTCTGGAGTGATTGGGGATGTTCTAGGAACTCTAAAAAAATTACATATTTCATAAAAGTTAAGTATCCTTTTTGTGTTTAATGATTCTGTGCTATTCTGCATGTGGAGATGCAGCAAGTTGCCAGAGAGCAAAGAACACTCACCACTAGCAACCCAAACTACTGCTCCAATCTAATAATAGTAGATCCAGGGAGTTCATATCAGACTGTCATGTCCATGGAATAGAGCCAATTTTTAAAAATCTAAATAGTTGAATGATCATGTCTTAATTAAAGAAGAAAACAAGTGATAGAATTTGGTCAGTTAATCAGTCTGAAGCTGCTGTTTTTTTAAAAAAAGAAAAGCTCTTGCAGCTTTATATTTTTCTGTGACAGCTGGCTGGGAAGGAATGAAACTGTTCTACCCTTTTCTATTTGGTTGTTACAAAATGGTAGCTTTTGATTTTAGAGGCTGTCTTGCATAGGAGAGTCAAAATCTCAGAGGAAAGTTAAAACTACAAGGGGATGTTTTTCATCAAGTTGTGCCCTGGAGGCTCAAAAGTTCAGCCTAGGAGCCTGATTCATTAAGACGAAATAGAAACTTAATCAGGAGTCTACTCGCTTTTTGATTAGCCAAAAGGTAGGGAAGGGGAGTGAATATATTGTACAGAAGTGAAGCTAGAAAATAGGGTGGTTAGTTGTGAAGTCAGGAACTTGAAGAGTTGCAAGACAGAAAACGGTCTAGAATATTTTGAGTGCTGAGTGGTTGAGGGCATAGCTGGACACTGCAGCAGACAAAAGCCAGAAGAAGACCACAAAGTGACCCATTAGCTAAACAGAGGGATGCAAATTAATAAGCATTGGTGTGGTTAGGGAAACAGTCTAGACTACGTATAGCTGGATTCATTTATCTCTGTTTATATCCACTTGGTGGCAGTGGTGATAAAGGAAGAGCTGGTTGGTTTGGCTGGTTTGCTTGCCTCCCTTCCCTCTCACAATGCAGCCTACAGGCTGTGCCGTTACACTAACACTTCATCATTGCCATGTGAAATGTAGCACATTTTACGTTATACCCACAGCTGGTAGCCAAAGGGATAAAGAACCCCATGGGAGCTGCAGAATTAAGTCCCACACATGGCAAGCAAGAAGGTGGAGGTTCCCCTACCAGGCTGATGAAGCCCATTTCACCACAAATCATCTCTATGACATCCGCTCTGAAGGAAGTGGGCGCGGTAAGTCGTATATATCAAAGCAGTAACCACATGTATGTCCATTCAGTGTGCAAGTGTCAGGAAGAGAATATGATTCTCAGTGCTCCTCTCAAGAATGAAAATTGTCTGTGCATGCACAAAACCACTACTGTATTGTGTTCGACATGCTTTTTAAACACACAAATTGATTTGTGTGAAAAATTGGCATGAAAATTGGCCTTCTCATAGATTAACATTGCTATTGTAGAAATTCTGCCTGCAAGGAATACGTCAACAATGGTATGCTGAAACATTCACTGCACAGCTGTTAATGGCAAGCATTGTTTTCCCCACTGTTCTTTCTCGTACTAATTACTGTATTTGACACAGTCTTTCATGTTGTTTTGTTGCATGTTTTGGATTTTAAAGGATGAAAATGCGTCGGTCATCCAGGAAGCCTCAGTAGAAGCAAAACCTGATGTTGCTTTTCAAGTAAGTTAAATTACTTCAGCTTTGTTCTATACTTCGGTTTTTTAGAGGTTTTGCTTTTTATGTAATGGGTTGTTTTGTTTTTTCTTTCCTGCTTCAGAACAAGCGAAACATACTCCGAAGACTGAATGAAAACCTTAAAGCACAGGTAGATATAAAAGAGGAAAATGAACCTAAAGACATCTGTGAGGTAGCTCTGCCTGATGAGAAGAACCAGCATCAAGAAGAAAACCATCCGGTTCCACCTGATCGTAAGAAATGGGAGGCTGGGGCTCAACTTGTGGTTCCTCTAGCACAATTAACAATGGAAGCATCTTTCACTGGTACAGAGGGTAAGTTGATTTGTTAAAGTTTGTTAACCAAATCAAGCGAATTGCAAAGATTGCACTTACTAGGTAATACCATCCTGCTTAAGTTAGTTTTGAACTTGCTTCCTCAAAGATTTGTAAGTTGCAAACTGTTCAGCCACATAGCTTGGATAGACCCAATCTTTCTCCTTTTCTCCTAAGTCTACTCTCCATTCACAAGTCCTTTTCTCTCACTTCCTTCCTCCCTTACCCTAATTATGTCACAAAGTTAGCAGCTGTGTGTTCCCCAACTGGCAGTGAACAAGGTGCAGACCTTTTGCAGTGTCTCACATCCAGCAGTTAGCAGCTTGAAACTGAATTATATATTACCACCCATTTTGTGGACTACATGGTTTCTGTGATATTTCTGTGCACTGGAATTCCCAGCTCACTTGGGTTGTATCCAACACAGCAAACTTCCTCATTCACCATGGAACTTCCCCTTCCTCTTCTCTCCCCTTCTCTAGCCTCCTGTGCATCCTCAAAATTGGCTCCAGTGGTTTTGAGGGTGTGGGAGGAGTGGCAGGGGAGCAATAGATAAAAACCCTTTGGATTCCTGTGCCATAAGCTTTGACATTCCATTCGGAATGTTCCCTCTTCTCCAGTTATATTGCTTCTTCTATCTTTATTTTGGAAGTTGTATCCAAAGAGCCTTCTAGAGGTTCCCTCACTGCGAGAAGTGAGGTTGCAGAGAACCAGGCAGAGGGCCTTCTCGGTAGTGGCACCTGCCCTGTGCAATGCCCTCCCATCAGATGTCAAAGAAATAAACTATCTGACTTTTAGAAGACATCTGAAGGCAACCCTGTTTAGGGAAGTTTTTAATGTTTGATGTTTTATCGTGCTTTTAATATTCTGTTGGGAGCCGCTCAGATGGGCGGGATATAAATAATAAATTATTATTATTATTATTATTTATTATTATTATTTAGATTTTGGAGGAGTGACAAACGGCCCTACCACCCCACTCCTAAAGAGAACTTTTTCACTTAGTGGAGAGAGAGAGAGAGAGTTGTTACCTTAAAAAAATTCTGTTCTCCGATTCATTGCTTTTGCTCTAGAAAATATATAAAGGAAAGGAAATATTAATTCTCAGATTTCTTGATCTAATTTCATTGTATTTAACCTAATCTAATTGCACTGAATCAGAATGTTTTGTTTTAATAAACATTTGTATTGGTTTGCATCTGTGTATCGTAGAAGCATTTGCAGCCCATTTTGTTCTCTTTATACCCTTCAAGAATAAATTAAATTGGGATGGTATGTTCTTTACTGACAGATCATTACTCTTTTGTCTTTCATTGAAAATAAGGGGGGAGGAAGCCCTTTCTAAAGCTTTTTATGTCAACATGTTAAATATTTCCCTACAGCACAGACATTAGGAGAGGTTATTAAGCTAGACGCTGCTGAACCCCAACGAAAAGTCTGGGGCAAGAGCCCGACCGATTCAGTATTGAAGATACTTGGAGAGGCTGAGTTACAACTTCAGACTGATCTGCTAGATGACCTAAGTATTACCAACGGTAAGGAGAAGCTGAAGCTATGTTAAGTTTTAAAAAACTTGTATCAGGCTTATATTTTGCACTGAATCTTTCATGAGTGGTGGTTTAGGATAGACCTTTGGACTACTAATTTCCATTTATCCTTGATTTAATAACAGAGTAAAGCTTCCATTCTGAATAAAACCTGTTCTTGTTCTCTCTAACCCCAAGCAGTAGCAATTCAAATCCAGGCACCTCTTGCGCTGTGAAGCATTGTCTAGAATCTGTTTTCTCTCTTCTACTTACAGTGACACATTAAATTGGACTTTAATACATGGAGTGAAATTACAGGGGACCAAAACAGGCATAGTAAAAAGGAAATCATTTTATTATGATGAAAAATCAAATTACCTTTTGATAGGTTAATAACAATTATAAGGCACACTTTCATTTGTTGAAGTGTTTTCGCTATTTAATACAGACTTGATGCCATTTTAAAACATGTATTTTCTTAAAAACTGGTCCCTTTAATATTCCTGAGTGTAAAAGACTGGAACTTAACAGTCTCATACAATTTAAAAAATGCATACAATTTCCAGCTGTTTGTGTAAGACTAAAAACAATTCACTGTATTTTTCGCACCATAGGACGCACCGGACAATAGGACGCACTTTGTTTTAGAGGGGGGAGAACAAGAAAAAAAAATCTCCCCCTCTCTGCCCAGCGCCCCTTCAGCGAAGGGGCAGGAGGGGGTGTGCAGAGAGGGGAGAACTTTCCCCCCTTGTTTTCCCGCTCTAAAACAAGGTGCCGTTTAAGGTGCGTTCAGGCGGCTACCTTGGAAGCCTGGAGAGCGAGAGGGGTCGGTGTGCACTGACCCCTCTCGCTCTCCAGGCTTCAGGTTCCTTTCGACCTGCTCTTTGGGGCTGGCGGGGGGAAGCCCACCACCAGCCCCAAAGAGCAGTTCAGGGAGCAGCGGAAAGGCGCAGCGGAGAGGCTCCTGCCATAGCCGTGCGTCACCTCTCCAGCCGGGAGAGGGTCGCGGGGCTATGGCGTCTTCGCTCCATAGGACGCACACACATTTTCCCTTCATTTTTGAAGGGAAAATAGTGCGTCCTATAGAGCGAAAAATACGGCACTTTCGGACCCATTTGAATGTTGCAATAAACCACAGTTTGTCTTAAATTGGGTTGGCTAACCCCTTGTTTGGTGGCCTTCAAGCAACTTTTTCTTCTCATCCAAGACCCTACTGAATTAATCAGTAGCATATATATATATATATATATATATATATATATATATATATATATATAAAACCCCTTGTTTGGTGGCCTTCAAGCAACTTTTTCTTCTCATCCAAGACCCTACTGAATTAATCAGTAGCATATATATATATATATATATATAATTTTTTAAAAGTAGGCATAGCACTAGAGGTGGAAGGAGAAGTTTAAATCCAGCACCCTGATGGGAATACAATCACTCAATAGACAATGATCAGCTAGATCATTTGATGAACAGGGAGGGGGCAATAACTCTTCTCAACAGATCTGCATGTGTGTTTTATGTGTGTTCACACATTGAGGTGGCCACACCTATTGCTGGCATGCAGCCTGAGGAGGGCTGGCAATGGGTGAATGCAAAAGTTTAACCACACCAATCATGATTAAACTATGCTTTAAGAACATGTGTTCCCCCTGTCACAGGGAGGAGCTTAAACAAGCCAACGCAGAACATGGTTTCCTTTGTTTCAAACAAACCACAAGCCAGAAATAAACCAAAGTTTGCTCTTGGTCTGTTTCTGGCTTACCACTCATTATTTGTTTGAAACAAAACCAGGGGGCCATGGTCAGATGGCACAACAAATTGTTGGAACTACAGTTTGTGAGATCCACGAGCAATAGAGGAGAAGCCACCCAAATTGTCATGCAGCAAGAAGGAAACATGTTCATTATTAAACTATTACTTAAGACAAACTGTGACTTAAGACATGTTAACGAGGCTACTGTAAGGATGCAAGTTTGTTTTCTTCCTTTTAGTAAAGAAACCTGCATTTATTAATTCTGGACAGCTTACATTTTTACCACACATCTGTGCTGCAACATATTCAACGAGGTGTATATTTAAGTGGCAATTTATTACTTTGCTATAGATGTTTCAAAGGAACCATTAACAGTGAGAGACAACAGTGAAATGAAAGCAGAAACTCATGCCAGAGAGGAATCATCGACTGAAGTTGAGAATACTGAAAAGACGACACAAGAAAGCTCTCAAGCATCTGAATCTACCCAGTTGACAGCCAGGCCTGATCTGATAAACGGTATAACTTCCCAGTTCCAAATTTATTCACACACCCACACCCCTGTTTTTAGTAAGGAGCAGAGAAATGCTGTTAATGGAAGTTTAATAATTAATAAATTAGGGCAATACAATGTCAAAAATAATTTATGCAAAGGTAACACGCTGAAGAGTTCTAATAAAATTCCAAAGTTCTCTTAAAATTTGGCCTCTGCTTATAGTTGCTTGTCAACTGTGCATCTTAGCACGGACGGCTTATGAGAGCTAAATAATTGTTTCAGTGCCTTCCCATAGGACATATGTGTTTATGCATAACAATTATAAATAGCTTTTGTGCCTCCTGCTAAATTTTAATATCCCTTAGGAATTGTGATGCAAGTAAATGCCTTTAGCACAAGTACCGCTTCTTTCATTTGTGAACTTGTTTCCACAGAGCCTGAAGACTTGGAATCAGAATTGTTAGAAGAAACCAAAGAAGATAAATGCAAAGCAAATATATTCCCTGTCATTGCTGATGTGTGGGTTAAAGAAAGAGCAGAAGCAAAGGAAATTGTGTAAGTCACCCTCCCTTTTATGCTTCCACTGGTATAAAGTTTCATTTTTGAGAGTAAAATGAGGAAATATATTGTGTGTGTGTGTTTATTTCCTGGCTTTGGTCATCTTTCGCAGGTCAGAAGATCCTACTGATAGTAGCCAATATGAAAACGAAGATCTTCCAGAGGATGGGCTACTAAAAAAAATGCCACTCCATGATGAAGCATCCGTAGGTCAGCAGTCATATTATTTATACTTCTTATAATCTAAAATGGAATTTGAGATTTTGGGGTATTCTGTATGTCTTTTGCCAACGTGAATTGGAATACTTAGGTTGCAATTCTGTGTCCCACAAAGCCCTGCTGCTTCTGAGCAGACATGTAGGATTGAAGTGTAAACAGAGAGTTAAACTTAACATGTCTTGTTCTTCTGGTCTGTAGGGAGTATAGTAGACAGGAGAGGGTTAATTTCCCTTCAAGAGGAAAGCCCAGGCCAAATAGCAGCAACAACAACAAAATTTGTGTCTTTCCTGGATAGGAGGGATCTTCCAGTTACAGGACAACTTTCCAGTGTAGAAATTTCTTATGGGGGAAAAAACCATAAGCAGATAATCACATTTATCAACAAAAGAACAGTAATGAAGAAGAAAAAATATGGAGGGAAAAGAAGGAGGAGTCCAGTGGTGTCCCTAACTGAGAACTGCTAAGGAAAACGGTGCATGCTAGATTTGCAAACAACCCTCTGTGATTTACACTCTCTGTGGTTTGGTTGTTTCTATTAAGTGTGGGTAGACCTGTCTGCTCCCCTCTCCACTGACCAGAAGAACACTTCATAGTAAGTACAATGTTCCACTCTCGGAACAGCGGGGGAGCAGAAAGCAAAAGGATATCATCATATCAGGGTGGGAGGAACAACTCTTTATAGCTGCTGATATTGTACTTTCCTATGGAGGAATATTTGAGGAGAAGCTTGTTGCATGAAGGTGGACAGTTGACCTATTGATCCTCCTGTTGAAGGTTCTGGTAGTGTGCTGTGACCAAGCCATCCAAGGTACATGTTATGTGTGCAGAAAAGGCTGTTACACCCTTGCAGGCGCATGGCATTCGTGAGCATACTAGGTCAGGCAACATGTATTCTGACTCCTCTGTTCATTATGTTTCTTCCCTGTATGCCAGTATGGAAGCAGTTCTGGCATAGACTGGGAGTATTGGCCCATGAACACAACTTGAGGAGACTTCTGAGTGCCAGACAGACATTGGGTTTCTGCCATTCCATATCCTGGGAAAATGGGGTTAAGATGGTTCTGTAGGATTTATATTTCTGCATACCAGGAGAAGGTATGACTGCAGCCTGTGGGCAGTGGCTGGCTTGGAGTTATCTGTCCTAGGGGATTCTTTACAAGGAACCATCCAGACCCAGTTAACAATGGATGTAACCATGCTGGACTGAGGAACACTTGATATGCTATAATCCATACATTTAGCCCTGACCTCATTGGCTGCCAAGGTGCAGGCAGAAAAACGTGTGGTTCTAAGCATGCATCTTCCACCATGAGCAGAAATGTTCCCCAACTTATATAAACCTTACAGAAAACTACATTTTGATGAGGTGTGCGCTTCAGCAGTTCTTTATGCTTCGAAACCCGGGAGACAAGGTTTCAGTCTTAAGGTGACATTGATAACCTCTAAGAGACTTGCATAGAACAACTTCATAAATGTATTTCCAAAAGTTGTGGAAAGAACTACAATTCCAGGGAAAAGTTCAGCTAGCAGGCCATGCACTAGAGGGACCTTTCAAGCCACTCATGGATTCATGAGAATTATTATTTATTTAAACTGTAGCTATCTATAGAAGCGCTTTGCTCTTGCCCTCGGAAATAGGTCCTTGATCCCTGAGGACTTGGGGAAAGAGTCAGTTCACTAAATGGAAGCAATCTGCTGCTCCTATTCTGATGGCTTCAAAAAAGAACCCTGTTGCTTCTGCCCAGATAGCTTGCTAAAAGATCTTGTCAGACCTATACAGTGGTACCTCGGGTTAAGTACTTAATTCGTTCCGGAGGTCCGTTCTTAACCTGAAACTGTTCTTAACCTGAAGCACCACTTTAGCTAATGGGGCCTCCTGCTGCCACCATGCCGCCAGAGCATGATTTCTGTTCTCATCCTGAAGCAAAGTTCTTAACCCAAGGTACTATTTCTGGGTTAGCGGAGTCTGTAACCTGAAGTGTATGTAACCCGAGGTACCACTGTATTTGTTCTAGAAGAACCCTGGGCTCCTGAGTTATGAACTGTCTTTCAATAGACTAATGAACAGAAGGGTCTATTCATTCAGTCTCTCTTGCACACATTTTCTCAAGCATGCAGACACTATAAGGAGTATTTTCAAAAACCTGGTGAGGAATGGTGACTCTTAACATTGAAGGGAAACCCTTTTACTTGGAAGGAACTGGCCAGAGGGGAAGGGAAGGAGGGAGCCTGGAAATTGCCATCTGTCCCCATTTTGTCTTTACACAAAGGCTAGGCCTCAGCAATGTCATCTGGTACTTGTCACAATCCAACCCTCTGCCTCTAACACACTAGCCACACTAACAGATAACAAATTGGAGAGGCCGTTTATGGGTAAGGGAAAGCTATAGCACCCTTACCCATGTAGTCATTTTGCTCTTAAAAGCTTGAACTCTTCCATCCACCACCCACTTTGAGGGATTTTGGGGCAGTCCCACAATTAATTAGTAATTTTCAAGGTAAGGTAATGCAAGGTGCAGCATCGGCCTACAGCATATCTTATTTCTGCAGTAAATTATTGAACTGCACCTAACACTTTTTTTAAACGAGGCTTGCTGGAATGTTAACCTGTACATGTATTTGTAAAATGGTGTGTTCTCTCTCGCTCCAGATACCCATGATTCCATGCAACCTGAACCCTTTTTTCAGAAAGTGGTACAGCATCAAGCAAGATTAACAGCTTTTCCTGTTCTGTCGGCACAGTCTTCCCTTGATGATTCCCTTCCAACAAGGTCACGCTCTGTATCGCCAGAAAAAACAAAAGGCAAAAACTCATTGTTGATAGGGCTTTCTACTGGTCTCTTTGATGCGAACAACCCAAAGGTAAGCATTTAAAACAAACAAACAAAAAAAAAAAAAACCTTAAATGTTGCACATGGGTGTATTTGCTGCATGGGTATATAATGCTTACAGAATTGTTGCATTTTATAGACTACAAAAGGATTATATACTTGCACCCGTGCAACTGTTCTTTGTAATACTAGAAATGCACAAAAAAATTAGAAGTGCTACTTGGGAGATTGTTTTTTTATTATGATTGGGGGCAACCTCCTGAAGATGCACCTGATACTAGTATACTATTGTGTATATATAGATATAGATATAGATATAGATATAGATATAGATGGATAGATAGATATCAACATATATATTTTTGGAAAGTAATAAAGGAGAATTCATAATTTTAGCATGAAAACTGTTCTTGATTCTTCATTCTCCCATTTCCCCCCACTCTGGAAGAAAACATACAGGAGCTACTTGTTACTATCATAACTATGCTAATATAAATTTACAAGTTATTTTTGTTATTATGGGCACACGTTCACATTCTTGCTGGTTGGTCTGGTCTGCTCGTTTAATGCAGTATTCCTTTTTAGCTGCTGAGAACCTGTTCGCTCCCTGATCTTTCCAAGCTGTATAGAACACTAGTTGATGTTCCCAGTGTTGCTGATGTGCAAAATCAACAGAGTCTTGAAATAGATGACATGGAGGATGAGCCCATCAAAGGAGAACAATCTGATTCTGAAGACATGTGAGCAAAAAAACACACTCAAAAACTGGAAAAGTATCTCCATAAAGCATTAACTTAAAAGCTTTTTGTTAAAAAAAATCTTTTAAAAATCTAGTACATCTACACTAAAATAACTGGCTATGTGGTAATATCTTGGTGGCTTTCCTCAAGGGAATAAAATTAAACCAATGTGATGCAGTGAAAAGCAATGAAAAAGAAGACTTGAAAATGTGATGTAGAGTTTTATCTTCTGTTTACAATAGGCTAAGTACCGACTGTACCTATTACCAAATCACTACTTCTTTTGCTGTTGCTGTCCTTCACAGAATGCTTAAAATGTTCAAGCTGTTGAGTGTGGAAGAGCTAGTCACAGAATTGTGTTGTTCAGTGCATCTGCTGCTGAGGGAAATTGAATGCCATTGGCTAGGGAAAGACACTCTCTGGGCCCATTGGAAGTGGAGAGAGAGCAGAGAATGATGGAGGGCTGATGAGCTGTTTAGGAGGTTACTGTCTAGGGGCCTTTCCACACTTCTCTTTTATCACAATATAGTTGCTGGGTGTATTTATTTTTTAATTTTTTAGCATGCTTCCACACAGCATCATAATTAATCAGCAGGTATTCCAGAAAAATGTAGTCATAAACCACTTTTTCGCCTAGGAAAAAAAACATCCTAACATTCTGTGAAAGATCTGGAATGAATCCTCAATAATTTTTGTGTGTGTGGAATTTGTTCAAGCATCATCCTGCTTTCTCTGTTGGGAGGTGCTACTGGTGGATATTGTTCTACAGTTTTGAATATGTTTTCTGTCAGGCCCAACGTTAGGCCAAGAAGCAGCTTATCTCCTTTTCAGTCGTTCATACAGATACTGATACCATGTCAACATATTGCCGATGACAATGATCATTATCTGCAGATAATGTTCAGTCACAATAATAAGGTTCACCATAACACAAGACAGACAAAACTTGGTCCTTCCTTCTATTCTTCTGATACACCGTAGGGTTTGAATACCCAGGCCTTGTGCAGAAAACAAAAATGGGGAAGAGATTTTGGTACCCGGCATGCATGTTCTCTGACATTTGCTGGTTAGTGGAGCACAAGAACTAGATGAGACATAAAGTGTGTGCCTGCAACTCTTCTCGAACCAGGCACAACCAGCCATTACTGTAGATGGGGGGAAAACCGCACTCGGTCTCCCGTGTACAGCTACAGTTGACTGAATACCCTAAGTTCCAAATGTGCTCAAATAAACATTGGATCCAACAGTAACTATACCACTATAAAAGCTAGATGTGGAAAGGCCGAGATTTTATCAATATGTGCTTTTTTAAAAAACTCTACTGAAACATTCCCTATCTTCTCTTGGCAGTCTTTTCAGTTGCCCAGCTGCTCATATAGTCCTTGGTTTGGTTCCTATGTATTCAAAGCATGCATCTTGCTATATCTTTAAGATTCAAGGGCTGAGGAGCAGTTGTGTTTTTCTACTGTAGCTAATGGTTTCATAAACATGAGTGATTTTATTTGGGAGGAGAGAATTTTACTGCATACTGAATTGGTTAGCTAAACAAACATATAGTAAGCATTTATTGAAAGTGGTAGAAGCAGTTAGAATTTTCATGCTTTGGCCACTCAGCATCCTAACCACAGATCCACTCTAAAAACAGGCAGTGGTCCACAAACCCTTCTTACCAATAGTGCCATCTTCCTCATCACTCTCTTTCAAGGCCTTACCTGATGTGATGTGTTTGGCAGTGGGACAAAGAGCCATATTTGGGTTTCAATTCCCCTTCCCTGGTATCTTGAGACACTTCGATGGCTTTCCATTCACAGCTTAAATATGGTACAGCACAGAGCTTCTTTTTCCAGACCTGATATTTCTTCATTCCCCATCATGACAGGCTAAAAATCAAGTTAAAAGCTGAATGCTTCATCTACTGTCTTTAAGCAATATAACCTCACAAAGAAAGTTGGAAGGCAAAGGTTCAATGGCATAAATGGCATTTAGTTACTTACACACACCAAAAATAAATCATATTCATTTCAATACATTTAAGGGCTAATTCATATGTTACCTTTAGCAGTGTAACTGCTGTTTACTCTAGACTCTTATGCTATGGTGGCAATTTATAAATATTTTCTATGCTTTGGTACTTTGCATTGTACTTTCCATAAGGATATTACCCATACAACATGGCAGCAATCTATAGAGGAGTGTTTTTGCTGCTGCATCCACAAAGTAAGAGGTAGTTCATGGCTCAGCCCTTCACAAAAAACCCCCAAACCCTAACCCTGTTTAAGACCTACTTCTCCTGGAATGAAGTAATAGTATGCAAACATTTTGCATTGCAGTATGTTTGGGGAGGCAGATCCAGATTTGCAGGAGCTTCAGGCTTCAATGGAGCAATTACTTAGAGAGGAGCCCAGCGATGAATTCAGTGAAGAGGAAGAAGCAACGTTAAAAGCTGAATGCCTAGCAAATGGTACAGAAGGGGATGAGGTTGACAACAATATCAGCAGCGAAAGTGTGCTTAATGAAGAATGGCATTCAGGTATATCTTCATTCCAGTTGAATGGTTTGTTCTTACAGAATCATAACTCTAAACGGTTTTGGTCCGTGTGTGTCTCAAACTTGGAGATAAACTCACTGATGATCCTGACTGGCTTCAAATCATTTCTACAACTTGGAAAGGCAAACTCCTAAAATAAGTTATAGAAATGATACACGTATTGTTGGCGGTGTATCTGTTAAGTTAGTCCTCCTGTTTTATCAGTCTAATAAGTTAGATACAAGGTCTGTTCAGCATTAACTGAACAAATATCTAATTTGAGACAGCACTACTGTTAACATAGTTAACTGCAAAATGTACATTCAAAACAGCAAAATGTATATTGTACTGCCATGCAGATTGCAGTACATGAAGCACATTACTATGCTAGATCAAACCAAAGATCTGTGTAGTTCAGCCCTACATCTACAGGGCTTACAGACTCCCCAGTGTCCCTCAAAAGTGTGTCTCCCAAGTTTGTACACATGCAATGCATTAATCTACAGAGAGGGGGTGCCTTTGTACAATTCCCTCCTGAATAACACAAGAAGACAGGATCGCTGCTTTTGTGCAAAGTATATGAGAATGCACAGCTTTTATAGGTTCTTTCTTAAATATTCTATGTATGTGGTGAATGTGATAAGTTTTTCTGAAGTTTTATTCATTCTATAATTTTGCCTCATTCGGCCTTCCAGAGAAAGTATGCTCATAGTAAGTACTGAAACTTCTCTGGATGGGGTGAAGGAAGTGTTCAACCACTAATGGAATGTTCCCTAGCTTTGTTCATGTGGGGTGGATATACATTGGTCTGATTATGAAATCAAAGTTGATGACATTTTTTAGCGCAGCTGGCCACCAGGGATGGGAAGTGGTTCTGCCCCACTGCAGCACCCGTCCATCAAGCACTGTGAAGCCCTCAAGCTCCCCTGCCACCCAGAACCCCAACCTCCTACACACAGCAGCCACTGTGCCGCAATACAGACCCCCCTGCCACCCTAAGACCCCCACCAATGTCCTACAGAGCCCCCCATACACCCAGTGCAGACCACCCCCACCCCTGACTAGCTGTGCTACTGTGTTGATGCAAAGAATTACTACAAAACAGGTGGAACATTAAAATGCTTCCCTGTGTTTCTATTGCGTAGACAACAGTGATGGTGATAATGCCAGCGAATGTGAAGAGTATGACAGCGTGTTCAGTCACTTGGAAGAGCTGAGATATAACCTGGAGCAAGAAATAGGCTTTGAGAAATTCATAGAGGTTTATGACAAAATAAAGGTTTGTGGGATATTTTACACAAAGGAATGTGAAGGAAAATTGTCGTTATTAATTACAGTCCATCGTTGCAAGGTGTGAACTTAAATTAATCTGGTTATGTGTCAGTTAGTTGTAGGGCGTATGGGGTGTTAGAGGAGGCTGTATGAGGTAGCTTGTTCACCTTCGTTCTCCACTTTGCACTGAGTTCTCACCTCTGGCTTCTAGAAGCTATTTGCATGAGACAGTGGCCACCCTTCGGGAACGGCTTCAGCGGGCTGGCTAAACCAGGGGAAAGTAGCCGATGAGTCTCAAAGCCTTGGTGCGTTAGGGACTTCCTCTGCATGCAAAGACGAGCTCTAGCAGACTGAAAAGACGAGAGCTATAGTGGGGTCCAGTGGTCAAGAAGGCAGTTTTTGCATGTGCCATAGGAGGAAGTGAGGGACAGATGGGGCTTGTCAACCTAGGAAGGTAGGCCGTCTAGAAGAAAACTCTGATCCTGTGCCTCTGTTGCCTTGTGGAATATCTTCAGGACAAGAAAAGCCTAAGGAATAAACCCTACACAGATCCAGAGTGCAGTCCCAAAAACGGTTGGATGGCACTTCGTTATCCCTTCTTCTGGCAGTTCCAGCAGCCAAGCTAATGCCAAATGTATTGCTCTGTTTTCCTGTGAACCACATCAGTGAGGCTGAGAGGGGGGTCTTGTCTGGGCAGCCCAGGACCTCCATACACACTGCCCAAGCTTGTACCCCAGAGAGGTCATTTTGGTGCTGCTAACGCAGCAGTTTGACTTCATCCCCAGAGGCATGCTCCATTGTCTCTTGAGACAGCGGGTGCCAACAATTAGTTGTCATATTTTGGCTTCCAGAGATGATTACACCAAGTAAAAAAGAAGCAGAAGTTGCATTTCTTTCTGGATTATTTTTAAATTTTTCAGCATTTCAGAAAGTACATTTATGTTCCTTTTCTCTTAGGCTATACATGAAGATGAAGATGAGAACATTGATATTTGCTCAACGATCGTTCATAATATTTTAGGAAATGAACACAAATACCTATATGCCAAAATTCTTCATTTAGTAATGGCAGATGGTGCTTATCAGGAAGGTAAATCATCTGTTTACTGTATTCATTCAGCACAGTACATTCTATGCCACCTGTTCCATAGATTCCTGTTTTGTTTGTTGCTGTTGAAATTGCTAATTCTAATATACACTGGGAAGTTACACAAGGCTCCCCACTCACAAATGTTGTTTTTAAGTATAATTATTGATGTGCATACACATTTTCCCTCAGTTTTTAACATCTACTGCCAGACTTGTATCGTAAAACCAATAGAATATATACATTTACAGTTTGTGTACATTACCAGCTTCAAGGACAGAACAAATTCTTAGGAGATATTTACAACAAATTCACAATTGTCCTAAGAAAGGCCATACTTCTGTAAACTACCTTTTTTTTGTTGAAATCTGACTATTTCATGTAATAAAGATGATAAAATGGCTGCTTATAAATGTAGCTGTTCAGTGCAGACTTAACTATGAATGAAAGGTCAGAAATGTTAAAAAATGGACAGGGAAGGGTATCATGGAGCTAACCACGATGCACTTTTACATCTGCATGCTGTTAATGCTAACCAGGATTTGTATTCCTCGTACTAATTTCAAGCTACTTTAAATCACCGTTATGTTAACAGTAGCAGAGGTAACACTGAACCATGGTTAACTTCTAAAGAGAGATGGAGAAAGGAATTTGCAGGAGGGAAGGAAGTGTCTGAGCCTGCCACTTACAAGTCTCCTAGCTATGATCACATTTATTTGTTTAATTTATTGCATTTATATCACCTTTCTGCCAAGGCACTCAACAATTTTAAAACACTAAAATAATATAAAATGTAAAGACGGCCTTCAGGTGAGCAGGGAACACAGTCCACCTAGAGGAGATCCTGATGTTTTCTGTGCCTGTCTCCCTCATACTTTCCTTTTCCACACAGGGCAGATGGTTTCGTGGGGAGCAGTCTGACTGGGGTAGACCCTGATGTTGTCTTTGCCTCCTTCACTCTCCTCTTCCTTCTCACAGGGCAGATGGTATCTGTTCATCCTGGGGGTGGTGGAGGATGCTTTATCTACTCTACACCATTATCACTAATATTTACCATATTTTTCGCTCTATAAGACACACCTGACCATAAGACACACCTAGTTTTAGAGGAGGAAAACAAGAAAAAAATATATTCTGAATCTGCGCAGCGCCTCTTCAGCAAAGCAAAGTCAGAACAGCAAGAGGGATCACTGCACAGTGAAAGCAGTGATCCCTCTTGCTGTTCTGGGATAGCTGCACCAAGCCTCTTCAGGGCAGGGGGAGCGTTCCTCCTGTTGCTCTGAAGAGGCTTCGCGCTGCTATCCCAGAAGTCAGAACAGCAAGAGGGATCGCTGCGCAGCGATCCCTCTTGCTGTTCTGGCTTCAGCGATAGCTGCGCAGCCTGCATTCGCTCCATAAGACGCACACACATTTCCCCTTACTTTTTAGGAGGGAAAAAGTGCATCTTATAGAGCGGAAAATACGGTACTTTCTTTTCCCATATGCAGAGTTTGAAATCTTTGCAGCTTTAACTTTAGAAAAACACATCAGTCACAGTAGCTTATAAGGTTAAACTGAGCAGCCTTCAAGTAAAATGCACAAATGGGAGGTGGAGTTTGTTGAATATGCAGTATTCAAACATCTTTACTGTTGCTGTCAGTCATCTTTACTCTTGGTGAATTTTCTGGCCTGCATTTTTTTTCTTAGCTTGAATATGAGGTCTTTTAAAAGTAGATGCATTTGGTAAACTGTTTTCCTCACTATACTAAACATTTTAAATTTTTCTTTCTTTGCAGACAATGATGAGTAAAACGCCCTGGTGACATTCTCAGCTGCATGTAGGTGTGTGGATTTTGTTGAGTAGAATAATGAGACACAATGAAAAAATAATATTTTAGTGGGGCAGGCTTATAATCTTGTTGATTGCACGGAGACGGAAAAAACATGACACTTCACTGAAAGGCTGTTTATAGATTTCTTTTGACATATAGCTTCATTCCTTCAACAGATAACTGAAAAGGCTACATTTCATTTAAAATGAGTAGCAAAGAATAGAAAGGCTGACTCAGAAACAATTTAGTGTTTGAGAGATTATCATGTATGAATAAGCCTATGTTGTATTAGGCGATACTGTTTGTTTAAATCTAAGCTGTTAAAAAGTACAGTTCAAACCACGATCTTTTAACGCTCATGCCCACCATTGGGGGGGGGGGAATCCTGTTTGGTACTGATGAAATTTTCAGAGACTTCACTTTCAGTTCAAGAGTTTATAATTTCTCTGTAATGGCCCCTTGGGTCTTAAACACACATAATATGAAAGTAAGCCTCATTGAAAACAATGGCGCATTTCTATATGAAGTGGTTTAAGATCAGGGTATTGAGTATTTCACCTAATGTGTTTGTGGATGAGTATATATGTGTGTGTATATAGAGGGGGGGAATGAATACTCTTTGGAAATATCAGTATTTTTATCAGGGTCAGTTTATTATTTTCCCCCCAATCAAAGCAAATAGTGTGTCATTTTTTAAGACTTCATTTTATTTCTGTCAAGTGGCTTAAGGAATGAGTTTGGAGCTGGAGGGAGAATCTGCAGTTTTCTCCTATAAATGAAAGCAGCTCCAATATGATGGGGTTTTTTCTCTGTAGTACTATGTACTGGACTATGCCTGCTACTCATTTTTGGTCTGTAATTAGGACCATCCTAGCAGTGGCTGAGATGAAAGTTGCTACAAATGTTTTGCTCGTGGTGTTTTGCAAACAAGCTATGTATCTTGCATCCGGATCTTCCAGAGGAAACAAGTTAAATTTTACTTGATGTGTTTGTTCTCTCTCCCTTCTTTCCTCCCTCCCTCTCTCCCATGGAGGAAGGGGCACTTTATGGGGGAGGAAACAAATTCCTGTGAGATGATGACTTAAAATATTTTTAGTGTGCAACAGGTAATATCAGCGAGTGAGCTGAATCAGCTGTAATGCTTAACAGCTAGTTTTTCTGTTGAAAAAGTAGCTCTATGTCCCCTGGGTACAATGCCAGGCGGAATGTATGTATGTAAACTCACCGTGATTCTAACACTACATTTAAAAGTTGTTTTATTTCTAACCACATTAAATAAATGCTTGACCTTTTTGTATGATTATGTGGATTTCTCTTTTGATTTCTTTCTAGAGGAAAAACGGAACAAAATAAAAATACTATTTATATTTTGTTATACTCCTAGACTGCGTTTGAAAATTTGGCCCTATATTTGTGACTGCGTTTAGATGTACCCTTTTTAAATCCTATTCTCTATCCTTCTAGTGGTCAGTGATACCCATAGAATATCTATTATTTATAGTCTACCTTTTTATCTCAAAGACACAGGGGAAGCAGTGGTATTATATAGAAATATAATACTCCGTTGTCTTTTCCTTTGCATGTAAAATAAAGGCCGCAGACTAAGAATGGGATACAACATGGTGCTAACAGATACCCATTTATGCAACAGGGCTTCTCTTTCCTCTCCCTCATCATGCAGCTCATTGTGTTCCTCCAAAAATCTGCTTCAGGCGCTCTAGACTTTTGGAGGCACAGAGGGAAAAGGAGAAACCAGAAGCCCAATTTCACAAGTAGCAGTTGCCCTAACAAAAGACACAGATGGCCCCAACGTGGATGCAGGAGGGATACCACTATCTCGTCGTAAAGAAAATAATTTAGCATTCAAAATTAGCCCAGGAGAGAAGTCTCTTTGTGTGACGCCAACAAGATGGCAGTGTCGTCACCAGTCAAGCATCCCTGGGGGTTACATTTTCCTTTCCACTTCTGCACGGATGGCTGGTACCTCATTTGGCCCAAGTCTCAGAAAGCGAAAGAGTTACTAACCAGCACAGAAGGTGCTATTCCGATGTCAAATGATGCTAATGAAGAAAAGGTTGGAAACACTGGGAAAATGTTTGTCCTACTGGTTAAGAAGATGCAAAAGAGGGCTAGGTGGTGAAACTTGGGACTGTATCCCAATGTATGCTACGGCTCTGCTGGTATAAGGGTCTTCCATGCACACAATGGAGCATCATCTCCTGTTCCCTCTATTTACCCTGCTATGTTCCCTCAAAATCCTTTACTTTACTTCCTACATTTCTCAATTTATTAAGTCTTTAAGATTCCACGAGACTGTTGCTTTTAGGTTTCTCATCGCTCCCAAATTAATTTCTACTTCCCTGTGTACTTGTTGGCATTGTAAGTCGTCACCCTTTCAATCTGTTACCAAAATCTGGATATTATAGTTCCAAAATTTGGGAACAAAGGGTAAGTCTAGATTCTCCATCACAAAACACCTCAGAATCAGAATTTAAGGAAATTGGTAGATATCCACCAGCAATATTGACTATAATAATACACTTTAGTGTATTTATTAATTCCTGAGACAATGACAATGCTAAACTTGTAAAACTGATAACATATATTCAGAAAGAATCATAACAATTCTATTACTCTATTTTAAGTAACTAAAAATTACTTCAAATTTTAAATGTTTCCAAGGCTTAAGTTCTTTTATTGTGCTTTGAAGAGCTAGCAATACTGGGGATGAACAGCAAAGAACAAGATTAACATTACTTCTGCCAGTCTCACTCTATGTAGCAGAAAGCAAAATGAAATTGACTTGATGCTATCAATTGTCGTTTCATGGTCCGTTCCACATGCTAGTAGAGCAGCAAACTGAAGCCAATAGGTTGTGTCCATTTTAATTTACTCTGTCCAGGAGTGTGTTCTACAACATATGGTAGAGAAATACATTAAGCAGTTAGCAGATTTCTGCTTTTGGTAGGGACTTTTGTGTGTGTGCAAGTCCCCTGGTAGAACTATGCCAGGATTAACATTTTGTATTCTAAAGATGATAAAGGGGTCCTGAGGCTTTCATTCAGGATATTATGTGATTATTCTGCTTCTGGAAGAGAATGTGTGCATTATATTCAACATTCTCTCTGAAACAACCATTAAGTTTTCCTAATGTAAATAATATTACACCTGAAATCGTTGTGCCTTTATGTTTGTGGAGCCACCCAGCTAAGGGGAACCATAGCTTTCTCTTTGTTATTGAAAATGGCACTGGCCACAAGTATTTGTGACAAGGTGAGTGCTGGAATCAACAATGCATAATATGCATGTAACAGGGGACCTATGAAAAGGAATAGACTTATTTTGAGTAAGAAATCTCACGACCCATTACAGAGGCAGATATCACTTAAGGGAAGGGAAGCGACAGGGTCTTTCAGGTCCCTAGAGCAGGGGTCAGCAACCTAAGGCCCATGGGCCGGAAGCCGCCCACAGAGGTCGTTTGACCGGCCCATGAGCTGCCCCCGAACTGAGCTGCCCACTCCGGCGCTGCGCTAAAGAGGCGCAGGGACTCGCTTCTGTGGTGCTGAAAATTGTGTGTGTGCGCTCTCACACACACGCAATCTGGCCCACAGAGGGATCTCCGCGGGACTGATCCAGCCCAGGCAAGATAAACCTTGCTGTAATACAGTCGTACCTTGGTTGCCGAACGCAATCCATTCTGGAAGTCAGTTTGACATTCAACAACCAAGGTGCAGCTTCCGATTGGCTGCAGGGGCTTCCTGCACTCAGTTGGAAGCTGCAGAAGCCATGTCAGACGTTTGGGTTCAAAAGAACATTTTTCACACCCACTTCAGGTTTGTGGTGGTGGGGAGCCAAAATGTTCGACTTGCACGGCATTCAGGATCTAAGGTACGACTACATAATGGGTGGTTCCTGATGAGAACTGCCATCTGAATGACATCAGTGTCGTCATCCGGATTTCTCGCTTAGGATCTTATCATTATTATCATTATGTTTTATTATTAGTATTTTATTATCTCTGCCAAGTTTTAAGTACTGAGATTATTAATTAATTAATATTAATTAATTAATTAATTAATATTAAATTAATTAATTTATCTGCATCTGGTTATTATTATCTTTCTCCCTGTCCTGACCATTTATATTTATATTCTTTCAATTTGGCTGGTCTATTTACTTAACCGACCTGGAACAATCTACCAGAGAAAAGGCCGCCGCCCATGGGACAGAGGGTCATTGATGAATGATAATCCAGCTTTTACCTGGATGTTTAATCAATGCTCTTCATGTCTGCATATTTGTTCACAGATATAGGATGTCATCAAAAAGCCAGATCATACTTTTGTTTGCACTTCTTTTGGATTTCTCCTTACTGCAGAATATCCAGTGCAGTCACTGCTGGCATGGTAGCTTGGTTATCATTTCCCCCCTGTTTTTTTCCCCCTCCTGCTGGGTGGTCTATTATTTCTGTGGTGTCATTTCAGTGGGTGGTCTGTTGCCACACCCCTCATCCTGCTTGCTCGTCATCTAAGCACAACCTAGCCATTTTGTTTCTGGCAGCCCCCAATATGAAAAGAAATACACCTGTTTCCATTGATTGCCACATGCCGAAGGCATGTCCAGATCTGATAAGATATTCTCTCAAGGGCTCCACGCAGTAAAGGTGGAGGATTAACTGTGAGGTTGCAATAACTGCAATACATCAGTTGATGATTATGCCTTGCATAAGACATCTTTATCATTATTGCACAAGACCTTAGAATTTGTGTGTGTGTGTGATGGATATTCCTTCCTACTCTTCTCCTCCAAAAAGCACAAACTTCATTTTGCCTACAGTGAAATATCACAGCTGGCTGCATAAGGACCGTAGTGTTTCCTATTGGAATCACAGATATTTTTTTAAAGGTGCATATGCACAGAATGAAAAATGGTAGTTGAGAGCAAAGGAGAAGTGATTGACAGGAGGAACCAGATGCATTTCATGAAGCTCCACCCAGTGCTGTGGACAGTAAGTGGCAGCATGGTAGTGAGTGTTATGATGCAGGGATGAGGAAGAGACCAGGCATCTGAGAAAGCAAAGGCGCCAACTGTATGCATAGAAACATCATATCTGTATGCGAGTATGGAAGCACTCGGTGAAACCAAACTGCCTGGAACCACAGTCTCAGGTGGCACCTATAAGTATCCATTCTTGTACAGATAGCAACACTGACTTGCAGGGCCAGCATTGTGTTAATAGCCCTCTTTTTTATTGTAGTGTGTGTGGAAATGTACAACAATGCACCAGTTGAAGAATAGTGTGCATGTGACTGTTATCAGATCCATGTTTGCAAATGAATTGTCTTGTATGAGAGGAATAAGTGATACAAGCAAATTATGCAAATGTCATTAAATAGGCTACAAAGGCAATAAAAATATTCAAAGGTTAAATGAATGGCAGCAGGGGGACAAAGGGGTGGAGAGCAGCACAGTCCAGATTTAACCAGGACTTGCACTCATGCAAAACCTAAGCGTAAGCAATGCAAAATCAGCATAAGCATTGCCACTGGTAAAACCAACAGCTGTATCAAGAGAGATCTGTGTATTAGGAAGACATAAAAAGTTATTAAGTTTGAAGAGAAACCATAAGTCAGATTACAGCTTCCAACCATTCAAAGATGTGATGATCAGGTATTACACCTGGAGGAGCAAATGTATATACCATAAGCTGATATCTGATTGTATCCCTTCAGCAGTTTGGGAGACAGCAGCAGGGAGAGAGAGAGAACTTTTTTGAGACAGGGGCAGTCACTATTTAAAACATTTCATACTAGTACATGCGTGTGTCAGTTCAGCTCTCTCCTCCAAGATAAACTCTCTGCAATTATTTTGATTGGATTATCTTCAAAACAACCAAACTGCCAAATTAGGGCCACAATTCAGAGCACAATACATCAGTGCTGTGTGGCTGGTTGAATTGCTGTAGCAGTATTTTTCTAAAGAATGAGCATTTATGACTGCATAGGTATTCACTAAAACAAGAATCTTTCATTACTCTGTTACTCCTTTGAGTATTTATGTAGCAGCTGTACTTTTGTCCCCATTTATTTGCTGTTTATTTTTCATCAAACAGCCCCAAAGGCAGCTAACAATCATTTAAAACATTGATAGCAATGTATAAAGGGTTTGATCGTGATTCTAGCAAGATGCTATGTAACAGTAAATTAAAAGACAGTCCCTACACAAAGGCTTATAGCCTACTAAAGACTTGGCATGCTAACAGAAGAACTGGGAGGAAATAAGAATGGTGAGTCAGAGAAAACAATGAGTAAGAGAGAGGTTTTGAGGAGTCACCTAAATGGGGGAATTCTACCTAATGGAGGAAAAGAGTTGGATGACACAAGAGGATGAGCATTCCAGATATAAACCGTAGCAGGGGAGATGTATGAGGGTGCAGAAAATGACGGTAATCAGTCTTGACTAAATAGTCAGTGCGATAAGAGTGAAGAACCTGGAAGAGAGCTTTAGAGAAAGAAAGATCTGAGGGAATGAGTGTTCTTCTGGTCTTGGACGGGATTTCCAGGAACCTTAAAGTGAAGATGAGAAGAAAGAAGAAGCCATTGCAGAAAATCAAAAGAAAGCAATGCAATCTGAATGATAAGCAGACAATATCAAACAAACAGTTTATTATTTACTTATTTATTTATACCCCACCCATCTGGCTGGGTTTCCCCAGCCACTCTGGGCAGCTCCCAACAGAATATTAAAAACACGATAAAACATCAAACATTAAAAACTTCCCTAAAGAGGACCGCCTTCAGATGTCTTCTAAAAGTCAGATAGTTGTTTATTGACATCTGATGGGAGGGCGTTCCACAGGGCGGGCTCCACTACTGAGAAAACCCTCTGCCTGGTTTCCTGCACCCTCACCTCTCGCAGTGAGGGAACCGCCAGAAGGCCCTCGGCGCTGGGCCTCAGGGTCCGGGCTAAACACATCCGTGATTTCTAGATTCAGTAGAATGCAGTTAATGATGGGTTCACCAAATAATACAGTAATCCTAATCGGCCAATAATAACATGACATCACTGGGGTATGAAGGAGGTTTGATGACTTCTGGGGATCTTGTTATAACATGAGGCGACTATAATCCACTAACAGGACACAGCAGCAAAGAAGACAAAGTTAACTGATAAATAAACTATAGTATACTGAGCAGGGAATGGGAAGGATAAATTACCCTTGTTCATGATCTGATAAATCATTTGTTAAACTATGTCCACCATTCCTTGTTCATGGAAGAATGACTTCAATTTGGAACAGGTTCAAGGAACAATTGAAATAACTGGGGGAAAGGACTAGCTCCTGGAGTGCAGAGGTTAAATAAAGAATGTCTGTTGTTCAGTTTAGAGGATTCTATAATGGAAACCCAGTAATATGGGAAGAGGTAGGATAATTTTTTTCACCGAACCCAAAGATTCATGTGTGTGCACATCTTAGTTCATCACAACTTACCCTATATCTCAGCTTCAATGTAGGGAAATGATTCATAAGCACAAAGAGGAAAGTGCATGGCTTGTCTGTCACCATTGAAAGTAGCAGGAAAACTGTATTGAGCAGGAGACAATCCCCATGTGTTGGAATTCTCACTCTGAGAAAATATTAATGGAACAGGCATTTATTTAGAAGAGCTAATAATTATACTCTGTCTCATATTACAGTGAAAGAGAAGTCATAGGTATAAAGCTCTGGAATTGGTTTTTTGCCACCAATTTAAATGTCAGGAACATGGTATTAATCTGCATACAATTAAGATCTGAAGAGCCACTGCCAATCAGTGTAGAGAGATTGGTATAAGTCGGTTTCCTATATTTTTATTCCACACACACACTATTGGTGCTGTGACATACCATAAATGAATTATATTAGTCAGGTGAATTCCTATTAGAGCCTCACAGATGTTTATTATGCTATTACTAGAGAGGAATTAATTAGCTTGTTATCACTTTGGTGCTCTTTCCCACACTATTTTGTATATTCAGCATCATCTGTTGCAGTTCCTCACTTCCACATAGGAACTGTGTTGTTATCAATGTTTTGATATCTCGTGCTTTTCTGGGTTTGTTTTTTTTAGTGATGTTAATATTACTGCAGATGTTCAGTAAATTGAGTGTTGCCAGATTTCTTTACAAGCTCTCTAGCTTTACAAGCCTCTGAAAGGCCTAAAACTTTACATTTCCTTTTTGACTAATATCTGTATACAGATGCCCATCCTTGTCTTTAGTAAGAAGTCGTTTTGTTTAGGTATCTTTTCTTTAAAAAAAAGTTGGCATTCCTGTTCATCCGAGCTGCCAGAAACTCACATGATCATATTTGCTATGCATCAGTTCATAATACTTTATTTGGAAGAGTTTTCCTTTTATATAACTCTCTTTGCAACTACATAATAACATTATACAGAGCCTTGTAATTTCCTTGACAAGAAATCCTAGGAGGATTAAGATCCTAGATCTCATTACAAGATTTGAGCAATGGATGCAAATTCAGTTTAGTACTTAAACACTTGGAGAGTGGGACAAAATACAGTCTGAACCTATGCAGAGTACAGCATGCCTAAGCCAATTGAATTCAGTGGGCTTAGACATGCCTAACTCTATAAAAGATTGCAGTCTTAGCTATTTTGTGCTTAAAGTGTTTATTTTGGAGCATGTTACTTTCATCTGGACAGAGGCGTACCAAGGGGCTGGTGAAATTGGCCCCTGCCAAAATGAGGGACTGTGTTACACACCCCTTCCCCTGAGTAATAAATAACTTTCCCATGTTTACAAGATTTTGTACTCTTATATATGATTTTAGGACTTCTTCTAGAGCAAAGCACTGTTTGTCCAGCCTGGAGGGGGATGAGAAAAAGAGAGAGCATCTAAAGGCGGGCGGGGGAGGGAGCAATAACACAGCCTTTTGCTCCTTCCTTTGATTTGGGGTCTCCATCAGCACCTCACTTAGGACGGTGCAAGTGGTTCCCCCCCAGAGGGCTCCAAGCCGAGGGTGCGGAAAAAAAAGTAACTGCGCCAAAAGGAATTACAGTATTGTGAAAATAATAAATATACAGGGGGGGGCACATTTTGTCCTCGCTCAGGGCACGATATTATCCAAGTCCACCTCTGCATCTGGAAAACCCTTCTTCACATTCATTGCCTTTTACTTAAAAGAATTACATACAATTCTGTCCTTTATAATTTAATCATGAACAGACAGGGCTAGGGTTGCCAACTACGTATTTTACTTGCTGCACTGGGGGTTTGTTCAATAAAACAGGGTCAGGGATTAATGTTTATTTTTACCTCAGTGTTTCCAGGTTTTGCCCTTGATGAACCAAAACTTAGTGAGCTGCAGAGTTTGACATGAAAAAATATTACTTGGCACCCCATGAACCACTCAAAGTGTTGTGCTCAATTCTCTAAACCCGTAGTGGGGCAGAATTGTGGAGCTGCTCTCCCAACACTGGTATTGCTACAGCTTACCTCTACAGGGCTGGTGTGGGGGCAACAGATTATGGCTTCATAGATACTCTGCCAGAACCAAGCAAGTCCCCCTGCTGATGCATCTGGTCAACCCCAATCTTATCCCCATCCTGGCCCATCACAGCCACTTAATCTACAGCAACACTAGTGTAAAGCGCCACAGCTCTAGCTCCCCACACCAGATGCTACCTGCTCTGAACCTCTCAAAACTTAAAAGAATAACCCTGTTGGATCAGACCCAAGGTCTGCAGTATGCTATTTCCACAGAAGCTCACCAGATGCCTATTGGGAGCTCACAAGTAGACCATGAATACAACAGCTCTCTGCCACTGTTGTTCCCCAAGGGCAAATATTTAGAATCATGTTGCTTCTGATCCTGGAGACAGGAAATGGCCATCATGACTAGAAGCCATTGATTACCTTATCTTCCATGAATTGTCTAATCCCTTAGAGAGATTTAAGCTAGTACCTATTACAACAGTGTGGTAGAGAATTTCAGTTTTGAAGAGCAATTCCTATTGTTTGACTGAATCTTCGACTATACGAGTTCTAGTAATATGGTAGAAGGGAAAAACCTCTTTCTATCCACACTATACAAATTCTACACTTCTATCACATGCTCCTTTAATCCCTTTTTTCTCATTGAAACATCCCAAACATTGTAAACTTTCCTCATAGGGGAGTTGCTCCAACTTTTAGATCCTTTTTGTTGACCTTTGCTGTGCCTTTCCATGTATGCAGTATACCAGGTGTGGTCACATCATAGACTTGTATAAAGAAATTACAAAATTGTCAGGTTTGGTTTTTTTACCTTTTCCTAGTTGTTACTACTGTATGTTGGTCTTTGACAACAGCCTGACACATTTTGTCTATGTCTTAATTGAGCTGTCCACAGTGACTGCAATATTTATTTCCTCATCAGTCTCTGCCAGTTCAGATCCCATTAGTTTGTATGTGAATTTAGGAGTTTTGCACATGAAATACCGGTAGGTGGAATTTCTGAGAAATCTATATTGAAGGCCTGCATATTCAGCCTTCTGCCTAGCAAACCTTGCTTCCAGAACCAAATCTGCTCTTCACCCATGCCTTCTTAAATCAAAATCATTGACAACATATGAACCATTGGTCCATGTAGCTCAGTACTGTTTCTTATTAATATATCACACAAAAGAAAAAGAAAAATATCACAACTTAATATCACAACATTGTTACAAGGTATCTCTACTTTATACTGTACTTTAAAATGAAGCAGTTAAGTTTCAAATAACACATTACCCCCAGCAAACAACAGCTTATATCTTTATTACATCATTACAATGAATAGCCTACCCTCCACTTCATAATAAAAATAGTCCATCAGTACTTTCTATTAACTCCCGTATTACCCAAGATCTATTTAACAAAGTGTTAGAGATTGAATCTGGAACCTCACTGGTTAATTGCTGTGCTAGGACACCACACCAAATCAGTAGGGCTCATTTCTTAGTAAACACATGTGTGATTCAGTTGTTAATGTTCTATCATCAAACTCTTTTTGAGACATATATGAATGAGTATGGTGTTTTGTGAGTGTACTTCAAATCACCATACTGAACCATTATGTTTGGTACAATTTATGAATTAATGAGATGAAATAATGAATACTGAAGAATGGTAGAAACACTATGCCCTATGCAGCCATTTGAAGACTCAAATAATTAGAACTGTGGGAGAAGAGTTGGGCTGTGCTCACCTCTCACTGCACCTCCATTGATCAGACCACCCCACTCCACATATTGGGAGGAAAAGATCTGAACTGAGCAGTCTGCTTTGCACATGTAAGCCCACGGCTCCCTTCCTTTCTGTACAGCAAAGCTCTGCTCCTAAGACACAGGAAGCAAGTTGGCCCAGTTGGTTCCTGGATCCTGGATATAGGAGCCCACTCCTAGGAGCCAAGATCCCTTTGGATCCCCCAATAAAATATTTGAGGGGGCTGTTCCCCCAAAGTTGATGGGCACTGGCATTCAAATGGTGTGTGGTCAATTATGCAGAGCAGGGCTTACCTGGGGTCTGCAATATTTTATTCAAGTTGGCACCCATATCTCATCCCTTGGTGCCTTTCAATTTGGTAATCTTTCATAATAAGGTGCCCTGCGCGAGGCCAAAATCTGGCACCCCAAACGGATCTTCTCCATTTTGCACCCCACTCAGAGCATGGCACACTGTGCGGGGGGGGGGGGGAACCATCCGCACTACCCTAAATCCTGAGCTGCTTTCAAGTCAAAGCAGTGTCCTGCCTGATGTGGGGTGGGTAGGAACACTGTGCTTGAGTTTTGGCTGCAGTGCTAAATCTTCAATTGCTTTCGTTCAGACGTGCAAGTCCTTGCTTGACGCAGCAGTAGATGATGGGCTGAGATAACCAGAGCAGAATCATTCCTGCCCTGGAGTCAAGTCTTTGCAGTATGGAACGGTATGGGCAATTGCAGGAAGAGATGGTCAGAGATTATGAAGTACTGTATTTCCCAGGTTGGGGGTGACAGAAAGGTCACCATTCCTGCGAGCCACTCGGATGGGACCAATGGTCCTTTCGCTGCACCTTTATTATTATTTTTAAGTGACTTTTCCTGCTACAGCTGCATACGTCCCCCCACCCCACTTTATTATGACCACCTCCTCGGCCTTATTTCGTTCGTAATGAACCGTATCTCTCCCTTTCTTTTTCTTTTTTAGACTGAAAGAAAAGGGCGGGCAACAGCCGCCGCCAAGCACCGTGAGAGAGAGTGTGAGGGAAGGGAGGTGTGCGCTTCGCCGGCGTTGACTTCCAGCCCTCTCTCCCCGGCCCGCGTCAGCTTGCCCGGCTGGTTCACCTCCTTGCCCTGCCTGCGGCGTGGAGGGTGAAGCAGCCAGAAAAGGAGGCGGCGGCGGCGGGTTGAGATTGTCCCCTGAAGGGACTCTGCGGAGGTTGGCGGGAGAGAGAGAGGGTTGCCTGAGGGAAAAGAGTGGGCGGGCGGCTGGGGCTGGATCCAGGCAGGCATGAGGCGGGAGAGAGAGAGGGCTCCTTATGGGCGGGCGGGAGCGGGGATGTTCCGCGGGGAGGGAGCGGCGGTTGGCGAGGGAGGGAGGGAGCTCCTCAGAAGGGCTGCTCTCTCTCTCTCCCCCACACAATTCCCCTCAGGGAGACGGGGAGGGAGCGGGGCAGACACGCACCCGGAGCTCCGCCCGCCCAGGGAGGCAGGAGTTCCAGGAAGAGCCAGGGAGGCAGGCGGTTTCCCTCGCTTGCTTGCGCGCCCAGAGACTCCTCGCTCCCCACCTCGGAGGCTTGGCTCCTTCCTCAAGGCGGGGCGGCTTCTCGCGTCAGACCCCTTTCGGGGCGGGGAGGCGGCGAAAAAGAGGAGGAGGAGAAGCGTAGAAAAGAGCTGTGCCGCGTTGCGAGACAGACAGAGGGAGAGACGGAACGCGGCGGCTTCTCCTCACGGGAACAAAGAGGCGCGAAAGCGAAGGCTGAGGGGGAAGGGGGGGCGGGAAGAAGGAAGGAAGGCGGGCGGGCTCCTTTGCTTTCTTTCCCTTCTCTCTCTCCAACGGCCACCGCGGAGATGGTGAGTTTAACGGGGGTAGGTGGGTGGGAAGGGGAGGGAGCGCCCCTTGTCCCCGGCGGTGCCGCGCTGCCTTCCCGGGGCCTGGGGGGCCGGGTTAAGACGCTCTCGAGAGACGGAGCCTTCCCTCCCTCCCTCCCTCCCTCCGCGCCTCCTCTCTCTTGTGAGGAGAGGGCTGTGTGCGAGTCCGCTGTTTGTCCACCTTTGGTAACGAGACACCGCCGCCAGTTAAATCTCCATAGAGACCGTACTCGCCCTCCAGCGGTCTCCCGGTTATGGTTATGGGAAGCCGGTGCCTTGTGTGTGGTTTTTAATGCATGTTTTCCCAAGACCAGCGAGAGCCTTTACACACTCCCCCCCACCTCTTTCCCCCCCCTTCTTTTTTTTGCGTTTGTGTGTTTGTAGATGGGCTTCTCCGCCTGCCTTGTGTGTCGAGGTGTTGCGTCTCCTATAACGTATCCTATGCACGTACTGGAAGCCATAATGTTTAATTTACAGCTCTTCGGATCTCAAAAGGAAGGCGCTCTGTCTGTCAAGTTCGGCTTGGTTATTATTTCTTTCTGCCTTACAAAATCCTTTTCCTTGTGCGCCTTGGGAACAAGCTATTTGGGCTTTCTCCTCGTGTCTTTTTAATCTGCCCCTGAAGTGAACTTTTAAGGAAGTCTCACGTTCATAATCAAACCTCCTAGTAGGCGTCTTCTTGATTTCTGTCTGTTTGCTATGCCTTACAATTATCCTATATTAGTAGCTTCCTGCTACTTGCTGTTTACTCAAATCTTCTTAAGCATGCTTATTCCCAAATCTCTACCTATGAAAATGCTTATGTAATAATAAGCCAGTGTAATAGTCATTAATTGTTTGTTTCTTAAAAGGGTAGTCTTGCTTATGAGAATAATTTTCTTCTTCATTTTTCACCAGACTGCTGCAAAAACTAAATTATTTAAATACAGTACTTAGTTTGCTCTTCTTGTTGGATTTTTGATAGCTGCTGTAGTTGGATGCATGGCCAATGTATGGCTGACAAATACATGCAGCACTCCATTTGATGTAGTTATTCCCCCTTTTTTCCCCTAAGCAGTTTCAAAGTTTGATGACAATGGGTGTTTTCAAGAACTTGAGATCTTAAAAGATCCTGCTGGCTGTGATCCAAAGAGCTACTTTAGATGCACCCAATGAGACTTTTGATTTTTAATACCAGACACTCAATCATACTGCAATCTGTTTTTAAAAGTTCCCTAATTTTCAAGAGTGATTTGCTGGGGATGGGGTTCAGTTTGTGAAACACAAGCCTTAGAAACTTAAGGACATGTGAACTAGTTGCACCATTTTCTGGCCCTGTCCTTTGTGTCTTTTTACTGTGACATTTGGATTTTAACATATAATTGTGATCTGATAGTAACATTTATAAAAATAATAATAATTGGACCCTTTTTGTTTTTGTCTAAACTTTGGTTATCAAGGTATTTACTTCAAAGACATATCTCCTAATTAAGTTAGATTACAACCAGTGCTAAAGTTAAAGCTATGTAGTTTTTAATGTATCTATAGGTTTCTTGTATATATTTGATCTATCAAGGAAAGAAAAATGTGTAGAATGAATGAAGTAGCATGAAAATGTGCAGAGGGTTAAAGAATTATTGCAATAGTGTATACATTGGACTACACATGTTGTGGAACAAAGGTACCAAGTTTAGTGATACTCAGATATTGGTTGTTATTACAGTGGTACCTCAGGTTACATACGCTTCAGGTTACATACGCTTCAGGTTACAGACTCTGCTAACCCAGAAATAATACCTCGGGATAAGGACTTTGCTGCAGGATGAGAACAGAAATCACGCAGCAGCAGTAGGAGGCCCTATTAGCTAAAGTGGTGCTTCAGGTTAAGAACAATTTCAGGTTAAGAACGGACCTCTGGAACGAATTAAGTATGTAACCAGAGGTACCACTGTATTATTGAATTTCACCACTGACAGGCAATAAACAGAGCAATTTGTCCCGGTGATCAGTACACTTCAGTTAAGTAGTTCACTAATAAGATTGTCTCTTTAGATAAGGGATGAGGAACCCAGTCTCCAGATACTGTTAGACTCCAGCTACCCTTGCCAATGGTCAGGATGACAGGAGTTGTACCCCAGCAACACCTGGAGGGTTACAGGTTTCCCACTCCTGCTTTAGACTCACGTGTGGAAAACAATATATTTCATTGTTATAGAAACTAATTTGGTGAGACCAGCTAATATTTAAAAACCAGCCTTCTATTCCTGACCCATGTGTTTCTTAACATATCAAACAAATACTTCTAAGTGACCCTTGTTTAGAGAAATGTTTCATGGTTTTTAATGTTACCGGTTTGTAAGAACACACGCTCGAAGCAAGATTTCTGGTATTGAAACATCCTTCCTCCATTTCCCATTATTATTAATATTTGTTCTTTTTCTTTCTTTGCAAACAATTTCAGAGAGAAGAGTGAAGAGGCATGGATATAACATGAGTTCCCTAACATGTTCAGAAAGGATATGAATTTTGCAAAAGCTTATTCCTTGGTGAACTAGATAAAAGATGGATGAGTCAGCCTTACTGGATTTGTTGGAGTGTCCTGTCTGCTTAGAACGCCTTGATGCTTCTGCAAAAGTATTGCCTTGTCAACATACATTTTGTAAGCGGTGTCTGTTGGGCATTGTGAGCTCCAGAAATGAGCTTCGATGTCCAGAATGCAGGACGTTAGTAGACTGCAGTGTTGATGAACTTCCCAGTAATATTTTGCTGGTTCGACTACTGGATGGCATCAAGCAGAGGCCCCGGAAACCTGGTGGTGTGGTGAGTTGCACAAATTCATTAAGGGTCCAGACTAGCACTGTTGCTAACTGCATTCCAAAAGACCTGCAGAGTTCTCAAAGTAACCAGCAGCAGAGAGTACAAGCACGGAGTCCTCCTGTTAGGGTAAGTGTCCAATATGTAATACATGCAAGAGACACACATATTCATTTTGGTGATAGCTGTTGATTTGCTTTAACAATAAACGATAATTAGGGACCCCAAGGGTCATCCAGTCCAACCCCCTGCAGTGTAGGAATCTCAACATAAGACTCATAGAAATGTGATGAGTCAACAGAAGATCATGCAAATGGCTTAGTTGGAAAACCCAGCCTATTAGTCCATTTCTCACTGTAGCTGAAGAAGATGAAGAGACGGAATTTTTTATACCACTGGAATCTTTCTCCTGCCTATTATCTCTCATGTCTGCCTTCTACCACCAAACAAATGAGAAAGTACTTTGTCCCTTGAGAGTGCTTTTACAGTCTTCTAGAATTATTAAATGTGAATGACTATAATTAATGCTGTTATTAGTGACAGATATGGACTAGAAACCTCTCTGGAAACCTTCCAGACTTGTAATTTGTGAGTGTGTGTGTGTGAGAGAGAGAGAGAGGGAGGGAGAAAGTGAACAAACTTATTTTTAGGCTATAGTCCTAAACTTGATTTCATCTGTTGAACAGGGTTAAGAATAAGATTGAATTGAAAGTGTAAAATTTGCATACTAATTACATCTGACATCAATTCCTAATACTATACTTTGTTGATTAGTTATGATCAAGATTCTGCAGTTTTTGTCCGATCTTTCTGACTAGTCCAGAAATTGAAGTTGATGGGTTTCTTCCACCTCCCCATTCCTTGTTTATTTGACCTGTGTAGCTGAGACACTTCAGGTGTATCTGCTGAGCAGTGCTAAGGAAAGGCCTCACCATCCTGCAGAAAGGAGAGGTGGGGTGTATGTCAGCTTGCGCATTGCTCAGAGGAAGCACTGCACTGTCTCTGCTGAGCTGCCTAGTTTCTTCTGAAGGAGGAAAGGGTTGATGGTAGGCTTGCAATTTTGGCCCTACAAAGTTAAAGTTCTCCAGGTGTCTTGACCAAACAGTATCCAAACAACCCCTAGCCTTCCTCCTGATGCCGGAGCTGGGGAGGAGAAGAGATAATTGTGCAACCAACTTCTTCAGTTTCAAAACTGAGAGGAAAGGTAGCTGCTGACCCTCCTTACAAGAGGCTGGTGACAAATTTGCAAAAACATTGGAAATTGATTGTGATCAATATGATGTCTTAGAAGCTCCTTTTATAAAGGGTTGTCTACATTTTCCCATTGAAGGCTTTCAAGTTTTCAGTTATTTACAATCTGAGTTATGAGTGTTTGCTGCTTCATGTTCTCTGGTAATAATTTTCTGGATTTAGAGGTTTTTAGAATCTTCCCTAGTGTTGCCAAATGAAGTTGTAAGCATTTTTAAAGGCATCTGTCTTTTCACTTGTTTTCTTGGTATTTATTTATGTTGTTGAATGTGTTAGCTACCAACCTTAGGAGTTGGATTTATTACAATTCAACCTTGAACCTGTAATTGGAAATACAATTTTATAAGATGATTCACCTAATTTTGCTTTAGCCCAGTGGCAGGTCAGATCAGATTTTCTAAAAGTCTTTATTTCTTATCCAGTGATGCTTGCACATAGAGAGCCTCTGGGTATGGTTTGCATTCGTTGTGCAGTGATTAAGTGCTTCATCAGTTCTGAAGAATGCATTGTATTTAGACAGAGTAATAGTTCAAGTAGTGCAGGGAGAGAACAGAGGCCTTAAGGCATCTAAGCGTTTAAAGTATTTTTCATTTTGTTACTTGACTTTATGATATTCAGAACAAACATGAGAATATCCTTTAGCCAAATTACTAGTTGAGATGGACTCCCTATAGATATGCAACCAATTGCTGATAGAGGGGTGTGGTCTTCTATGATCTATAAGTGCAGATACCTTTTATCTATTTCACAATAATAGAATATGCCAGACCAAAGCTGGTACTTATGTACTGTTCTGAAATCCCCTTTTCATTGTACTTTTCACTACATTTGATATTTTGTGGGGGGTGGGGGTGAGAATTTGCCTTTTCTAAAAACATGTGAACTTACCAGCCAAGTTCAGAAATTGCGGATAAATCAAGTGGAAGGTTCTTATCTGCTCTCTTTGTTTGAGTCTTTTAAACATATAGACATGTGTGCACACATTTTCAGGCTTGTCTCCACAAGTATGAAGGCTAACATAATTTATCTTTTTTCAAAAGTGAGATTGAATTTTAACAGGCACATTGCTCCCAAGACATCTATGCACACACAGTGTGCTATTTCTTTGAGCCTTATCCTAATCATACATGTGATATGCCAGCACACAGTGTGCTTTCATAACATTTTGTAGGTTTCCTGAAGTTTTAATCCGTTTTTCTAAAATGTTTTTCTGATTTCACTCATTGGCTACAAACAATGACAGGCAGGAGCATCTAGGATGGTTCATTTAATGGAAATTGCTTAGAAGGGTATGTTTTAAGCAATTTCTTTTGTTTTATAACCTTGTTTCTAGGAGTAGAGACCTTTTTTTAAAAAAAGGAAACTCAGCGAGCCTGTGGTTCAATTGAAGGTTTTTGTTAGTTTTTGCAGTTGTCATGGTGCCTGTGGCCATCATGTTGGTGACTCCTGAATTAGGACTGCAAGAAAAAGTAGCAACATATTAACAAATGAACAGATTGAGATTATTTAACAATGTGTCTGTCCTTGGTAGCCAACACACGGTTTCCTAGCCAGCTTCAAGCCGCCAGCTCCCCCCCCCCCAAAAAAGGTTTCTCATGCAGAACAGATTGGAGGGGTCACCCCACACTTGACTGGATGGGGGCACAGAAGACACTCTGTCTCTGCAACTGGCATGGGGTGAAGCTGATCCCTTATCACAGTGTCATGAATTCAACTTTAATAGGGGTAGGACACCTTTTGAAATGGTGGGAGGTTTCTTGCACCTTCCGTGTGCTGTACCACCCAGTATGGCATGAGTGAATCACCCTACTCATCAAGAGGACTAGGAGAAGAAGGGAATAAATATCTTATCTTGTACTAGGCTATAACATCTCTGGTTATTTCTGAATGCTTCTAAAACATGGCACAAAGAGAGAGTGATTCCCTTCCTTAGGGTAGGGCAGACTTGTTCACTTACCTCACACTGGCTCTTAAAAGCACTTAAAGCCATGCTAGATTTTTTTGCTGAGCATGTCCTAGTCTCTTGTGAGATGGGCCAAGTCTTTCTTTGTTCCTCAACTCTTTGTATGTTCAGAAGGGCTGTAACTCAGCAGAACTCATGGCTTGCATGCAGAAGGTTCCTGATTCAATTCCTGGCGTCAGATAGAACTAGGAAAGGCGCTTGGTTTAAATCTTGTGGAGCCAGTCATTGTAGACAATACTCAGCTAGATGGACCATGGTCTAATGTGGCATAAAGGCAGCTTCCTATATTCCTTTGACTATGGGAGGGTCATGATCTGTCTGCTGAAAGCAAGAGACCCTTCCACCCTCAAAGTTCAAGGAAATGATATATTTTTGTTGACAAATGGATACCACTGGGAAGCTATTTCTCTCTCCTGATGATGAGCTGGAAAGCATGTATCTCCCATCCCTACCTGGAGACTGAATCTGGGACCTTCTGCTTACAGAGCAGATGCTCTACCACTGATCTATTACACTTCCACCATAGCTCACTGTCAACCACTTTGACCCTCCAAACACTGGGTGTTAGAATTTCAGTAGTCTTTTTCACTGGGCATAAGATTTCTGAGACTTTGGAAATCAGCTACAGGGAAAACTAGTGACAGCTGCTGTTATGTTGAATTAAATGAATTTAGATGAGTGCTATTGAATCATACAATCTGCTTTATACTCTAAGGAAATACTAAACCATTAAGTGCCCTTTTTAGAATATGTTGTGACTTCTTTTTATGATTTATTAACGTCTTGTGATAGAATTTGTGGCTTTTCAAATTGTGCTATGTGGCTTTGTGGTAATCTTTTAACTTTGTTGTAATGGGTTCTGTATTTGAATTTTTGTGTATTGGCATCCATAACCACTGAAAAGCCACATAATGCAGAGTAGCTTTGTTTGTTGCTTCTCTCATTAACTGCAGTTACAGATTCAGTCTTGTTGAAATGTTTGACAGCAGTATATAAACCTTAATGATCTTGTTTTGTGGGAGAAAAACTGTACTAATTGGATCAATGTATTCAATAATCTACCTAGATTTTTAAAATTGGAATTTTAGCTTTATGTACATATCTTAGCTAGATATATATATCTCCCTGGTTCTTGAACCCTCTGTGTGCTCCAGTGCATCCTTGATGCTGCTACAACATCAAGATGTTCTACACTGCCTTTACATAATGTATCATATATAACTGTTCTCAACATCCAATTCTGTGAAGAAGTTTGAGCAGGAGCTTTGTATGATTGTGGAAGGTCCTGCAGATGTCAAGGACCCATGAGTGGACTGATAAGCTTTTTATGGAAGATATTTTACCATTTTTTTCTGCCTGAGTCCATTATTTATGTAGTCTAAATACATAGATTTTAGTACAGTGGTACCTCGGGATGTGAACGGGATCCGTTCCGAAGCCCCGTTCGCATCCTGAATAGAACGTAAGACACGTCTGCACGGGTCGTGTTTTGCTGCTTCCGCGCAGGCGCGTGACGTCATTTTGACCGTCTGCGCATGCACAAGCAGCGAAATCCGGACGTAATGCGCTCCGTTACTTCCGGGTCGCTGCGGAGCGCAACCCGAAAATACTTATCCTGAAGCATATTTATCCCGAGGTAGGAATGGATGAGTTTTTTAAAAAGCTGTAATTTTAAAAAGCTGTAAGTTCTGATTAGCTTTTACTTAATATTATCCATCAGAAACCAACTTATGTGCGAGTAAACCTCTGAACTCAGTGGGATTTACTTCAGTGTAAACATGTATAAGATTGTGCAAATAGAATACAATCCTAAAACTAAACCTCTTTTTAAACCTAAAAAAGATGGCAACTTGAAAAGAACTGATATCTTGCTGAAGTATTAGTAATGTTCATTAAAAAAAGCTGTGATTTATTTCTTAACTGGAATGGTTGACTAGAAATACTATAATGGGATTGATTTGAAATAGGTTTTCACTATGTTATCAATAGTTTCTATACTGCAGGCTAAACAGCATTTTCTCAGTGCTGTGGAACACCCATGAATGACATAATGATCATGAAACCTTCTATTGTAGTTTAGACTTAGAGCTTCAGGGCTTAATTTGAGCTGAGACTGCCAAAAGACTACTTCTTTCTCTTTGTGTAGAGACTCATCTGTGCTCTTTTTGCTTTTCTAAGCCAATGAAGAGATAGGCCACAGGAAACAGAATAATGGCTGTTTGGGGGAGATTAGTATATCAGTCTTTAACATGGTTGACCTGAAAACATATCATACCAATTTTTACAAAATAAAGCCTACAGTCCTAAGAATACTTATCAGAGAATAAACCCTATTGAACGCAGTGGAATTCTTGAGAACACCGGGTTTTGCTATAGGTGTATTTAGAGTCACATCTGTGTGTTTTATACAGCTTTCCAGGGAAGATTAATACAGAGTAAAGTAGCATCTGACCCTGGAATCAGGATGAAACAATAGTTAGCCAAGGGAAACAATAGTTGCTAATTTATACAGTATCCTAAGTTAGTAACTATTGTTTTCCTTGGGCTTGCAAAAAGCTTGAGTAGTTTACTAGTCAGACAGAAGCAGAAAGGAGGCTATTGTAATCTACTAGGAAATATATGTTGCCATATTCATTACTGGAAATGCAGGTATTCTCTTACTGTATAAAGTAGAGAGAATCTTTTTGTGCGAGTTCTCTAATTCCAAACATGAAAAGTTTTAAGCTGATTGCATCTTGCTGAAGTACTTAGAGTACTGAAACAGTTTCCTGGAGCTTAATATGTTCTTTTCAAGGAAATAAACTTTGTTCTGTTCTCTTGGTTTCTTCCAGGTGAGCTCATTCTAGTGAGGATATATATGAGACACTCCCTGCACATTCTGTTTCACATAGTTCCTTAAAGCAAGCTTTTAAATAATACTTGTATAGCAGCAGCAGCTTTTTTAAGGATAGTAGCAAAATTTATAATTTTGTGAAGCATGAATGAGATATACAGCTCTTTTGAAGACCTCTTTAAACAGTGAATACTACTTTTAAAAGGATTAGTCACTTACTCGAATAAAAGAAGACTGATAATCTTGCATGAGGTTTTATTAGTAGAGTATTGTACTAAAGTGTTTTTATTTACAGCTGTCTAGTCCTCTCAACTTTTCAAGCAGTTTTAGAAAAACACATTGAATAAAAGTTGGGTAAAGTGTAGTTGGTTGTATTTGGAAAAGCCAGAGCATGATGGAATCAAAAATAATCTGTAAAATGCTTGTTTTTAAATTTTTGCTCAAGAAATACTAAGTTTAGCCCATTTTAATATTGTTGCCCACATCAAGTATGAGATGTTACCAGTAAGGCCAGTTTTTGAATGTGCAGTATTTAATTATGTTACCAACAGGAACAGATATTGCAAGTTAAGTTGAAACCAGATTTGATAATACTGTATTTTAATTGGGACACTCTCTGTAGCAATGCAGGGACGCGGGTGGCGCTGTGGGTAAAACCTCAGTGCCTAGGACTTGCCGATCGTATGGTCGGCGGTTCGAATCCCCGCGGCGGGGTGATCTCCCGTCTTTCGGTCCCAGCTCCTGCCTACCTAGCAGTTCAAAAGCACCCCTAAGTGCAAGTAGATAAATAGGTACCGCTTTATAGCGGGAAGGTAAACGGCGTTTCCGTGTGCTGCGCTGGTGCTGGCTCGCCAGAGCAGCTTCGTCACGCTGGCCACGTGGCCCGGAAGTGTCTCTGGACAGCGCTGGCCCCCGGCCTCTTAAGTGAGATGGGCGCACAACCCTAGAGTCGGACACGACTGGCCCGTACGGGCAGGGGTACCTTTACCTTTACCTGTAGCAATGCCACAATAGCATTGGCTTCTCTTTGAGTCCATGTCTGAACAGTATAGATTCTATTTATTCTGTATCTTGTCATTACCAGGAAAATGAGATTTAAAATGCATTCAGGTGATGTGCTCCTGCCAAAAAGCATAGCCTGCAAAAACGTTTAGAGAAGACAATAATACGTAAGCAGCATCTTCACCTTATAAGGTCCTGTGGGCAGGGGGCAAGGCAAGTGGAGAAGCTCCCCCCCCCCCGTTCATTCTGGTAGTCTCTCACCTATAGCAGTACCTGCTAGGGAGCAGCTCTTCCTCATAAGGATTCCAGGCTGGTGTAAAGCTTGCCCAACATACTCTGCGCTGTGGCCATAATGCATTTGGTAGTCTTTAAGACAAAGCTCCTTTATTTTGTGTAGGAGCATGAGCCTGTTCTAATTTCTTTATAAATTGGCAACAAATCTCTTTGCTCTCCAGAGAATTAGAAGGAAGAGCGTGTCTAATGCATATTTAAATTTAAACAAGTAAAATGAATTGAAAGTAGGTTTCTAGATTTTTATATATTTATATACTTTTATTGTATAAGCACTGCACAAGTAATTAATATTTACTTAAACCTTTGGAAATTGTAACTCCTATAGTGGGAAGTTTAGATAAATGACTTGCTTTGTCTAGCTAGACCAGGCATCCCCAAACTCAGCCCTCCAGCTGTTTTGGGATTACAATTCCCATCATACCAGACCACTGGTCCTGTTAGCTAGGGATGATGCGAGTTGTAGTCCCAAAACATCTAGAGGGCCAAGTTTGGGAATGGCTGAGCTAGACAGACCATTTCAAAGATCTAGGCTCTATTTGGTCATTCAAGTACTGGGTGTCTTCAGTATTTCTTATCTGCTACGTTTCTAAACTTCAGTCCATGGTTGTCATTACAGTTTTGTTGTTGTTTTTTCTTTATAAAAAAAAGGACAGTTATGTTATCTGGTTTGAGGAAAGGGGTATTATGAAAACACTAGTGTGGTTCAGAAAAGCAGTAACTTCACTTCCTGATAATTGAATAATCACTCCATACACTTCAATGCTTTTCAGCTAACTCTGGGACCTGCCTGTTCAATAATATGCTACTAAAGACTCATGGCTGGTGCATACTGAGTATGATTTTCTGAGATGCTGGGATTTTCTGGGCCTAGTACAATATGTGTATTGGGCCCTCTCTACCATTCACAAAAGAGGTACAAATTTGCATAAAATTTGCCTGTGCCTTGGGTGATTTGCAAATTTATATATTCTTTTGCAGATGAAGTAGAAAGTACAAAAACAAATCTCCCAATTAATCACACACAAGTAAGTTGTTTGATAGACAGAATGTTAGGAGGTGAAGCTTTTTCCATAATTGTATTTCTATATTAGAAAATGCTCAAATTTATTTCTCCCTGTCACAGAGCTGCTAAAAGTCAAGATCCCTGATCTTTCTCCAGTCCAACCCTAAACCATTCAAAGAACTCCAAGTTTCATAAGTTGTAAGCCAGTTATATTACTTAAGCTGTTTCATAAATTGATCTTAGACTGGCAATTCTTCATTCAGTGAAAGAGGCATTGTATTTTACATTGCTTCTACAATCAACAGCCCCCTTTAAAAAAGTAAAAATAAAAAAATCTACCAAGGAACTGGAATGCAACTGGACAACACAGGGCTACTTTGTGGAGGTGATGTGACCCACTTTCTCAAACACAATACTTCCCCACTGCAATATGGATATACTAGTGGTGGCTTTTATTTGCACGTACATTAACAGAACATTTTTTTAAAAAGTTTACATACACATAACAACAATTCCTTGTGCGTTCAAAGCATGTGAGACTGTGCACATGTGCATCACTGCGAACTGTTGTTCAGCTTCTGCATCCCTGTTACTTTCTTTTGACTGCATATCTTCATGCACTGATGACAGAAAATTAAATAGTGACGGCAAAGATGAGAAGGTACATTCAGGACATAATTGATTCATGCAGCCAGGCAGATTGTTACAGAATTTTTTTTTAGATACTGTAAAGATTGCTGTTTTAAAGATGTCTCTGTAGACATTTATAGCATTTAACTTAATAAAGTTTTTAAAAAATTCCATGGAGGAAATAGCTCTATAGCAAGTCTTTAGCTTTATCTGCTGTCCATTCCTTAACTTGTAACTGTCTGGAAAATGAAATCAGACTTTAGTAGGAAAAAAACATATAAATTAACCATAACTTCAAGCTGCACAGGCAAAGAAATCCATTGTCTGTATACCCTTTTTTGTGTGCATTGTATGTAATTCAATAATTTACCAAACCATTTGTGTGCCAATAAAATTGCCATTAAGAGCTAACTTAAATTCTCTTTTGTTGGATATGAAAAGATTTTTTTACAGAGCCTCTTATAGTTTTTCAGAAATATTATAGTCATGAATGAGCAGGTTGTTAAATTAAATATTCCCTTTACATGATAGTGTTAATTGTTTAATTTGGATTATGATGAAGCCTAATAGATTTTGCTTGCAGGTGGAACAGCAACATTTGGGCTAATTAAGAAACATTTTTTACCATATTGACTATCACACATTATCTTTTCATTACAAAATTTTGCATTCTGGCATCTCCCAAGGCAGCAGGTTTTCTCCAAAGTCTAAAACCCTAAGGGAGCTGCCTTAACCAACAGCTTTAGTTGTTATAGACTACATACGAGTTTATATTTAAAACAGCTTAATCAAAAAGCTCTGTAATACATAATAAAACTCAATAAAATATATAACATTTGCAAAACTATTAAAACAAGTATACATTAAAATATTTAGCCTTAAAACACAGATAAAATTAGTAAAACTTTTAAAACAAGTATAAGTATCTATTAATTGGTATGGGGTTATATTCTCTAGGTTTGGCTTTTCTCCCTTCCATTAGTAGACAGAAATTGTTGGATACCATCTCTTGTGTATATATAGAATTGATTCTGTACATGTGGTACCTTAAGAAACACCTGTAAGTGCTGTTTAGAAGTTTTCACAAGTGTATTAGCAAAATACAGAGTAGTTTTCCTAGTTGGGTAAGTCAAATACTGACTAGTTGGTATTCTTGCCCCACCCTGCAGATACTGCAGGCAGCAGTGTATGACATCTAACACTAGTACATATTTGTCCTTGATTGTCTTGCCAGAAGAAGATGAAACCTCATTTGCTTGTACAGTGATACCCACTTCCTGAAAAGTAGAAAAATGCAGCAGGAAAAAATAAGGCAATAATTAGTTGAATTGTGTTTCAAAAGGATGAATGGCATTCCAAAAGGAAACAAAGTAGGTGGAGGTGCAAAGGTCATTTCAACTCTGGACAGTAGCAGTTATTGTCTGTAGAATAGTAAAGGCCAGTGAGAAAAAAATTGCTTGTATTCTTAAAAAAGAAAAAAGAAAAAAGAAAAAAGGTACTTTCTTGTCACTTAATAAATTTCCCTTAACAAAAACTACTCAAGTCACTTCTAAATTTAAAAAGGGAATGCATACAATTTCTATCTTTAAAGCCATGTAATGGGTGGTTTTGAAATGTAAACCAAGCTTTTATATCAAGTGATCAGAAGAAGCTATAATTTGTTGCATATTTCATCTTTATAACTAATGGCAGCTCAGTTAAATTTGCCAATGGAGACTTGATTTCCCATTCACTGATCTTTCAAACGTTAATGTGCAGGCAGTATGTAATATTTGTTTTCAGTACCAGAACTCAACTGAGCTCAGAATCCTTCCACAACCTGCCCTCTCAGGTTATTACATTATAATTGAGATGTGTGCATGTCATTTTGCAGGAAGTTAGAAGTTCTTGCTAATCATAAATGGGAGTCATAAATCTTTGCTGAATCTACTTAGAGAGATCTTTAAGTAGATCCTGATCTACTTCTTCTCACGTCTGATTTAAAGCTTTCTCATAGCAGCATATCTCGCTGCATACCCAGAAGAATTTAGATCAGAGCTGGAGCACACAACCTGCAAGTCACATGTGGCCCACACAAGCTCTTTTTGGTAGCCCTCAGCGACATTCAAGAAAAAATCATATTAAAGCCTTAAATATTTATTCTTTGTGTCATGTGTTGTTAATGAAATCACATACATCTGTTTGTGTATTAAATTTGTTTAAAAATTAAATCTATTAGGTCTATTTATTCTGTATTTAATTTTATATATATGTAAAACAACTATAGGGACGCGGGTGGCGATGTGGTCTAAACCACAGAGCCCAGGGCTTGCCGATCAAAAGGTTGGTGGTTCGAATCCCCGCAACGGGGTGAGCGCTCATTGTTCGGTCCCAGCTCCTACCCACCTAGCAGTTCGAAAGCACGTCAAAGTGCAAGTAGATAAATAGGTACTGCTCTGGCGGGAAGGTAAACGGCGTTTCCGTGCGCTGCTCTGGTTCGCCAGAAGCGGCTTAGTCATGCTGGCCACATGACCTGGAAGCTGTCTGCAGACCAACGCTGGCTCCTTCGGCCTATAGAGCAAGATGAGCACCGCAACCCCAGAGTCGTCCGCGACTGGACCTAACAGTCAGGGGTCCCTTTACCTTTACAATTAACTATGTTGTGTATACAGTGGTGCCCCGCAAGACGAATGCCTCGCAAGACGGAAAAACCGCTAGACGAAAGGGTTTTCCGTTTTGAAGTTGCTTCGCAGGACGAATTCCCCTATGGGCTTGCTTCGCAAGACGAAAATACCTTGCGAGTCTTGAGATTTTTTCGCTTTTCCCCCTTTATCTAATCTGCTAAGCCTTTAATAGCCTTTAATAGCCTTTTAGCAGCTAATCCCTAAGCCTTTAAGCCTTTAATAGCCGCTAAACAGCTGATAGCGCTAATAGCGCTAATCCGTCAATGGGCTTGCTTCGCAAGACGAAAAAACCGCTAGACGAAGACTCTTGCGGAACGGATTAATTTCGTCTTGCGAGGCACCACTGTATTAAATAATACTGAATATATTACAAGCACTTTAATTTACGATACAGAAATTTAATTCAATGTGTGGCCCATGGATTCTGTGTCGAAGTACTCTTGCCGCCCACTTGGTATGAAAATTGGACCGTCCATCTCTGCATATAGCAGTTCCTCTACCAGATCATTTTTTAGACTTGAAGAGCTTTAAAAAAAGTGTGTAGACTCTGATGAAGGTGACAAATGTTTTTCAAGTATGTACAAAACCATTGTGTGCACCACTTGCTTTACTGTGGCTAATACAGACATAGGCAAACTCGGCCCTCCAGATGTTTTGGGACTCCTATCATCCCTAGCTAACAGGACCAGTGGTCAGGGATGATGGGAATTGTAGTCTCAAAGCATCTGGAGGCCTGGGTTTGCCTATGCCTGGGCTAATATCATTAAAGTTGCACAACGTATTGGGAGTATTCTATAAGATTGAGAGAAAGGCAGTAGAATCTCCCCAAACTCAGTCTGAGCCTCAGAGATGCTCAACATAACAAGGATGAACATCAACCAACTTCGGTGAATTTTTATTTGAGTGTTGTGCTGCTGCTGTTTAGTTTTTTAGGGTATTATTATTTTAATATTGCTGTAACCTTGTAACTTTTTATTGGCTGTAGGTTTTAGTGTTATAAGGTGCCTTAGATATTTTTTAAAAGCCAAAGCATGCTGAAAATATTCTTTTTCTGCCAGCAATATATATTTCTTTCATTGAACTTTAATGTTTTCTTCCTAAAGCTATGATAAATTGACAAGTTCATATTCTGTTTGTTTCAACATCTGGATGCCACATTGTATCCACTTTTTGCCAGCAACACTCACAAACATATGGAGGAAACTAGTAACTTCACAATGGTAGAAGAGGCTATGGAACTTCTGGCTGCCTTTTCCTTTGCATCATTTACAGGGGAAATTTAATTAGCTCTTAAACTTTTAGATTTTTTTTGTTTACAGTTTGACTGAATAACACAACTCCTCTTGGGAATAGCAAAGTTTATGAATTAACAAAAACATCAAGGAAAATGCAAAACAAGGTTTGCTTGAATACATGCATAAAATAATTTGGTAACAAATATATACCAGTACTTTAAAACGAAGCCCTATGCATATATCTGAGTAAAGTGATACTTACTCTTGGGTAAATGTGTATAGGATTGCAGTAAAATACTTATGAAGAGAATCTGGGTTATTTTTCATTTCAAAAGAAAAAAAGCAAAGGTAGTTGTTTGTGTCCGTAAGAAAAATACCCCCTCCATAATCCACAGTTGGGTGATATGCTTGTTTGGACCAACCAAAGTGTTACAAAATAATGCAATCTGGAACTCTTAATCATGCAGGAAAAACAAGAGTATTAGGTTTAATGTTGTAGCTATGATGTCGTCTTGCAGTTTTAATTGAGTTGAGAGCTTAACCATAGACAATGTTTCCCAAATCTGGAACATTATACCAGTTTCTAGATTGAGGTAGGTAACAATGTTGGTCTGATGCAGTCGAAATAAATTTAAAAATTACAAAAATTGTCCAGTAGCACCTTAGAGACTTAGTTGGTCTCTAAGGTGCTACTGGACTATTATTTTTTATTTTATTATACCAGTTTGTTCTTTTGTCCAAAAACCAAACAAACTTCATTCTGAATATATAATATCCAGGAACAAAGCTGGATACAATGTTGTAGCTTACATGCTCTTAATTCTCCTTTTGCTTTGATCTTATAATTGTCATTCCAATAGGGGAAGTTAATTACCCATTCTTTTCATTGCTTTCTTCGGTTCAGCCTTTCTCTATTGTGCTTGTGAGGGCCTTACCTTTGACCTGCACAAATATTTTCCTACCTAAATATGCTGCATTCATAGTGAACTTTTAGTGGGATTATTTCATATGTATGTTCCTATATGGCTTCCAGTATCTAGGAAAGTTTCCTTTCAATTTTGATACTGATTCATTGTGTTAAAAACTAGTCATGGTCAAACCTGCTAATCTATGAATTCCTGAGCATCAAATGTAGTTTGAGAGTGATTTTAAATTTTAATAAAATCTTGTCAAGCTATTGCTACACATGTCCCACATTGGCCTTGACACTATAAACTCTTATCCTAGCAAGTATAAAGTATGACTTCCTATTAGGCATTTCACTCTTTTATGTGGTTCCAGCAATGCTTCAAGGTCATTCGCGGAAGTATTATTTTCATTGGCTCCTAAAGAGCAAGGGATAAAAATGTAAGTTAAGATTGCTGGCTGGTATTTATAGTCCTAAACAATATAGTCTCCAGTTTAACACCATGGAATAAAAATGATAAAATCAAACTGAAAGAGGGCTAAGAGCTTATAAATTGCAGCTTTGTATTCAGGACGAAGTCTTTTTTGGCTACTCGATAAATTTGCCTGCTCTTCAGTGGAGAGTGGGGATGAGGTACCATATCTTGTTTCATTTTTTAAAAAATAATTTTTATTAAAGATTTTCATGGTTCACAAAAAAATGTGCATTGTCTTTTTTCAAGCCGTATAGTCCTTTTTTTACATTTGATGTGAAACATTATACAGAATAAGGTGGGGGCGGAAGAAGAGTGGGAGAGAGAAGGGGGAGAGGAGATTGGGGTGGTAATATTTAGTATGTTTGTGATGAGTTATGCCAGTGTCACTTGAGTAGGTTCTCTATTCATTCATTTTATATGTATATGTACACACACACACACACACACACACACGTATGTATGTATGTATGCATGCATATGCATATGCATACACACAAACATACATTTTAGTGAGAGAAGTTGGGGTGCTCAGGGCATGGTTGGTTATCTTTAGTTGGCTGCAGTGAGGTTTGTTCATGGGGGGGGGTGTTGGGTAAGTTCAGCCCATATTGATTCAAATGCTGTTGGTAGATTCTTGTTGGGCTGTGTATGTGATAAAGGGGAGCCATACTTGAGTGAAGACGTCTTCTTCTATTTGTCCCTGTGTCAGTTTCAGTCTATCGGTTAATTTTTGTAATAAGTCCGTTTTCCATATAGTTTGATACCATTGATCCGTGTTTACTTCTGACAGGTCTCTCCAGTGTCTGGCTATGATGTTTCTGGCTGCTGAGAGTAGGTGGGTTTTGAGCTCTTTATAGTGTGTGTGGGCATTATTATCTTGGAAGATGTTTAATAGGGCCAATGGATTTATTCTGCTACCATATTTACTCAAATCTAATGTGCCATCAAATTGAATGCGCACCTCAATATTTATTACGATGGATGATTTTTCAAAACTTTGAAACAAAAAAAAAGGATCTAATGCGCCATCAAATGTAGTGCACACCCTAATTTTCGTGACATAATTTGGCCAAAAAATGTGCATATTACATTTGAGTAAATACAATAGGTGGATACCATCCAGAGACATTGTTTGCTTTTAAAATATAAAAGGTTCTAGGTTTCAGCAGATGAGCATTGTGCACTTTTTGTTGTTGGTTTTAAACCAGATATTTCCATCTGTTCTTTTTAGCAGGACAAACTAAGGATGCTTGCTAAGTTTTTGCTGATAAAAACTGTAAAAGTTGGGCTAGCGGATATAGTATGATATAGTATGAAACATAATATTTGTGTTTTTTTTAAAAAGCACAAGGGATAGATTTTTCCAAACTGTATTTTACCATACTGTATAAGGCTACATTGTTGTTTAGTCGTTTAGTCATGTCCGACTCTTCATGACCCCATGGACCAGAGCACGCCAGGCACTCCTGTCTTCCACTGCCTCCCGCAGTTTGGTCAGACTCATGTTTGTAGCTTCGAGAACACTGTCCAACCATCTCGTCCTCTGTCGTCCCCTTCTCCTTGTGCCCTCAATCTTTCCCAACATCAGGGTCTTTTCCAGGGAGTCTTCTCTTCTCATGAGGTGGCCAAAGTATTGGAGCCTCAGCTTCACGATCTGTCCTTTTTACAACATCAGTGAGCACTCAGGGCTAATTTCCTTAAGAATGGATGCGTTTGATCTTCTTGCAGTCCATGGGACTCTCAAGAGTCTCCTCCAGCACCATAATTCAAAAGCATCAATTCTTCGGCGATCAGCCTTCTTTATGGTCCAGCTCGCACTTCCATACATCACTACCGGGAAAACCATGGCTTTAACTATACGGACCTTTGTTGGCAAGGTGATGTCTCTGCTTTTTAAGATGCTGTCTAGGTTTGCCATCACCTTTCTCCCAAGGAGCAGGCGTCTTTTAATTTCGTGACTGCTGTCACCATCTGCAGTGATCATGGAGCCCAAGAAAGTAAAATCTCTCACTGCCCCCATTTCTTCCCCTTCTATTTGCCAGGAGTTGATGGGATCTTCGTTTTTTTGATGTTGAGCTTCAGACCACATTTTGCGCTCTCCTCTTTCACCCTCATTAAAAGGTTCTTTAATTCCTCCTCACTTTCTGCCATCAAGGTTGTGTCATCTGCATATCTGAGGTTGTTGCTATTTCTTCCGGCGATCTTAATTCCAGCTTGGGATTCATCCAGCCCAGCCTTTTGCATGATGAATTCTGCATATCAGTTAAAGTTAAGGCTACATAGTACTTTGATTTTCAGTAGCTCTCAAAATAAGTGACATAGCAATTCATTATATTTTTCTTAAATATTTATTTATTATATTTTTATTAGAGGTGGGTGCAACCCTCTGCTTCCATATAGAAAAAAAGGTTTGAAGGATTGGGAATTCCCATGCTGGTCTCCCAAACATTTTGAATCTATGTTTTGGATGTCTTCAGCTCTGCAAGGTAGAGAACTTACCATGCATTTACCACAGTGTTCTATTATGTAGTTGGTTGTGGTGGACATAAGCCCAAACTCCTTGTGCCAGCATGACGTGATAACACATTGTCATAACAGATTTGTGTGTTTACCACTACATTGGTTAGCCACAGTTGTTAAAATATATTGTGTGTGATAATTTTACATTTTGGTAAAACTACTCATAACGAAAACACCTCTAACCTATGCTCTGCATAAGGCACAAGCATTATTTCTATTTTCTGCCGTGATTATTCATCCTTTTGTGCTCTATTTAATAATAGACAAGCTAATATTTTAGTTAAAAATAGTTGCTTTAAGAGGCCAACCAGGTGTTTTCAAGAATAATTTCACAACCAATCTTTAAAGAGAGCTTTATTTCGGGGACTGTGTTCCATGCAGCATGGAAATTCAAATAAAAGCAAATAATGAATGCAGCTTTCCAGCTGCAGTATGCATGTGAATTGTTACATGTGCATATAAGGAAGGGGTAGTTCAAATTAGCACACTTTCTGGTTCTGTAAAAGTACTATAAAACGAAAGGACATTGTAATTGTATTTTATTCACTGTATTGGTGAAAACTAATTGGTAGCTGTTTTTCCTACACCTAGTCCTACTGACCTTTTTAATATTTTGGAAGATCAGAGCTATAGGCCATAATCCCTAGCATGCATTAGAATTAAGCTACATAGGTTGGGAAATGGAACTTTATTTTGGCCAAAAGAAAGTGGAGTGGAAGGGGTTTCTGTCTATTGAGTCATATTTTGGAGAGTTATGGCTGAGGGATATGCCATGTTGGGTTTTGGGCTCATCCTGCATTTCTGCCATGTATACGATCTGTGGCCTTGTGCAAGTCTTCACCTAATATAGTCTAGTGTGAGGGCAACAGAGCCAGATTGTTTTCAGCATCTGATATTCAGAAGTATGCAGTCTCTGCCCATTTAGATCCCGGATCACATGGAGGGGCTTGGTTAAGTGGAGCAGTTAGGGGCAGCTTTGCATGGGTGGAATTGAAGAAATTTGTGATGAGAGGGGAGGACTTGCAGTACCCACACTTTGAAAGTACCAGCCCCCATTAAGTACCAGCACATGTCAAATAACTGAATTTCTAAATAATTTAAAATGCTTTATAGATTACACATCAAATATATGAAGCTGCCTTTATACTGGCTCAGACCATTAGTCCATCTAGCCAAGCACAATAAACGGGCATTTTAATGAGCTCTCTGCTTTACCATGCAGAGTGAGGAGCCAAGATCTAAAAAGTGCAGAAAAAAGCATAGAAAAGGAGCATAAAAGATGTGGGGTGGTGGGAAATTTACTAGAGTTTTGAGATGCTGAATGACAAGCTGTAGAGTAATCACATTTTTACATAAAATACATAAACAGAAATACTATCTGCAATTGCTTCTCCTTGAAGCAATAAAATGAGATGTGGAATAACAACAGATAATTTCACTGAAAACCTGAAGTGTGGTGTTATGCACACATGCTATAGATATTAAAATTATTAGAGGCACTTTTGGTAGCAAGGGTGATGTGCACAGTAAGAGTTTAAAGAACATCAAAGGAAAGTGGAGAACATGCAGCTGCTATAAGCACTGAAGTACTGGTTTCCTTTTTTCCCCACCCCAGACCTCTTGGTCTTGGTGGAACTCTTAAGTGGTAGACTGATCTGGGGATAAATGGTTGGTGATAGTTTGTGGCTTTTTCAGCAAAAGAGCTGCCTTGGAATTTACTTCAAAAATAAAACTCATTCAAAGCAGTCATGTTTACATAGATCTGTACACATAGTTTGGATAATATTGTCATGTATTAAACTGCTTTTCCTTAGAAATAACTCATGGGGTAAAACTATAGCTACACATTGGTGCATCCCTCTCACTGCTCTACAATACCTTTAGCCATCCTTTCATGGCTAGTCAAATGAAACAGAGACAGAATAAAACGTAAACATTAACTCAGCAAATATTCAAGGACCTGTAAAGTAACCAAAAGCTGCTGAGCATGGGGAGGGGGGGAGGTGTCAAGGATTTAGGAAGCTGGTTCAAAAGGCCAAAGATCCCCAGCTGTGATCTTGCTCTCACCCAGAGAATCTGAGAACCATGTGAAGACAGTGTCCTGGTGGCCTCTGAATATATTGCACCCAAAAGAATAATCCAAACCAATTGCTCTGGTTTTAGCTTACATGTACTGGAATGAAGAAGTATTTCCTTTATTTCACTTCTGTATAATTTAACCATTTCTTCTTGTTATTTGTGGCTGGGGTAGAGCTTAGTTCTACTGTACTGAAAATTACTCTGTAGAATCAATTGTATTTAATGCATGTCACTATTAAAGATTACTGCATTCATATTAACTATACTTTAACTGGAATTGTAAAGGGGGGGAATACAGTAACCATCTATTCAAATGTTTGATTATAGTTGCTTTGCATGATTGATTTGTTCTAATACTATTACAGTCAGCCATTAATAAGGTAAATCAGTGTAGTGCAGTCACTGAATCAGGGTTTCAGCACTATCAGAACTGTAATCAAATTTGTATTTATGTTCTCATATTAAACATGATTTGTGAGACTTGTAACTTAGTAAGAGATTTTTCATCATTGACAGGCAGGGTGTGTATGGAGGAAGGACTCTTCCTGCAGATATTTTGTCACTAAAGGGTTGAGCTCAGTGTCAGAAGTGGGCCCTGAGACCTGGCATGAGGCTTGGTGCAATTCCTCCAACTGCACCTTTATCATCCAGACCTGTAACAATGGGTGTTTTCGTTTTCATTTTACCACCTGCTGTTGATGGAATTGCATTCTTCCATACAAAAACAACAGCCCTGCACAAACAATGACTACTAGCCACGATGGCTACTTTCTACCTCCACTGTTGGAAGATGTATGCTTCTGCATGCTAGTTGCTGGGAACTGCAGGTGGGGAGGGTGCTGTTCAGCTCAGGTCCTGTTTTCTGACTTCCATAGGCATCTGGTTGGCCATTGTGAGAACAGAATGTTGCACTGCATGGGCCAGTGGCTTGATCCAGCATTTAAACATGCAATATGAAGTGATGCAGTTAGTATGAAAGTACTGCTTCAGTGAGAACTATGCAGGAGTTATCACAGGAAGAGCTGGAAGAATGGGATGAAATATCAAAGTGTGAGTGAGTGAGTGAGTGAGACTATACAATAGGTAATAATTCACACAGTCCGTTCAGTCTTTTCTTGCTGTTTTATCTCAACAATAACACTGGAATGTTGTACTGAAAAACAGTTTGCAAGCAATTTGTTTTTTGGAGATGTATTATTTGGAGAGAGAATCTCATTTTTTCTAGTCACGGAGCACAAAACAAGTCTGCAGTCCTTATTTTTCTAGAACACTTTTATTGTAGACAAATTGTGGTTTGCAGAAAGCCATATGAATGAGAGATGGATAAAAGTCATGTCTGCAGAGAATGCAAAAAGAGTGTTCCTGGAAATTTGAGATAGTCTTTAAATTTTATTAGAGTAGTGTGATACAGGGGAAATTGTGGTTTGCAGAAAATTATCCTTGTCTCCCAGTTCCTACATAACACGTGCTCAGTTTCCCAGACTCTCTGTAGAAGGGGAATCTCATCATTGTGAAGAGACAGGAATCATACAAGGGCATAGAGGGAATTTTACTGGCAAATTTAAAAAATGGCTTCATCCTTATTTGTATTATACTGACATGACTTTCACAGGACATCATGAATTCTAGATAGAGATTTTCAGAGTTCGCTGTAAAATGCATATATTTTTAATCAGGAAAAAGTAGAAATATTCCATGGCTATGATCCTGAGTTTGTTCTCAATGGCAGGAGTGCCCACTGAACAGAAGTCTACTCTTGTGACACTCTCGGCAGTGAAAAGTGGGTGATTTTCCACTGCAGCCGCTTATGATGCCAAAAATGTTTTTAAAGGGCTTGGGGACTCTCTGAAGCAGCATGAAAGGTGGCTCAAGAGGAAGGAAGAATTGACAAAACACAGACTTGCCACTTTTTTCTGGTGTGACCGTTGCCTGGATCATGGTCTCATTTATGAATGGCAGCAACTCTTTTTTTTTGAAGAACGTAGTTAGCATCCTGGGCAATTTCATTTATTATCCTTCCTTATACTATCATTTTTAAAAATCATTTTTAAATTTCTAGTTCAACAACACATACACAGCCTTAGTTTAAAACTTAAAAGCTATTCAGATGTCTGATATGTGAATGAAAGTCATATGAAAAGTCAGTGACAGAGTTTGGTTGGATGGCTTATTTTCTAATGCAATGGCTTGTTTTGTGTGTACACTTCTTTTACATTCTGTGACTATGAAATGTGATTTCCCTCCCTCTGTAGGGTGTACCTCAGTTACCTTGTGCCAAAGCATTATATAACTATGAGGGGAAAGAGCCTGGAGATCTTAAATTCAGCAAAGGAGACATTATCATATTACGTCGGCAAGTTGATGAAAATTGGTATCATGGAGAAGTTAATGGTGTCCATGGATTTTTCCCGACCAATTTTGTCCAGATTATTAAACCTTTACCTCAACCTCCACCTCAGTGCAAAGCACTTTATGACTTTGAAGTTAAAGACAAGGAAGCAGACAAGGATTGTTTACCCTTCTCAAAGGTAAAACATAATTTTTTAAAAAATGCTTTAAAAAAAAATGTTTTGAAAAATACATTGAATTTTGCATACCTCATTGTTGCCACCTAGTGTCACGTTTGTATATTGCACTTTATAACACATTTAAAATGTTTTAGTTGCAGCTGTGTAGCTGAGTCCTTAGTGACAGACATATATGAGCACCCAGAGTTTATACTTACTATTTTTCTAATTCTTTCCTTTCCTACCTACAGATATTTACTTGTTCCCTTATTATTAGAAGCTCTCTTTTTTTGTTTGGGTTTTTAAATTTTGAGAATTAATACCTTCATTTCCCCTAAGGACAATGTTTTAACTTTTATTTTAAGTATAATTCATGATGGAATTAGTTCGATTTCCCCTGCCACCAGTTCATTCTCTCAAAGAGAGGGCTCAATGTCACCTAGTAAGCCCCATGGTATCCTAAGAAGTTGAACTTATCTGCCCTGTTCAAATCTGAACACATTGTATGTTATACTAAATTGGCTCTTTAAGACTGTTTATAACTGGATGAAGTTAATTTCAGTTTTTCTGTTCCTCAGTCTGATTTACCCCCCCCCCCCAGCTAAGTATATTAAATTATTAAATGTATTTTAATTTATATATAAATGGAAGAGCTTGGCTTTAACTTTTATAGAATTCCAATGGATTGCTCTGGGAAATAGCCATGAGAATAATGGTGTTGTTGGTTGCTTCTGTTTTAATTAATTCTCAAACTTGGGTCCCCAGCTGTAGCTGGACTACAACTCCCATCCTCCCTTGCTGGTAGGACCAGTGGTCAGGGATGATGATGGTTGTATTCCAACAACAGCTGGGGACCCAAGTTTGAGAAATAGTGCTATTCTTGATCAGGAAATGCATGTGTTCTTAAAAGAAATTAGTTGTTTAATTGTGTATTTCTTTTTAATGTAGGATGACATTCTGACTGTGATTCGCCGAGTAGATGAAAACTGGGCTGAAGGAATGTTGGCTGACAAAATAGGAATATTTCCTATTTCATATGTTGAGGTGAGAGAACCATAAAAGTATTTTAATATACAATATAATAATGGTAGAAAATGTAATATATACTTGCAATAAACTTGTTACTTCCTAGATAATCTTGGTGGCCAGCCTCACTATTTTCTGTGCTTTGAAATGTAGGGACAAATTAAGAGTTCCGATAAATTCAGTTATGTAACAGATACACGCTTTTATTGTGAGCTGAACTTGTCACAGAATCCATGGGTGCAACTGCAGGACAAATTGGTATTTGTTCATTGTGTATGTTGAAATCTATTCATTCAGAACTGGTAGTGTGGAAATATTGTGGGATAGGGAGCAAAGGTGTCCTTTAAAAAAGTTCTTGAGTTTGTGTTTATTCTCTCATCACTTATGTAAAACATCACTTTTACATTTATGGCATACCAGTGTTGGAATTTTAAGAAACAAAATTCTGGAAACAGAAACTGAATTGAGGAATTCCAAGAAACCAAAAAAAAACAGTTCAGTTTTAAAATTGGAGGTTAAAATTGCTGTAGTTTAGGTCTGTCACTGCCATCTTGATTTAAAATGGCATCCAAGCATATCTACAGATGGATAAAAATCTGCTCCTCAGTCTCAGGTACCATCTTGGTTATGATATCTTAAGAGGTGTCCAAATACATAGCAAACGAACAACTTTCCAAAATATTTTATTTATTTATTCACGAGATAACCACGAGATGGTGTGTGAGAGTCTCCTTGATCACTTTTCTGAAACACTTGCATCCCTGCTCTCAATCTCTTAGGGCTTATGATCAAAGTACTGACAATTATGAATAAATGATACATTTTAAGGATCATTCTGACAATATACACATAGAAATGGAGAATCAGCAGATAGCTCAACCCAAAATTTCCAAATAGGAAACTTTCAAAAATTTGTTTTTGAAATGACAGCCAAATGTATAGTCTTTCTTCCTCTCTGCCCCCCTTTCATGTTGTCAGTTGCTGAGGTGCCCCAACAAACAGCTTCATGTTTTCCTTTCTTGAAAAAAAATGTCTTTAAAAAAGCCATTTTCCATTTGAAACACCAGCTTCCTTCATGTGCAAGCACAACTGATTATTCATTTTTAAATTCTGCGTGTCATTGTTTTGCAGTTTAACACAACAGCAAAGCAGCTGATAGAACTGGACAAGCCCTCAGGTTTAGCAGGAGACTCTGGAGAAGGCACGTCTGGTGCATCCCATAGCAATTCAGTTCAAAAGCACACGGATACCAAGAAGAACACCAAAAAACGCCACTCCTTTACCTCTCTTACCATGTCCAACAAGGCTTCGCAGGCTTCTCAGAATCGTCATTCAATGGAAATCAGTCCTCCTGTCCTCATCAGCTCTAGCAACCCTACTGCTGCAGCCCGCATCAGTGAACTTACAGGCCTTTCCTGCAGTGCACCTTCTCAGGTAATTTTCTAGCAGTAGAATACAAAGCATATCATAGCTTTTTTTAGATGAACAATTTAAAAGGTTGTCAAAATAAGTGGAAGATAATTGTGACTGACTTTCTGAGTTTGTGCAAGCAGTCATTAATTATACGTAAAGGGACAATTTTCATGCACTCCCAAAATATTATAAGCTGAAGAGAGCTGTTACTGCTCTTTAAGTAACTGAAAGGTTTATTTCAATATGAATAGCTTTTTGTTTAAAAACATGGATGGAACAAATTACTTTTTCAATATTTTGCATGAACTACTAAAGTATATGACATTTTGATTTCTTGAACAAAATAGAGTAGAAAAATATCTGTCACTAGGCTGGCTGAAGATGGTCATGGGGAATACTAATGTATTTTGGGGTGGGTAAATATGAACTTAAGGGAGGGTGTGGTTTTACCTTGACTGGAGAGGGGTTGTGGGGGAGTGGTGTCATTACCGTGGGATATTCTGAATTACAAAGGGAATGTTGCTGGACTGCTGAAGGTAGCCATCATTTGAAGCGGGAAAAGTCCCATTCCAAATATTAATCCAGTCTTCGGGGTGATGTTCACCTCACATCCTGAAAGTAATGAAAACACTTGGACTGAATACATTGGCCCACCACTTACACTATTACTATTACAAATACTTGTAGTTCATTTTATTTTGTTTTGTTTGAAGGTTTGTGGTCCAAAACCAGACTTAACACTGTTTAGGAAAACCCCACTGGTTCATATGCTCCATTCATAACAGTAGTTATTTTATCTGCTGATAGGCCCATAATGAGTTTAACTTTTTTAAACGTTTTGATAGGTTCATATTAGCACTACGGGGCTAATTGTGACCCCACCACCCAGTAGCCCAGTGACAACAGGGCCTTCATTTACCTTTCCACCTGAAGCAACCTACCAAGCTGCTCTTGGTGTAAGTACAGTTTGACATTATGTTGTAGTTTTATCTGAATTGCCCTTTGTTTTTACATAAATCTAGAAGCTACAGTTTTTGCAAGCTGCTTTGAGGTGTATTGTGGGGGAACATTTGATTTCTATATAATGAATTTTGCCCCTTTGGAAAATAATACATGCTCTGATAGTAGGACTGAAAGACTCTTGTGGCTTCCAAAATATTTCAAACCCAGAATCTATTATGAAGTGCTATGTTGAATTATTCCCTTTAATAGTGAAGCGCAGTAACCAAGAAGTTAAATGAGGCCATCCAAAAATCAGATCATGGCTTCTGCATGCTTGAGAGACACCTTAGGTATGCAGAAATATGCAAGTTCAAGAAATTAAAACAAAACTGCCTGGTAGGTACCTCTGCCTTTACAGAATATTGAAGACAGTTGACTATATAGAGACAGGATGTAGTCTTAAGCAGTGATTCTGAACCAGTGGGCCATGGATCCCTTGAAGGCTGTGGAGTAACCTCAAGGGGTCTTTGAAGCTATTGTCAGCAGCAGTGGCACAGTACAGCAAATCCCTTAGGTGGTGGGCTGGAGTTTGGAGCTGGGACAGAAGGGCTGGGATGCCGATAAGGCAGAGCACTCAGATAACTAGTTGTTGTCCTTCATCTGATGTGCTCCGAGTGCTGCCACCCATCGGCACCTCCTTGTTCACCCTTTCTTCATGCAGGGAGCCCAACCTGTCCTTGCACAGGGTGCAGCCCACCTTCAGAAAGACTACCCATCCAGGATAAGAGGAACTCTATTCTTCCTTCCCATTGGATTTTCCCAACTGCTTTCTTGCCTCTTCTCTTTAGCACGGATACCATGGACAAGTCAATGCATAGCATAGGTGGCTGGCAGAGAAAGCAAAAAAACAGCTGCGTGCTGTGGTGTGTTAGGAGAAGAGGCAGAAGAAGGAGCTGCTGTTGCTGCTTGCAGTCATTTGGAGGAGTCTTTTATCCCTCCAGTGCTACATCCCTTTTTATTTCTGCAGAGCACCTGGCCTTCCTTGCGTGGGCCCGTTTTAATTTGACAGCCTGAAAAGGAGAGAGGGGGCACAATTGGCCTGTGAAAGAGTGCTTTTGAATGAATGGAATATTGGCTTTATCCCATTTTTTTCATTCATTCAAGAAGGAAAAAAGAAGGGGGCAGTGAGCCTGCTCATTAATTCCTTCTTAATTTCCAACCTTCATTTCTACTTAGAAATGAGAAGACATGGAGAAACTGTACGTAGTCTTTTCTCACTCCTAGATCTATATTGTGGCTGGATTCCAGCCTGTAATTTCTTACAGTTGTGAGAAGTACATTCTCCCTCTGTCTGTCTGTCTGTCTGTCTCTTCCTCTTCGCCTCCCACCCTTTCTCTAAGAAAAGTTATTTGTTAAACAATCAATACAGAATCAGGTTGAGCTGAATGGAAGTTGGTAAGCATTTTGGTGCATTGCCTGTAAAGTTTATGTTGCAGAATAATGAAAGTTCATTGGTGTACCATAATAGGTTAACTCTGTTGTTGTTATTGGCACTGAATGAAATCCAGGCAATATGAATGTTCAGTTCTCTGTGATAGCAGGGAATCTGCACATGGTAGGGATGAGTGCATAAGTGAAACTAGTATTTTTAAAAAATTTTAAAGAAAATTTTATACAAACTGTTGGATATATACTTGATTATAGAATTGTTAGGAGGTGGCTTGGGTTTTTGAAACATAGTTTGCCACACAGCTTTAGTTGCTGCTACTCAAAAACAATTTGAGGTTTTACAGGTTCATGGGACTAGTTTCACAATTTTAAAGTAGCACGTTTCCTAGAATGTGTTGCAATGCGTATTTTCTGAAATGTTAGGTTGCTTCTTGTAGGATGGATATTAGTCACATTTTGTATTCACATTTTGAAAATTACCTGAATTGTCTTATGAAGAAAATCATTCTTGTGAAGAATATGTAGGGAAGTCGCACAGAAAGTCCTTGGGCTGTTAAGTGGAGTAGAAACCTGTAAAAAGTAGCAAAACCTTTTATTATATATACACTGCCATGTATTTGCTGCTGAGTGATGTATGTGAGCTTCTATTTTCTGACACTTTCCAATACGTAATATGCAAAGTGTAAGTTTGGCTGTAGTGAGTGGTTAATTGTTTCTGAGCTGTTTCAATATGTATTGACAAAATAAATAATCCCATTTAGTCAAGTTATTGAACTTTGTTAGCTTGATTTAATGCTTGCTAATCTGATAAGAGCTAGAAAGTGTTTACAGCTCTTAATCAAGGGCAAAGTACTTCCCAGGGTATTTATCTATGTGTATGAACAAACCAACCAACCAGTCATGTCACCTGATTAGAAATACGTAATATGGATTCAGGTGTCAGGGAACTATATAATGATTATTTTCTATATTGAGTAGTATAGCTTTCAACTCTGTAAGTAAGACCATTGATCCCACTCCTCTATTTCTTACTTCCTGGTTCCTAAGTGCTTTAGAAGGATAGTAACTGCTAGGTTTAATCATATACTCTGAGACCAGAAACAAGCACATTCCCATTTGATAGTTATGAAGCACCTTGCAGTTTGCCCAAGGATGCTAAAATGCTAATGCTAACCCCTGGCTATGGTACAGCACAGGATATGAGATATATCAGCATCCAAATATCTGAGGGTATTTGAACCAGGGCCCCAGTGACTGTGTGTGACTTCATTTGCATGTTGCCACTACTACTCTGACCAGCCTCTTTTCATTAAACAACTCTTTAAAACAGGGGTCAGCAAACTTTTTCAGCAGGGGGCCGGTCCACTGTCCCTCAGACCTTGTGGGGGGCTGGACTATATTTTTTTGGGGGGGGAATGAACGAATTCCTATGCCCCACAAATAACCCAGAGATGCATTTTAAATAAAAGCATACATTCTACTCATATAAAAACACACTGATTCCCGGACCGTCCGCAGGCCGGATTTAGAAGGTGATTGGGCCAGATCCGGCCCCCGGGCCTTAGTTTGCCTACCCATGCTTTAAAAGGAAAGAGGAAGTAAATCAGGTAGAATTGGAACCACCTGCCTCCTGAGAACTTTTATTTCTGCTTTGCATATGTGGATCTCCCTTGTTTGTTGTGGTTGCCTCTTTACTCCATTTGGAGGGGGATTGGAACAAGCAACATCATGAATGTATTTGTTCCTGCTTTAACAGATGCCTAATGGATCTCTGTGGCTGCTGCCTAGTTATCATGTTGTGGGTATGGCAATGTGATGAAACTGTCTGCAGGTCAGCCTGTATGGGTTGGCTGCCTTTGTGTCAATGTAGTGTGTGGAAGTTGTTGCTGTATAGTTACTGATTGGTAGGCTGTAGCAGAGTTTTCAGGGATGCTGTGGGCATGCCCATCATTTTTAAATAGTAATTGAATTTTCTGGTTGTGTGTTTTCCCCCTGTCCTGGTTTGAACACTCATAATCTGTAGTGGCTGGGTATCTCTGGTTCTGACATAATGTGAAGTATCAGCAACAACATAGAGAATAGTCTGAAGTTTTACAAATGAAAAGAGTAACTAAGGGATCCAAGAATAGAGCCGCATTAGAAACTGCCAGTTAAAAGAGCTCTTTCCATTGCTTATCTCATAATTTTCAATCCTAAATTTTGAATAATGGCACTTAAAATAAAACAGTAAGAGGTACCTTTTGTACCCCAGCTGTCAAAGGGAATTTTGCGGTCAAAGGGAACAGCTATTTTATTTTATTACTTTATTTAACTATTTATCTATTTATTTATACCATGCCTTTTCTCCCTAAGAGGGACTCAAGGTAGCTCACATAAAAATAAGAACAGCTAAAAACATAGAGAAAAACAAAGTAATGTTTGGGTGGCTTGTTGTTGAAATTTGTTGCTTACTGCATTACAGCTTCTGGTTTCAAAGCAGCCATGGATTGCAGTCCTTTTCAGACCACTGAATATTGGAAATATGTTTGAAAAACTTTTGCATTGAAATGTGTGGATAAATGATATTATATGCATGAAATAAATGTTATAAAGAGACTTAAGTAGTTATTTCTCTGTTTTTCCCCCTTTCCTTTTGCCTATACAATTATGTTTTGTATTTTCTTATAAATGAGTATTAGTTTTAGAGTTTAATATGGTTTTAAAAATTCAATAAAATTGTCATTAAAAAAGAAATGTGTTTTTAGACGCAATGCTTTGAGCTTGTTTCTTTGTTGCTTAAAATTTTGTTTTTTAAAAAAGAAATACAAGGAATTGTCCCGTTACATTGTATCAGAAAATGGAGAAATTGGTGTACAGTGGAACCTCTACTTACGACCACTGGATCCAAGTCAATTTGGGAGTGTGTAACTGTGTGTAACTGTGTGTATCAATACCATTTTCAGCTGAAAATTGGTGCCAAAATGACATTAAATTTCTGAATATTTTATTTCTAGACACTGAATCCCCCTCTACCACCACCACCTCTCTTATCTGCTACAATAATTGCTCCAACCTCTGCTGGGCTGCCTTCAGGAGCAGCTCAAAAATCTGCAGCGGGATCAACTGAGCAAATAGCACATTTGCGCCCACAGACAAGACCAAGTGTGTAAGTGAAATAAAACTTGTTGAGTATAACCTTGAAATGGTATCAAAGAGCAGAATTGCCAAAGGAAAAAAATTCAAGTATTTCTGGATAGACAAGGAATGTTTGACTTGTCATCTGGGGTGAAAAGTGCCTGGTGCATGTGAAAGGGATGGCCAAGGTTCTCATTGCACCAAGATCTAGATTGGCTACCATGACCAGCCAGGACTGGTCATGAACAACAATAGCAGATTATATGAGGTACAGAAAATCCCTGGAATGGTTTTGCCTGACACAGCAGGCTCGTTCACACATAATGCTAAACCATAATCTATTAAACCATGGTGTAGCAATATGTGTGAGTCCAAAAGCTTTACTATGCTTGTAAAGGTTTGTAGATGGTGTATAAAACTTAGATAATGTTAACTATAACAGTGTTATGTGTGAACCCAGACCTCCTCTATAACTATTGTTGAAGATGTGTGTCACTGCCCAAAAGCTACAGTGCCATGAGTGATGAATGTAAAAAAAAATAAAAAAAATCATACTGCTCTTGCTGGTACTTTTAACTGTTCTGAGATGTAATAAATCAAGGTTTAAGTTATTGTCTGCCAGATGCCTCAGCACTGATTATTATTTATTAACTATGCTTAATATTAATTATGGTTAATGTTAACTGTGGTTTAACACTATGTGTGAACCAGGCCTCTGCACTGGCAAAAGTCCTGGGACATAGTTAATGATTCAAATCAGGTCTCCTGGGTAGGAGCTTAATTACAACTTGGACCAGCCAATGGACAAGTAGGCTTCTATATTGACCCTCAAGGGATATATGCAAATGACGGAAGACAGATGAAATCAAGAATGGTTCTTTCAACTATTGACATTTTACTCTTTAACTGTCACCAACATTTGGACATTTGATAAGGAGTTAGGGACAGAATTCTTTGGATAACTCTTTGTATGTGCAGCTATTTCTCTGATTGAAATTTCTGTGACTACCTAAGGCGCTACTTCCCATTCTTAATGAACCCTCATGGCTCAATTTTCAAGCAGCAGTCACTCTGCAAGGGAAGCCATGACTTGCTTAGGAACAGTTTTTTTGTCTAGTTTTTCCTGCAGACCATTATAAACAGTTTTGTTTTCTAGGTATATCGCTATTTATCCATATACTCCTAGAAAAGATGATGAACTGGAATTGAGGAAAGGAGAGATGTTCTTGGTGTTTGAACGTTGTCAGGATGGCTGGTTCAAAGGAACATCCATGCATACAAGCAAAATTGGTGTGTTCCCTGGCAATTACGTGGCACCAGTCACAAGGTGAGGCTTTCAGTTGAAGTATCTTTTACAAAGAAAAGGGGAAGCAACTCCAGATTTTCTGTGGTGGTGGTGGCTTGTTGGGATTGGGAGAATAGGCCTTATTTGGTTTAATAAGGTGTGCATAAACTATTTGCATTACTTTTAACAGGGCAGTGACAAGTGCGTCCCAAGCAAAAGTCCCTGTATCTACTGCTGGTCAGACAGGGAGGGTGGTGACTATGGTCAATACTTCCACTGCTGGAGGAACATTGCAAAAACTTCAGGGAAATGGTGTGACAATGAACGCCAGTGCAGTACCAACAGCAGTGGTCTCTGCTGCACATATACAAACCAGTCCACAGACCAAGGTTCTTATGCACATGACTGGCCAAATGACAGTCAACCAGGCTCGCAATGCAGTTAGAACAGGTAAAACATTGCTTTATTCCTTGGCTTAGGTAATAGTATGATCAGGATGAACTTCTCTGAGACCCCATGTATCTTGTCATGGGTGGAATGTAGTACATGATGGCTATGGACCAACTCCAGTGTCAGAGAGAATCTGCCTATGAATATTATTTGCTGAGAATCAGAAGTATTTATATTTACATATAAATTTTATCTCTGTACAATAGTATTCAATATAGCATCAGGTACTGGTCAGATATTTTTAATACCATAAAAGATGGTTTGGAGATCTAGGTTGCTATACTGAAATACCCACACATGCCATTTTTAATGCTTGAGACTGTGGAATTAATAGTGTGATAAATAACACAACAAGTGGATGCTGTATTGTTTTCAGTCTCATGATACTATGTTTCCCCCTCTCATTGCAGTTGCAATACACAGCCAAGAAAGACCCACAGCCACCGTGACGCCCATTCAGGCTCAAAGTTCAGCATGCCTTATTCCTGCTGCTGTAATTATTCCGCACCATTCTGTTGCCTCCCAACAGCTCCAACCTCAGCTTTCTAATGCTGCTGCTTACATCACTGCTGTGAATATCAACCGGACAAATCTCCCATTAGCTTGTACAACAGCATCTCCTGGCACTTCTGCATCTCTGGATGGAGATGCAAATGGGAGAACTGTGACTGCCCCTCCTGGAGCTCCAGCTTCCCCAGAGAATACATTGGTAGCTGGAGGAATTACTACTGTCAGTAAATCAGATAGAGATGGCAAGGTGAGCATGACATTTTGGTTGCCGCTCAGGATGTTTTTCTTTAATAGATAACCCAATAGATAGAGGGGACTCTTTATTAGGTGTAACTCCAAAGCTTGCCACTTAGTTTATTCTTATCACCTTTAGTGCCAGATAGTGGCTTGCTTTGTGTATCACATTAAACCATAATTTAAAACAATGTGAATGAGCAGTAGACTAGTAGACAATTTCAAAAGTTCCTAGAGTGTTCCTTTGGCTTTTCTGTTTCTGTTGCACCATAGCTGAAACAAGCTGGAGTCTGCCTTGTGTCATCTGAATCTTTAAACAAACCATGCGTATTAACAAAGGTTTGTTCTTGGCTTACCGCTTGTGTTTTGTTTAAAAGAAACAAACCAACTATGAGCATGGGTTTAGATGGCATGACAACACAAACTCCAGCTTGCTTTGTCTTCAGCACAGCAAGAGCAGGGGAGGACTGCCCAGGAACCTTTGAGCAACAAACACCAGAATGCTGTTCATTCACATTAAACCATATATTTTTATGATTTGATGTGACAGCAAATTAGGCTAGTGCCAGGCTTGGCTTCTTTATGTAAGAAGTAAAGTATGGTCAGATTTTTGTTCCTTTAGGAGGGAAAACAACTGTAATGGAATGGAATTCCTGATGTTACTAAAATATCAGAAGTAGAATTTTATTGAATAAATGGATGAAATTTTTGTATATAACAGTTCCATTGTTTCTGTTATGTGCCACACTTCACTTCCAGTATCCTGGGCCCTTCTGATATTTAGAGCAGAGATGAATATTTTCAACATGCAAGCAACAAAAATATTGAACACTTTATTGTTGCTTCTCTCATTGGATTTTGTATATAACATTTCAGGTATACTTGAACATCCTAGGTACCACCAGTTTTATTGTACAGTTGGATTGCTGGTTAGGACAGCAGTGGGGAACCTCCAGCTCTTGAGCCCAAGAAAGTGTGGCAGAGGTCCTAATATAGCCTGCAAGGCTGCTTTTGTAAGACCGTGCCCACCTCCTCCACACCTAATGTCATATGTGACATCAGGTGTGGAACAGGTAAAGATGCAGTAGCAAAGGATCCATTGAAACATTAAAGTGCACTCCTGATTGTTCCTTGGCAAACAGGGCCTAGCCCTGAACTTGCAGGCATGGTTAGGAATTCATATGTTGCCTGCAAATTGGTATCTTTCCTCAACAGTGAATATTCATGCTTCAAAACAAATGTTTTTATTTATTTCCAGAAAGAAAAAAAGGGTTTGCTAAAGTTACTTTCAGGAGCGTCTACCAAGCGCAAACCTCGAGCATCACCACCATCATCACCAACTCTGGAAGTTGAGCAGGCAGCTGCGGAGCTGGCCCTACAAGGTGCTGTAGGACCAGAAGTTCCATCGGCTTCTAGTCATGGAAGAGCTGAGTCCTGCTCTGCGGACAATGAAACATCTACATCAATGCAAGATGTTACTCATCGGAAAGCAAGTTCTTTGGATTCCAGTATTCCTATAGCTCCCCCTCCACGGCAGCCCTGCTCTTCATTAGCTCCAATCCTGAATGAATGTAGGCCTGTTGTGTGTGAACGGTAAGTCATTTTCTAGTCAATAAAATGTAATAACGGCTACAAACTGGGCCTAGAAATGCTAATCAGTAAAAATGCTAGAAATAGAATTCTTATATTGTTCCTATGATCACCAAAAAATCATTGTTGACCTAACCTGGGTTTGAAATGTACTGTTGCTTCTGAAATGAAATCGTAATAGTAGTTTGACAGTGGCTACAACCTACAGTTGCATGCATGTGGCAGTAAGAGAGCCCCACATCTCTGGCTTATACCCGATAAAGCTTTTCCACGATAGATTCCTGCACAGTTGTGTTGTAGGAATGATGTGGAAAGTTGATCCAGCCAAAAAGCCTAGTTGGCTGAACACTCTGTTTCTGAATAGCAGTTGCTGAGGGAACACATGCAGGAAAGAGCTATCATGGACTTCCTATAAGCATCTAGTTGCCCACTGTGGAAATAGGATACTAAACTGGATAGCCTGTGCCTTGATCTATCAGCACTCTTGTTTTGCCAGTGTGGTGTAGTGGTTAAGAGCGGTAGACTCGTAATCTGGGGAACCGGGTTCACGTCTCCGCTCCTCCACATGCAGCTGCTGGGTGGCCTTGGGCCAGTCACACTTCTCTGAAGTCTCTCAGCCCCACTCACCTCACAGAGTGTTTGTTGTGGGAGAGGAAGGGAAAGGAGAATGTTAGCCGCTTTGAGACTCCTTAAAGGGAGTGAAAGGCGGGATATCAAATCCAAACTCTTTTTCTTCTTCTTATGGACACAGTCCTGAACTTTATTTTTTGAAATAGTATGCTATTCTTCAGCAAGTATTACCAGGCCAGTACCCTCTCACACACTCCTAAAGCCCTTTCAGTCTGATTGAGTAGGTCTCTTTCATATATTAAAACTAGGTGTTCAGTCAACCTTAATATTTCTGGTTCATAATTCTGTGTATATTAGCATTATTTTTTAATAGAACTGAACTCTGTTGAAAAATTCAAATACTATTGAATCCATTGAAACTTGATTTCTATCACAGTTATTCGCTTATCAATATTTTTAATTATTGTAAGGAGGCCAGGCACCAGAGTTCTCAACCTTGCTTCTGTTTCCTCATATAGTAGCATTTTTCTCTTATTTCAGTATCGGGATATTGTAGTTTCTCAGTTGACAGAGTCTGTTTGCTTTTTCTGAGTTAGGGAATGGTGCTTGTGTAGATCAGTAGAGCTTGTTCTGTAGTTGAATGGCACTCAGAACCTTGCAATATTAATTTTCCTTTGACATCTAGTACTTGAAAAAGAGATGCTGGGAAAGATGCTTAATAATCATATTGAAACCCAGTCTCCTCTTTGTCAAGCTCCAGTATGTCAGAGGAAAGCAGGAAAGTCAGTGCTGTACATAAGAGCAGGGAATTAGTCTAGCTTAGAAGGAAAGAGCATCACCACCCCCATTTGCAACAGCAACATTGCCTGAGGGCTGTGAGGACTCAGGGAAAGGAAATGATTATGACAGTGATCAGCAATTTGTTGACTAGAGACTTCTCCATTGTTACAAGGATGGTCTGGGTGGAAAGCATGGTTGCTTTGGATTCTCTCTAACATCCCATGTTCTGGCCAAAAAAGAAGCATGCGTATTTATTTTTACAGGACCTGCTGAGATATGTTCCATTTCCTCTCGTCTGCTCTCAAAAATGTACTACATATAGATATCAGTGTTTCATTATTCTGTGGAAGGAGAGGTGGTTTCTACATAGCTGAACTGTAAGCAGGTGGTGGTATTATTATTATTTATTAAATCTCAGGGTGGTTCACAGAATAAATGTACAAGATAAAAACACTAAATACACAATAAAAACAAGAACAAAATACCCTCACACATCGATAACCACCTCCCTCCCTCTCCCTCCCTCCCAGGAGGACATTTAAAAGGGTATAGGCCAACAGCCTGGTTGAAGATAGAAGTTTTCACTTGGTGCCCAAAGATGTATAATGACGGCACCAGCCCATCCCTCAGGGTATGTTGCAGCCAGAGGGCTTTGATGAACTATTAAGCAAGAAACATGGCTCTCTGGGCAGTACTACAGTCTTCAATCCTGCCCCCACACCGGCTGCCACTCAAAGAGTTCTCTGAGAACAATTGTGCAGGGCAAATAGCCTTTGACAATAGCTGTTAACCTGATCCTTTTTTCTTTTTTTTTAAGCAAAGACCTTTTGCACACAAAGCATGTGCTCAACTGCTGAACTACGGCCTCTCCTCGTACTCATTTCTGAATTATATTGCATTAAATTGCATTTTAAAAGTTAAAAAAAATTCATGTGTTCAATTAACCTAGTTAAGGCCTTAATTGTGTCTTTGCTGTTGTTGTTTTACAATTTCATTCAATCTGATGAAACTTTAAAGAAAAAATAATGCATACAATATTGTTGTAGTACTATAGAGAGATTGGATTTCACTGCTGCTTAGTAGATTAAAAATTCACTACCAAGGTGAACCAGAATTTATAGACCCTGTCTCTAGCCCTTCTACTCAGTTGGGTTGGAGCTAATAAACAGAAGTCAGGCAAAATAATAAGCCATTTATACAATCGGGGGACGGGGACTACTAATTTTAGATTACGTATTCAAACTCATAACATGTTCTCTGTCCCTAATAAAAATGTATGTATCCTCTTAAAAACAAAAACTGCAGTGGCACTTGCAATTATGTATTTGCCGGAATCAGAACAAATATTTATGGGGAAATATATTTAATGCAAAAATGACAAAAAGGTTACAAGCTGCTGCACTTTTCATGTTGTTATTACATTTTGGCTGCTTTTGTATTTGGGATTTCAATGCATATGTGTAATTTCCCGGTTGAGCTTTCACCTAAGCAAGATTGTAGAACAATTACTTCCATGCATATGGCAACTAAGGCATATATTTGAACCATAGTTAATATTGCCATTTATGTTTTCTCTAGAGCTCTATAATTGAACCTGATTCTGAATAACACAAAGCCTTCCTCCTTGGATGTTCATGTGAAATAGCTTACCACTTATGTTTTAATCCCAGTGAGAAGTTTGCCTGTGAATAACCTTTCATCTGAGTATTGTTGGGGTTTTTAAAATCAGCACGCCCAGGTCAAAATCAGCGCACAAACCTGTGTACTCAATGATAATGCACTGTTTTAAGACCTCCTGCATATTTCAATGCATGTTCACTTGAATTTGAGACAGAATAGTTGGATTTGTGAGAAGTGATTTGAGAGAGGTTTTGCTTCCCTCGCTGTATTTCTGTCCCTAACTATAATCAGTGTATTTATATGACCACATTTTTACCAGTTATGGTGAACTCCTTTAGCATTATTTCATCATGTATGCTACTCTTCTGCTATAAATATGCATTTCAGTTCACAGGTACTGAATTTGAAACTTTACTATAGTTTAATTTGTTTAGCTAAACAAAATCGTATAATAGCCACGTGTCAACTTTTAAAAATTGTCTTTAAAACATCCTAACACTTAATATCTTCCCAGAGAATTCAGTGGAGCTAGCTTGTTTGTATTTACTTGACATTGCCATGTTAATGCATTTTGTGTTTAGAAAATGCACGTATTTTTGAAAGGATGTGAACAGTTCAAGGCAGCTTCCTGTTGCAAGTTGTATCTGGCAAGTGTTAAGTTGTTTTTTGTTTGCAAACAATGGCAGTCTCTGCAATAAAAACCTGAACTTTTATCTTCTTGCTCTGCAGATATAGAGTTGTGGTATCGTATCCTCCTCAGAGTGAAGCTGAGCTTGAACTTAAAGAAGGAGATGTTGTTTTTGTACACAAAAAACGTGAAGATGGTTGGTTCAAAGGCACATTGCAGCGAAATGGAAAAACTGGCCTTTTCCCTGGCAGCTTTGTGGAGAGTATCTGAGATTTGTTTCAAATATTTCAAATCGCACAGCACTATAAAATAGCACAAATATTTTACAAGAGATAGTGCAGCCATTGAAGACTTTTTAAATGTCTGTAATATAAACAAATTTATATTTATGTTTTCCAGTATCCCACAGCACAATTTTGCCATAAAAAATATGATGAGAGACTTGCTGGGTTTTTTTTATTATTATTTTGAATTTTTAAGTGTAATGTGTGCCTTGTAATGTCTGATCTCACACTACACAGGAAGATTTCTTCCAAATATGTAACACAAAAGAGCAATTGTTTACAAGGCTGTAACTAATTTATTCTTAATTTTCTAAACTTGAATTCTGTTTAATAGCTTAATCTTTGTGATTATGATTAACAACTTATTAATTTATGAAATGAGAAAAGGAGAAGCTGGATTATCTCCTTAGATACAAAGGCATAGTTTCTGACAGATTGCTTTCTCCCACTGTGCGTGACAGTGAAGTGAGTTTGTTTTATGGGGTAATGTTGGCTGTAATGATGGTGATGTGGTGTCAAATTGAACCTGCAAACTGGGATAAAATGGTACCGTGAGCTTTTCTTATTTTGGGTGAGAAACTATCTGTCAATGGACAAGTCTAAATTCTCCAGACAGTGTAATATTTCTGAAAGGCAAAGCTGTAACTACAACAGAGTTAACGTTCACAGAGTGAGAATAAAAAATGGTGAAAATGCCAGGAAATGGGAAACAACTTTCTCTAGCTTCTGCTTATTCAAGAGTTTGGGACATCTGTCAAGATACTGCTTTGTGGATCTGGCTAGTTCTTTGGCACTCACAGAATATAAATGAGATTAAAATATGTTCTGCAGAACAATGAGAAATAGTAATTAGCTGCAAGAACTGGTAGAATTCAAAATTTAAATCCAAGTTGCATTCACTGTCTAAATATGCCAAGAAATGTCATTTACTTATTTTACCTTTACAAAGTGATTTGCATGGCTGAGAGACAATTTTACAATGTTTGAGCAATAGTGGTGGTAAGTGATACACTTGTGTTTTTAAAGTAAAGGCTGTAAGAACACTGTGAAAATTTTTGCTAATTTTGTAACTATTGCTACTTTCATATGTCTTAACTACTCATTGTCTTGCATGTATTACCAAATTATCACAGGCATATAAAACACTGCATGATTTATAGATTGCATTCCAGTCTCCTGTTGTGGGTTTTTTGAAGTGCCCACTTGGAGATGTTAAATCAACCAGCTGTCTGCATCACGGAAGCCACTGACCAAGACTAGTGAGTGAGTGAGTCCTAGTTATGTAAAGAGTACTCTAGAGTCCAAATATTCACATCATTCCAGCCATTAATATTTAGAAATGTAAGAGATTTGGGGAGCTTGTTTTGTGCCACATTTCAGCAAGGACATACTCCCTCTCAGTTTCCCCCCTTGCTGCCTTTTCACTCTTGTTCATTAAGAAATTAACTTATTTATAACTGGGGGGGGGGCAGAAATGGGGGTGCACATTCCCATCTCACTCCTTTTTTCTAGCCACCACACTGAAGCATGGGGACAAAAAAACAACAACTTCGACGTCGCAGGGGTGATAAATAGAAGATTGTGTTCTAGCTTTATTTGTGACTCTTGTTATACATTCACTTTCAGATAAAATACAAAGTTCTTGGAGCTTTTTTCTTTTTGTAACAGCCACCTTTTCAAGGGAGTGAGAGGGGTCTAAATATACTCAGCCCAACGACTACTTTCCATGTCCAACTATTAATCTTCCCTCTTCCTCTCCATTCTAACTAAAGTGACTGGGGAAGCTAAGGGAGTGGGTGACAGATTAGAAATGACCTTTTTGTCACTTGCACAGTCTTCTAGTTCCCTTAAACTGTTTCTTGGCTTCTGAAACAGCTACCCAGCTGGGAAAGCCAAAAGGGTGACATTGGAGAGATTTGTCACCCTTAGGTACATTAGTCTTGGCCTCTGATATCTCTCAACAGTAGCAAGAAATGTGGAATTAAAGAGAGGCAAGTTAGCAACTGACAGACCAGATCTTTGGTGCCTGGGAACTGTCAGTTGCTAACCCTAAATGGATCCTGTACAAGAAAACCTCTACTATTTCCAGGGCTTTTAAAAGCCATTTGGCACTGGTGATCCATTCTATACATACAAGGTTGTCTTTTATACCATTGCTTGACTGCAGCAATCTCATTATGCCATGCTCAGCTGAACCTATTCCTACATGAGATTTAACTAACTGTTACCACCCTTTATTCTGGTAGGGTCCTGCTTCTTATCAATAGGCAAAATTTTAGTTAGTGCAGATTGTCTTGCTGGAGATACGCTGTCTGCCCATGATATAGCTGCTAAGAAGTTAGTTATGAATAAAAGCAGGCAGCTGGCACCTTTTCCCCTACTTTCAGAATTGGTGGACTTGGAAAGTTCTTATTCCTTTCCAGAACTGAACTTGCAGCACAATATAATTAAGGGAGATATATGCAATATAAAGGAGAAAAATATACTCTAGCTGATGGTAGGCTAATGATTTTCTGATACAAAACACAACTGATTTTTTACTTTCAACATGGGGAGGAAATTATTAGCTGAAGGATTTTCTTGCAATATCAAGTAGTTTCATGATAGTCTTCATATAAATTATATTGTTGGAACTGAAATCATTTTTAAATTAACACCCATACAAGACACTGTACAACTCAATTCTTGTGGAATTTAGAAAAATTAGTTACTTGAATATTCATATGATATACAAGCTAATGAAATGAACTTTAGTTCAGCATAACTTGACACTAATGTGTCAAACCTTATTTTCACAAATTAGTGTTTTATATATTAAAAAGACTACTACAGATAATTTTTCTCTTCTCCATAAGGTAGAATATCTGTGTGACACAGGTACCTCTATTCATAGGGTTTTATTATGTAAAGTCTATCAAAATATAAATTAATATGATAGTGTTGTTAGATATAATACATTTTCTAATGACTTTTTAATAAAAGAAATCACTTTTTGTTTTTAAGGGCTTGTTACACAACAGTACAACAATGACAAAAAATGCAGTTTTCTATGCCTTGTGACCTTTATAAAGTTGTGGGAGTTGGGTTAGGGTTTTTTCGCTTGTGTGTAATCCAGTGTATGAACAAAAAACCTTTACATTCATTTTGTGTTTTTCCTTAAAAGAGATTCTGTGAAAAAATTTAGTGTCTATATTTAAAGTCCAGTGAATGTTATGTGTTTTTCTCTGTTAAATTTCCATTCCTAATAAATATTTTCTTAGCAAACATCTGAAACCCAGTGTGTGTGTATGTGTGCGTGAAAGACTTGTGATTACTTAAGGCTAATAGTAAAATAATATATGTTTTGTTAATCTGTATTCATTAAACCAAACAATAAAAGGCGGAAGGATGAGGAAAATGTGTTACATACTCTATATTGCTTTATTTACAGTTCAAAGCTGGTATATTACAGAAAGACATCTTGCCTCTGCAAGAGCAGAAAAATGCATCCTCTCTCCTCCGACAGCTCGGAGAGAATCACACAGTGAAAAAACAGGAAACCAGTGTACGTCACATCCAGTCTCCCTTTCCCGTGAGAAACTCCAACAGTACAGACTGTGGAATGTAAACACCTGTCTTGTGACTGCAGTTGCTGCTCAGTGAAGGAAATAGAAACCAACATCCTCCCCCTTTCTGTGAACATCACTGGGCAGCGTGTTCGTACAGTATCAGTACAAACCCAACTTCTGCACATAGGTACAGTGTTGATCCCTTGATACAATCTTGGACAATACATCAGCAGGAATTTCATTACCTGGCATATAGGACACCGTTACGAGTCCCTTCTGAATACATTCCCTAGCATGCTGCAACTTTAATTGCAAGTGCTTTGTGCTTTGCTTACAACCTTCAGACTTCAGCAAAGCCAAACATGCTTTGTTGTCCTGGTAAACCTGGATTGGACATTTGACAGGAATTTTCATATCTTTGCACAATTGTACTAACCATTCACAATCCTTAAGTGAATAAGACAGTGCATTCAGTTCAGCTTCACAAGTACTTAAGCTAACTGTTGTTTGCTTCTTGCATGACCAATCAAACAGACTCTGATTGTACATGTAGCAAACTCCAGACGTACTTTTCCTGTCTGTAGTGTCACTTCCAAAACTTGCATCTGCAAATATCTCAAGACCACCAGACTTCTGATTGTTAAATCTCAGTCTGTAATGCATAGTGCCTTTCAAATACCGCGCTATGCGTTTCAGAGCTTTCAATCCTTGACACTAGGATTGTTGACTTGTCTGCTTAGCAAATTACAGCTAACAGCAATGTCTGGTCTTGAACATCTGGCAATGAAGTTTAGCTTGCCTAGCACACTCCTGTACAGTGTAGTGTCAGAAAATGCTTCTTCAGTGTCATCTACCTGATAACCTGTTGTCATCGGTGTGTCTACAGGGTTAGCATCCATCAGATTTAGTTTGCTTAACACATCAGCAATTTTCCGTGACTGGTGTACTAGAATGTTACCATCTTGATCTCTCTCTATTTCCAGAGATAGGTAGTTGTTTACCTCACCAAGATCTTTCATGTCAAAGTGCTCTTTCAGTTGAGCTAGGGCGCTATTGTACATTGCAACATCTTTCCAAAAGAATAATAAATCATCAACATAAAACAAACAGTACAGTTTCTTTTGCCCCTCCTCTTTGACAAATACACATGGATCAGCTTTCCCTTGCTGAAAACCTAGAGAAAACAATACTTCAGTGAGTTTTGTGTGCCAACACCGTGCACTTTGTTTGAGACCATAAAGGGATTTCTTCAGAGCACAAACAAATCCCTGTTTTACCTGTACGCCATCAGGTGGAAGCATATAAAGTGATTCATCTAGAGATCCGTACAGAAAAGCTGTATTAATATCATGGTGACTAATGTGTAGATTTTCCTCTGCAGCTAGCTTGAGCATAAGCCTAATGCTTTCATATCTCACTGTGGGTGAATAGGTCTCGTGATAGTCTTCACCTGGTACCTGTGCAAAACCTCTGGCTACCAATCTGGCTTTGTGTCTGACTATCTTGCCATTTTGATCTGTCTTCGCTTTGAAGACCCATTTGCATACAAGCAGTTACATTCCTGGAACTACTGGAACTAGCTCCCATGTTTTGTTCCTTTCTAAGGAATCAAGCTCAGCCTTCATGGCATTTAACCATGGCTCAGCTTCCTTTGAATCCAAACCCTGGATTTCTTGGAAACTTGAAGGTTCAAATACCTTCTTGGAGCTTTTAACAGCTGTTACTGCTATCGTAGCAAACTCATCAGCAAATCTCTTTGGAGGTTTGCCTTTTGTGACTCTCTGTGACCTACGAATTAGCCTTAAGTCTTCAACACTCTCCTCTTCCTTCTTAGGAGAAAAACGACCTATTGTGAACAATGGTTCCTCCAATTCTTGATCAGAGCTTTCAGAGGGTCGCATAGAGGCTTTCGCACTCTTGAAATCCTCTGAATCACCCGATTCAGTTTCAGATTCAGACTCAGAACCTTCATCAGTGGGTGTGGGCTGTTGTGGTTGCTTTTGACTATCCTCAGTCTCATCACCGTCATCAGGATAACATTGGAAAATTCCCACATTCTCCCCCACTTTGCATTGTACTCAACACTTCTCGTGAGCTTAATTGTCTTAGAGTCAGTCATCATTATTCTGTAAGACCCTTTCTGATAACCTAGAAAGATACCATGCAATCCACGCTTGTCTAACTTGGAGTTTTGTGGTGAGCGAACCCACATGTCAGAACCAAAAATCTTCATGTGTTTGATGTATGGCTTCTTGCCAAACATCTTCTCATAGAGGTACATCCAATCGCTGAAGATAACCTGCGATTGTAACTGTAAACAAAACACGAGAGAGATTCGGCCCAATAACTCTCTGGAAGATTGGCATCATGCAGCAAGGTTTTTAACCCTTGAAGCAATGTCTGATTTGCCCGTTCCGCAAGTCCATTCTGCCATGGCGAGCGAGGACTAGACAAATCGTGTTGAATTCCTTTCTCAGTCAGAAAAGCTTCAAACTGCTGAGAAGTGAATTCCCCCGCGATCACTGAAAAGAGTCTTTATCTTCTTACCATGCACATTTTCCAACCAAGCACAGAATTCCTTGAACCTAGGAAAAGCCTCCGATTTCTGCTTGAGATTGTACACAAAAATATATCTAGAAAATGCATCAATGAGAACCATGAAGTATCTATTTCCACCCAAAGAGGCGCTAGTGGTCCAACCAAATCAGCATGAACAACCTGGTATGGTTCTGTAGCTTTCCTACTAGACACCTTACCTTTCGCAGCCATTTTCACCTTGTTTGCTGCGCATGCTTTGCACTTCATGTGGTACCTGCAGGGTTTAATAGTCATACCTTCAACCAAGGCAGGCATTTTAGATACTGCCTCAAAATGCAAATGACCAAATTTGCGATGAAAATCGTGAATACATTCTGCATGCAAACTTTTGTTAGAACCTGCAATGCAACAAGTGTCATCCTGCACCACATCATCATAATACAAAACAAACAAATGATCAACATATTCTGCATGCAATACATAATCATTTTTCTTTGTGATGATGCACTTCTTGTTCTTGAAGGAAACGTCAATGTTCCGCTCATTCAGCTGTCCAACGCTGAGCAGATTATGTTTGGCGTCTGGCACGTAAAGCACATTCTGTATCGATAAGTCCAAACTGTGAAGAACAACAGTTCCGTAGCCTTTACTGGGAATAGTGTGGTCATCCGCCTGGTGAATCGCACCTTCCTGCGGTGTAAAAGACACAAACAGTTTCTTATCGTTGCACATGTGGTGGGTGGCCGCTGAATCAACAACGAAGAAAGATCTAGACGTCTTCTGGACCTCTGCAACCTTTGGAGTGAAGCGTGAAACCATAGCCTTGTGCTGCGTTGTCCTAGACACCGGACCTTTGCCTTTGCCTCGGCCTTTTCCGCGCGATGAGCTTTCGCTGCGCTGCTCTGTCTTGGCCCTGGGATGTCTGCATTCCCTCTTCATATGGCCTAGACGTCCACACGAGTAGCATTTCACTGCCTTCAAAGCTTTGGCGCCATCTGGTGGTTCCACTGCACTATGGGATGACGTCTGTGAAGACTCTCCCTTGCCCATGCAGCTAGCACCCGGCGATCTGCTTCATTTAAAATCACGGCAGTAACAAAGTCCACTGTCAGCTGAGCAGTTGGTTGCACAGCAATCTGGGTTGCAACAGACTCCCAACCTGAACCCAAAGATTGTAGTATCATGAAAGAATACACAGCCTCTGGAAAGTTGAGTCCTCTCTGTTGCAGCTCATGTCTCAGATTTTGCATCTCCATCAGATGTAAACGCACATCTCCACCTTCAGCAAGAGCCATATTATGCAGCTTGTTAAAATAAAACATAGTGGATCCAGCTTCTGTCCTTAAGTGAGCCTCTCTCAGAGCGTCCCAAATTTCTCTGGCTGAGGTCTTATCACGCAATAGACAGAGCTCTTCTGGGGATACTATCAATGTAAGAGTTCCCCTTGCTTTGGAATCCTTAGCTTCCCATGCATCTGTAACTGGAACTGGGGGGGTTCCTGTAATCACCTCAAACAAACCCTCTTTCCGCAGAATTGCCTCTGCATACTGAACCCAGTCGCTGTAATTATTCTTGTTGAGCTTAGGAATCCCACAAGCATCCTGAAGGGCCATCATGACTCTGGCATTAGCCTTCAGCGTCATATGTGCTGCTTTAAATCTTGCTGCGTCACTGCTGCAGCTGCTTCATTACAAAGGCACACTTAAAAGTTACTTTCGATTTCCCCAGCATAGTGACTTGTGCCTGGGAGCCTTTTGCCTATTCCTGCAAAACCGGCTTTAAAAGTTCAAAGTCCAGCCATAAAGCCATTATCTTGAAGCTGGCAGGCTGCCCGGAGCAGTAGCACATACCTCATCAATCACTTCTACGCGCAGAGCAGATTCCGTTCCGATCCGTCCCTCTGCATTCCGATCCTCTGCCGGCACTCCGATTCGACCTCTGGGCCCATAACCACGTGTTGATTTAAGCAGAGTCTTTGTGCCCAGCGGAAGGATGAGGAAAATGTGTTACATACTCCATATTGCTTTATTTACAGTTCAAAGCTGGTATATTACAGAAAGACATCTTGCCTCTGCAAGAGCAGAAAAATGCATCCTCTCTCCTCCACAGCTCGGAGAGAATCACACAGTGAAAAAACAGGAAACCAGTGTACGTCACATCCAGTCTCCCTTTCCCGTGAGAAA